CTCAAGCTCCTAGTCTTCTTAGCTCTTTAGTCAATCAACACTGATTCAACCTGCCTGCTTCCCTGCCCTCGTGATCCTTCTAGGTGATCATTACACCTGAAGGGGATACGAGTTAAAGAAAATAGCGTATTAAAATAAATAATTAATATTTAAAAATTAATTTTTTAATAAATATTATATTTTATTTTATTTTATTTTTTATATATATTGTGACAGACCAGATCAGATTGAGATGTAAGAGGTGATCCATTCTTAGAATACTAAGGTGAAGAGCTCGAGAGAGCTCTGAACCGAGCTTATATACAGGAGTATGATCACGTGCCATTGCACGTGATGGTCTTAGCATGGTCGCAGAACTAGATCTGTGACATATATAATGAAATAGAATTAAGATCGCATTTATCGAGAAATTTCTTATTTTTAAAATCTAAAAATAAAGAAAAAAGAAGAAAAAGCGTGGTAAAAAGAACTTTTTATATACAGAAAGTATGACGTGGAAATATGGACTGGCTGAGCGCTCCAGCTTGAGGCTGAGTGAGTGAGGCTCAACTAGGTCATGTGACTATGGCATAGATATAGCTTAAGTTAAGTAATATGCACCCTGTGGGCGCATATTGATGGTCTTTTGGCTTTGTGGTCTTATATGGCTTAACTCATATATCCGTATCACAGAAAGCCCCTAGGCTAAGCGAAGGCACGTGACAACAGCAGGTCACACTCTAGAGCTGTGACAATATATAGCCGAGTTTTAGAAGATTATATTAGTTTTTAGTAAAACTATAAAATATCGAAGGTGAGGACTTTGAAGGGGGGATTTTTATGAAATGGGGTGGGCGTTTAATAAATAAAAACAAGTACCTAGGTAGACAAATATGCACGTCACACCGCGTTTTCCAAAGCCTTCCATTAGTTTTTGATTGTTCGAGGAATGACCAAACGATTGTGGAAGAAACCATGCATCCTGATAAATCGCTCACATACTACATGCCACTTAAGATAGAACATTACCGATCAAATTAACACCGATGTCTAATTCGAGACCCCTTCATACACAGGACCAAACGTCGATATGGATAAGAAGTAGGCAATCCTTCTATCTTTCCAACGCCTGAAAAAGTCTATACCGCTAATAACTCTATTAAACCTCAACGACCATTTTCAGCACACTCAACATCAAGCATCCCACAAAGCCCGAAACTTACTCCCCTCATCCTCCAACAACGTCCCCGGCTCCCCAAACTCCACAACCCTCCCATTATCAAAAACAGCAATCCTGTCATAATCCCTAATGGTCCTCAACCTATGTGCCACAGCAATAATCGTACAATCCTTGAAATGCTCCTTGATGATACCTTGCATAAGTTCATCAGTCTGCAAATCAACACTAGCTGTGGCTTCATCAATGATGAGAATCTTGGAAGATCGAAGCATCGCTCGTGCGAGACAGAATAGTTGACGCTGTCCGTGAGAGAGGAGGTCTTCTGCTTCCATTGGCACGTCGAGACCGCCAGCATTTGTCATTATTGTCCATAAGCCGACTTTCTTCAAAACGGCCTCGGCTGTCGAGTAGTCTGCGAACTCCAATGGGTCGAGGTTTTGTCTAATGGTGCCTTTGAGAAAGATCGGATCTTGAGGGATGACGGTCAGACGCTCTCTTAGTGCTTTCCGAGGGATCGTTGAAAGATCCACGCCGTCGATGGTGATTGATCCTTCTTTGATTTCCAACATATGGAAAAGTAGGGCGACGAAGGAGGATTTCCCAGATCCAGAAGGTCCGCATATTCCAATTTTCTGACCACCAGGGATCGAGAGGTTGATGTTTTGAAGAGCCGATTGTTGATCAAGAGCATACGCAGCAGATATGTCCGAAACATCGATGCTGCCCTTGGTTGGCCACTCCGCCGGTACTTCTTGACATTCTCCGGGAAGGTTCTCCGACTGCACGCTACCAACGAATGACTTTATTCTCGATATGGCACCCAAGGAAGTTTCCAGAGCAGTCCAGCATTGGATGACAACAGTCAAAGACTGATTGAAATTCATTATGCTGATGAGTGCCACGCCAACAAACCCGGCATTAGTACTGTGGCGAAATCGAACAATCAATGCCACCAAGATGACAGCCAGAAAAGCCACAGCCAAGTCGATGACCAGAGCCAGCCATCTCTGAATGCAATATAGAAGATAAAATGGCCTTTGAGATGCGTCAAGAAGCTCCATGTTTCGTTTCTCCATATCTTTGCTCCATCCAAAAGCGCGGATTGTGACCATTCCGCTCAGAGTCTCGAGGAAGTTGCTGTAGAGGGGTGCTTTTGCTTCGAGATCCATGAGTCTGATTTGTCGAGAAGTCCGGAGGTAGAACTTCTGTATTATGTAGCAAACAATAGCTACAAATGGCAAGACAATAGCGAAGTAAGAGGCCGATATGCAGATGAAGATCGCCTGTATAATCGCGTTGTAAGTGTTACTTGCGAGTATCAGGCCTGACAGTGGAAGTTCCATGTCGATGACTGACAAGTCTTGGCTGAACCTGTTGACGATTTGCCCGGAGTCTGTGGAAGTGAAGAAAGAGAGCGGTGCATTTTCAACGGTTTCAAGTAATCGTCCATGAAGATATCTGGCTGATCGGGGTATCATGATGATAAACTGCATGCTGGCCAAAACCATCAATAAGGCAATAGCGAGAACTTCTGATGCGATGAATATGCCAAGGTAGAGCCCATTGACCGAGTTTCCATGAGCAGCAACGGCGCTCGTCCAGAATTTTACCCACAAATCTACTCACGATTAGTTTAGTTCGCATTGATTGAACGGATCTTACTTGGAAAGAGAGCAAAAGCGCTATAAAAAATCATTAACACCATCCAGATCAAGACATTCCTCCGACCAGCGCTTCTAAAGTAGTAATCATAAACTGCCCAGTTTCCTGCACCGCGATGGATGTCGGCTGCAGCGTTCTGCCTGGCCACATCATCACCTGCCGCAGGTTTTGCTGGAGCTGGTTCTTCATTAGGTGTGTCTTCTGATACATGTCGTGCGGCAAGCCCAGCCACATACCCATTCTTCCCGAGCAGCTCTTGGAGTTTTCCTTGCTCTGAAATGGTACCATTGGCATTCAGCGCAATGATGTGATCAGCGTAGGACAGGCGATGAGCCGCATGTGTAACAAGGATGACTGTCGTGCCTAGTTGACGGAGCAGGCCATTCTTTCCTAGCAAGCGTGAGAAAATGCGATCTTCACTTATGGCGTCCAGTCCACTGAAAACATCGTCGAGCATCAAAACCTTTTGTCGAGAATAAACAGCTCTACCCAGTGCCTACCCAACATTAGCATCAGTGTCGGCATAAAGGGCAATCATCATACTATACGCAGCTTTTGACCTCCAGACAGTGCAGCTCCGGCCGAGCCGACCTTAGTACTGTCACCTTCCGGAAGTGTCTCGATGTCCGTGTCCAGCGCACAAGCGTGAACAACCTTGGTGTACCATTCGGGCTCAAAATCAGAAACTCCAATGATGTTTTTCCGGACACTGGTGTTCTGAATCCAGGAAGTCTGGTCAACGAACGCTGTATATGCTCGGTCAATGTACACATTCCCCTTCGTCGAAGGGGTTTCTCCCAGTAGCCCTCGAAGCAGACTCGACTTGCCACATCCGACAGGACCCACGATCATCGTCAAGTCCCCAGTTGGAAAGTCAATGGAAATATCGTTGATCACTGGACTTTGCTCGTCGGACCATGCAAGTGTCAGATTTCGGACGCGGATGGTTGTTTGCGATGAGTCGAGGTTTCTGGGTCTGATGTCTTGTAACTCAATATCTGATTCGATGACTAACTCTGGGGTCAATGATCCCTCTCCAATCATGTCACTAGATTGACCTTGCGCTGGTACTAGCATTCGATGATCTTTCTTGGTCGGTGAGGATAGAAATTTCTCAATTCTGTCGAAACACCCAACAGCAGCTAGAAGAGGTGGAGTGGCGAAGACTACTTGGCGAATGGGTGCAACCAGCAGAGCAATAAGTGAAAGTGCCGTAAAAGCTTTGGTGACATCAAGGGTCTGGTGATTGACGGTAGCCTGGATAACAAAGATTACAAAAGCAGTCCCAGGGGCAAAGGCATCGGACACTGCAAGAAGTTAGTATTTGCTTCCGGTTAAGAATAAAAGCCGCATCTTCGAGAGAGGAATGGAACTTGTGCGGAAGCCGAAATAAGGGATACGTGCAGGTAAGCGAGGAGAAGGAATAAAGAAGGGGAGTAGTTACTGTTACCAAAAGCGATCATCCCGACGAAGAGCTTTCTCATCTTCAATGATCTAGTGATCTCGTCCAGTCTGAGTTGAGTGACAATGCTGGACATTTTCGAGCTTAGACCAAGCATTTTGACCCCTTTCATCGCCTGTAGCATCTTTGCCGTTGCATCGATTCTGGTCTGGACACCTTCCATCCAGGCCTTCTGCGCTTTCCCCATATGCGGTGAGATAAAGAATGGGCCTGATATCGCGCAGGCGGTTATGATCAACGGACCAAAGAGAGCTAGACCAATCTGTCTCTGAAGCAGCCAGATTGCCAATGCGATTTCAGTGGGTCCTGACCAGATGTTGTGTATCGGAAGGAGGGCCTCGCATATTCGTTCGACGTCCGAGGACATGAGAGTAACAGCGGCCGACTCATCAAGACTGGTAATTGACAAGTCCAGAGTTTGGGTGTAAATTGCATTCACAAGCGATCCCCTAACCATCGTTGCCATTCTGTTTGCCTTGTGCTGGTAAGCTCCACCAGTTATAGCCAGGCCGACGTAAACGAGCCCAACGGCCGCTGTCAGACCCCATCCACGATCAGAAGAGGCCTCAGAGTTGGGCTCTTGCACTAGCTTCGTGATGCTGCTGATCAGAAGTGGCTGCATGAAGCGAAAAAAGGTCAATGCGAGACGTGGCCATACTGCGGACGTAAACGGACCCAGCATTGAACGTGCCGTAACCCAGACCAGGGTATGTTTCTTAGGATATCTCGAGCCTGTATATCATGTCAGGTCTCACATATTCAGTTAGAGTCGAGCTTTACCCACGGCTTGCCCAATATTTGTTGAACCTTGTCTCGAGTGATTTTGACAGTAAATCCCCATCAGCTGCAAACAGATCGTCTTCATTGACGACGTTCCTGAATCCTAGTCGAAAGAGCGGGGTAAGCCACCAGAAAAGACCTCGAGAGTACAATCCACTAGTAGCTTCTGGAGATGGATCTGCATAAGGTGAGAAGAGTAGTCGTCTCTTCTCCGTGGCTTCGAAGATAAGAACCATAAGTTTGACGGCAAAGAGAGCGGATAAGATGCCATTTTCCGCGATACCGTTTCCACGAAGCCATCTGGTACGGAGTTGAGCAGCATCAAATGGGAGCGTAACAAGAAGATAGGCGTCGATGATTGAGCTTGGTCGAATGCTTTTGGTGTGCTCAAAGTACGACAGCACGTACAGGCCGACTGCAGCGGCAAGTGCAAGCAAAGCAGCAGCGAGAGAAGCACGAGTTCTGAATGATGATTGGGACACTTCAATGACATTGACAATTTGCAATACACTGAAGATAGCAAGGAGAATCTAGATTTCGTCAATACATGCTGACAACGACAAGACGGGGACTTACAATCTTGGTCGTTTGAAGATAGCTTCCAGTCACCTTGCGCGGGGTCTTCCATAATCGAAAGATCCTCGGTGGAATCAAAAGTAAGAACAAAGCAGATGGCAAGATTGACAGGATTGACTCCTCAAACAAAAGAGTGAAATCAAACGTCGTCTTTCCAGCAATCTTCAAGAAGGGACCAAATTCATTGTCGCGGATGAATGAGGAGTTAAGCGACCTGGAGTTGAGATGTGAGAAGCTCCACTGCGAGTCCATGGTGTCGAACCTATAGTCTAGCTATTTTCAATCCATCCTCTCAGTGGTTTACTTGAGGTTGATATCTCTCTCCATTCGTGGCAGCCTAAATGCATAAAACCTGAAACGGGAGCTCGAGCGATGCGACCGCGCAAAGGATGTCCAGCCCAGCATCTATTGCATCAGATCCTTGGTGGATTGAGTGCTCCAAATTATGTAAGCTCAAAGTCAAGATCCGGCATTGTCTTGGCAGAACTCAGGCAGAAGGTTTGGAAGACTTACTGGGCTATTTTTGTCAGCTTGTCGAGACGCTGCCTCAATTCTGCAGACTTTGACGCGTGGAAGCATTCAATTCTCAGGCAGCCACCTTTCCAGTGTGATTCCGGATTAAAATGTAGTCACCTAGTTGGCTGCAGAGAGGTGTGGTTAAAGCTGCACATTTGAAAATGTGATGCGGCACAGCAGGACCGAGATCCGATGAACGATTCCGAGAATGCTAGCAGCACGTGAGTTCGAGGAGACATCGTCAATCAAGGAGGAGTCTCGTAGGTAGAGGTTTGATGGCACCGCGAGATATAATAATCATTCCTATTCCACCGAATCCAAAGATACCGCTCCCAACGCCATGATCTAGCAGTCGTAAATCATCATAATCAGTCCTCCATGTCAATCCTAGACTAATCCCAGAGTAAGAAAACTCCAGCTCCGCAGCTACTTTAAGCAAGAGCTCCCATAGGATCCCAAAGAGGAAGCACCTTCGGCTTCATATCCAAAACATCTCTAATCTCCTTGCTGACAAACTTAGGTTCAACTACAGCTTGGTACACGAACTCATCCATCCATTTGTCGCTCATCACAAACCACCCATCACTTCCTGCTGCCTCGCCCCAAGAGTTTTGCACACGCCATCTGACGCTCTTGCCATTCTCGACATGAACAGCAGTCAAGACCATTGCATGTGTCATAGCACTTTCACCAACCATCAAACGCTGAGCTTTAGACATGCCAAGACGGACATTGAAACCAAGCTCATAGTCAATAAGTGAGGTGTCCATGATACCAGAGGTAGAATTCGAGTATTTTCCAACATCAGAGCCGAAAAAAATTGGTAGACCAGCTTGAAGCATCTTAATGCATGCTCCCTTGAGAACATCCATCGAGACGTTAACATAGGTAATGCCACGACCACCAACGATGTTGCCGAGACGATTGACAGTAAGAAGGGTGTTGTATTCGTTTCTGGGATCATTGACCAGAGAGAACATATCATGAACATTAGAGCCTGTGATACGTACTGCCTTTGCAGTGTCCAATTCTTTGGCAAATGAAAGCGGGGTAGTCTTCATCTCGTGAGCAGCACCATTCTTATCGAGGTAGTTCCAGGTAAACTCTCCAGTTGGTGCGGGTGGAGGTCCAAGAGTCAGAGTCAGAATGAGGTGGATCTCTTTCATCATCTTCTCCTTGACAGTATTAATTTCCTTTGAAGACTTGACTCCAGATGTAGCCATAGCTCGAAGTTGCAAAGCGTCCTCCCGCAGTTTCGTTGTAATCAAGCTATTGATAGCGCCCGAGGACTGGGCGTTGAACGAATCCGGATAGAGAACTTGTGGTACCAGCCCATATTTGTTTACCAAGTTATACACCATGTCCCATTGTCCACCGTCACTAACTGGACTCCCCAGAAGTGTCTGGACCAATCGACTGTCGAGATCCTCGCCCACTGTGTCTAAAATCTGCTCGAGGAAGTAGTTGGCTTTCTCTAATTTATCGTAGAAAAAGAGGTATGCTTGTGAAAGCTCGAATTTGTCGAGGCTGTGACGTTTCATGAGAGCTACACGAAAGACGTTTGTGGATGCGAAGAGCCAGCATCGTCCTGAGGATCGTTGGTTCGTAATAGGGGCACCTTCAAAAGGGATTTTCACGTTGAAGATCTGCTGGTCTTTTATAGCGGTCGAGCGGGATGTCAGAACAGTTTTGGGGTCTGCGGCGCTGAGAGCACTGAGAGCAAGTCTATCACCATCTGTGAGCTGGGTGAACAATCAAACGAAGGAAGGAGGTTGACCTGTTCTTGGGATCTTGCAGAAGCTCATGCTCCCAATGTTCCAACTCGGATGTAGACAGAGATGTCCATGGAGCTTTGAAATGGGTAGAGCTTGCTGCTAATGCTTTCTCGTCGACTTGGACATATTCGCTATCGGACTGGTCCTTGACCTCGAGAGCTCGTAAACGTTCGATAACAAGCTTCTCGTTAGGAAGTGGGGACTTGGACTGGTTTGCACCCATCTTGGAAGATTCGTATTGATGAATTTGATGAAAAGAGAGATTCCCTTGGTGTAGAGGAGACAATAGTGAGGTACGGCGGGGAAAGATGGGGGAACTGAAGGTTGAAGCCGTCGATAGCTTATCGCGCTGCTTCCTTCCAAACTCGGCCAAGCGCGGCCAACAAGGTATGAATGCGTGTTGCGCGTGCACTTCTTTCATACGAAATCTGATGCATGTTTTTCTACACCTTGCTCAAATTTGAGAGGCGAATGAAAGACTGCGTCATCTGCTGAAGATGATTTGGAAGCTTAAGATATTAGTTCCGTTATCAGCAATGCTTGCTCTACAGTACATAAGATCTTAGATAGCTAAGAACCCTGCAGATATCAAAAAGAGTGCTATTCGCGATCTTATAACGATAACGAGTATCCCAGACAAGCAGAACCTCGGCAGGCTTGCAACCGGCACTTGTAGTTGTTTACAATGGAGGGAGAATTTATTATTCATCTCTCTTCGAATGCTGACCAAAATAGAGATATGAGACACCGCTTCTCTTACTTTTGAGACTTCTTCTAATCCAACAAAGCTAAATATATCGTCCCTCTTCAAAGAATGAATAATACCAAACCAGATTGGAACATTTCTAAATGTTCGATCTACTGTCGATGCCTAGAACCGCGGAGATCGAGAACGTGAAGTAAGAGGGTAGTCAAGGTACCTATTCTCGCACAGTGCTCCAGCGTTGACTTCTGAATCTAATATTTTGCTTAAAGAAAACGTATCCAAATTGCATTGCAACTGCAACGAGAAATCTCTCCACATATAGCATATTGGCCCACAAGCCGCAGCCTCGGCCAATGAGCTTTGCACAGAGGGAGAGGGCGCAGGGCTCTGATGAGCACCTTGAAGCTGTTCAGGGGCTCGCTTATCCATTCATTTCCCTATCCTCACTCAAACCATCTTCTCCCCCTTCTGACCACTATCACCCTCCCCATCCATCCCCACCCCCTCAACAACCAACCCCTCCTCCCTCAACGCCTCCCTCTGCTCCCCACTCAACGTCCCCAAATCCAACGTAATCTTCGGCCCCTTAAACCACTTCCTTGCATCCACAAAATAATACACCAAACTGCCTCCCCAAACACACATATTGATCACCACCGTATAATTCATGTTCTGGGGCGTCGGGTTCGGTCCGCCTACGGGGAACATCGCCAGCACGATCCCGAACGAGAGAAACGTTACCGCGAGCCACGCGATGGGTTTCGAAAAGCGACCAGTGTAGAAGGGTCCCGGTTTGAATTTGGAATTACCCCAGTACACGCGGCAGAATATGGGGGTTAGCCAGGCGAGGTTGTTGCCTGCTACGCAGAGAGAGAAGAGTGCGGATGCGGCAGCGGGGGCGATGAGGCAGAGTAACCCGAGGATAGCGGCAAAGATCGCGCAGCCCCAGACTGTCCGGACGGGCGTGTACGGGAAGTAGGTGCTGATGGGTCGGAAGAAACGGGAGAATGGTAGAGCTCCGTCGCGAGAGAAGGCCCAAGATTGCCGGGATACGGCTACGAGCTGGATATGTTAGTAGGTTGAGAGGCAGAGGAGCAAAGGGGTGATATACTGTAGAGAGTCCCATTTGGAATTGGCAGATGAAGAGGAGGGCCATGAGGCCCATTGCTCCATGTTTGCCGACTGCGTCGTAGTATATCTGCAGTGACGATGATTAGCAGTGAGCTTGCAGACTGAGAGGTAGGTAAACAGACTTGGGCCATGGGTTGGCCGAATGGACTACTCAGTACGGCTTGGAGATTAGGATTGATGCAAGCTGCGATTACAATCATCATGAAAGTGCCCAGGATCCAAGAAGCACCAATAGCACTCATGATGCCGTACGGTACGGCCTTTGCGGCGTTGAGGGCTAATATATGTCAGTGTGAAACCACTGAATCGAGAGGGTGTGGAAGTCATACCTTCTTCAGAGATATGAACACAAGAATCAAAGTCCCCAATAGTCCAAATCGGAGACAACCATGCTAGCATAAAAGCCCACCCTGTCGGCCATGTAGTGAGATTCTCTACTTGAGCGAAGATATAATGGGCGTCGTTTCGCTGTGAGTGTCGTCCGATAGGTAGAGCGATCATTGTTGCGGCGAGGAGGATCAAGTTCATAATGACGCTGACTGTTTGGAGTTTACCGATGATTCGTTGAAGAGTAGTTGCGAGCATTGCATGACAAATGACTGTGATCAAGAAGACTCCCTATATCGTTTTAGAAATGAAAAGAATGTTGGGAAGAGTTGTCCAACATAAATTGTGCCATTTGAAGGAGTCCAGTTCCCATCTCGAGCTATGACGATCACTGACAGGAACATGAGTGAGAACCCATCTGCTTCAACATCAGTTTTTGAACTAGTGAGTCAAAGTTCCCAACTCACAGTCCACAGAGCAGAGACATCCAACAAGGCCCAGCGTATTAGAGTACCCGACCAGGAAACAAAGCGGATTTCGCCATTTTGGTGAAGCGAAGAAATGCGTCCACCAATACAGCCCACCCGATGTTGGCATAGAAGAAGCAAGATCTGCCTAAGGTTGTCAGTGTGCTTACGGTAAAGTCGTCGAATGCTTACCATAGCAACACCAACGCAGAATATAAATCCAGCTGCAAGAAACCAGCCCTGATATTTCTCATCAGCGATTGATGTAAGACGGTCTGCGCACATGGAAAGCTCACCCAGACCATGCCAACAGGGCCCGCCGGTATGGAGTATGACAAAGTCGACGCAATTGAAGGCAGAAGACTGATGATGCTGAACGCAATTCCAAAGACCTCAAACGTAGTAAAGTTCCTCTTCAATTCTTGCTTGTATCCAAGCTGAGCTGTTCCCATATCAGCATGAACTTTTCTTTGCATCTCGGTGCATCTCTTACCCAATAATTCGGCATCCCCAGAATCTGCCAAAACAGTCGTCTCATCATTCCCCAGCACCTTTTCCGGCACCGATTCGACCGTTTGAGGAGAATCCGACTCTTGCATCGACATCTTGGCAAGTAAGTCTCGAGCACAAGTACTCAATTGCAGCATCCACTCGAACCTGCCAAGAGGCCAAGCTTTATGTATCCATAAAACAAGCATTCCGGGTCCCTCGCAGCATGGCGGGGAAGAGCGCCTTATCGTGACCATCATCGATAAGGGTGGTTCGACCCAGGTACCAGATTGTAGGGATTTGTACGAGGCCGATGTTGTGTTATTGGTACGTAGATTTTGACGTTTGTGAAAGTGGGGGAAGGATTTCCTGATTGAGATAGCGAATCCCGATGTGCGATTTAGTAGCAAATAGGGTTTCGTGGATAAGAGATATGATAGCGTTGAAATTGTAGATGTGAAGCTTTCTCCAAGGAGATGAGATTCTAGGCCTCGATATATGTAAGAGCTGAGGCCACGACACACGGCCCACTTAAGCGAGACGCGGTACGCGTCCTCTTTTCAGCACCTCCTTTTTAAAACTTTAATAACTCAACAACTACTTATTCAATTCTTCTGCAATTCAACATGGAAACACCTGTAATACTCAGCTCACCCCTCGAGAAAGGTAAGGGAGAATGACCTACCCCTGCGCGCGCAATTATCCGCAGCTTACAACGACAAGGAAAATCTCAGCGCGAGATCGTCCAAGAGACTCAGGTGCCTAGGAGGACTGTACGTCGCATTCTTAAGCTAGAACACACCGCAGAGAGCGTAAAAAGAAGCACCCGAAACCTCATTTGATGTCTATAAGAACGATATGCCAATGCATTCGCACTATCTCAAAAGATTGGTCCTCTCGCAGGATGAACTTTTCGAGCCTCAAAACCCTACTACGGCTCGCTCCCTCTGTTCGAACTATACGCCGAGAATTAGCCCGCGCAGGCTACCGTCGCTGCATTGCATGCCCTCGACCCTATATATCAAGAGTACAAGCTAAGAAGAGGTTGCGCTTTGCGCGGGATCATAGGTGGTGGGGCACATCAGACTATGCAGCTCATAGGGATGATCGCAGGCAAGGAGGAGACTGGAGGAAGGTTGTCTGGTCTGATGAGGCAATATTCGAGACTGGCAAGAATGGCAGGATCTGGGTGACTAGGAGGGTAGATGAAAGGAGGTGCCCTGACTGCATCCGGTCAGTTTATAGGTCAGGAAGGACCACGGTCATGATTTGGGGGGCATTGGGCTGGGAATATAAATCACCATTGGTTTTTATGGAGAAGCTTCCAGAACGCAAGGGCATATGCTCTAAGGTGTACCTTCAGCAGGTTCTTGAACCCATAGTCTTCCCTCTATTTGACACCCTTGGGCCGGAGTATATCTTCATGGAAGATGGCTCAAAAGTGCATAAAGGGAATGCCCGGTTGCCAAGACTTCAGCATGGAATCCGCGGGTTCAATTGGCCTCCTTCTTCACCTGATCTGAATCCTATTGAAAAGGTTTGGCGATGGATGAAAGAAGAACTAAAGAAATTGCCTTATGTGCCTAAAAGTAAAGAGGATTTGAAAAGGGAGTTGCAAAAGCTATGGGATCGAGTAGATCCACGTGATTTCAGGCCGTACACAGAGCGTTTAACTTGTAAGATTGAAGATGTGATTGCTGTCCGAGGTTTAGCTACTATTCATTAATTTATAGTTAATATCTTAGAAGATTCCATTAAGAATTGTAGTTATTATAATAGATATAAAACTAGGTGTAATTTTGAGGTTCTCGCTTAAGTGGGCCGTGTGTCGTGGCCTCAGCTCTTATTATTTCACTTGTTGTTAATAGCCTAGGTCGAGGCTGGCCGAAGGGCAGCCGAGAAGGAAGGGTTTCAGACAACAAATGAAGCTCTCTCCTAGCTAGAACATTTCGCTTCACCTTTCATCGTCATGACACTAAAGTAACGTGTAGAATTCTCTTTTATCTGGAGTTTGGTTTCTCGTGGGATTAATTTGCTTATCGGGGATCATCTCCAACTTCATCTCCTGTCAACTTTGCATTGTCGCAACCCTCAAGTTTGTTATCGACGAAGACCTCTCTGTTCTGGCACTGATCCAAAGACACTTGAGATTCTACTTTCGAACTGCAACATTCTGTTCTCAAATTTGACATGTGGAGTGAGTGATCTCCACCTCACCGAATTCCACTTCAGAACCTAACATTGTCGCACCCAACAAAGGTCTAAACTTGTCAAAATACTAGATGAATTGTTTTCCTTCATCTCACTAGAGCGACTTGAAGGAGTATGTATTCTCGCTCACGTCGTCGCCGGCGTCGTCAACATTAGAAAGCTTTTAGGAATATGTGAACTCAGACCATGATAAAGGAGCACACGACAATCAAGTTTTGCCCTAGAAACCATGTAGTCTCCCGAAGCAATGAGCAGGATTATTGTTTCTATGCTCGATATCTCTAGCGTCTCCCGTAACGAAGAGACGAGGACCTCACTCCACATCTTAAGAACTAAAGATATATTCAGCACCACCAAGTGCAACAACAAGAACAGTCAAATAATAGCAGCAAGGCAACGCAGCAAATGTGAAACAACACAAGCCATTCTAAAAGTCCAGCGCATCTGAAAATCTACATCTGTTCGCCAAGGGATGTCAACTCTTCTCCAACCTACTGAAAAGAAAGCAAAAAGGCATCACCGCGTTCACTTGAATCCACCAACATCACGAATTTCCGACGATGAAGACATACAATCAAGTATTGAACAATTGGGGAAAAAATTTCATCACGAGAGATATAAAACTTGAAGGGTGTGAGGCGCGGGAAAGAGATCAGGAGACGAGCGGGACGGGCCGTGATCCGAGTTTTTGAGTTTGAGGTAGGAATGTGTTCGAGGCATTCCTGACTGCATTCCTTGAGCACAGCAATTATAAGACTTTGCAATGGAAAGCACTTGCTCTTCCCACTCTGAAAACCCCAATAACACGATCTCGAAAACCATCATTTAGACCAAGAGAAAACATCACTGTCACAAAGGCACAGGACCAATAAAAGTTTTAATTCACACTCCATTGCATTCCATCTAATCCTATCTACAATACAGAAAGGAAAAAGAATAGTGTTCGGATCCCACACCTCCGCCTCAAACCCCAAAGTCCACCAACGAAACCATCCAATCTCCTCCTCAAAGTAAGGCATCAACCCTACCCATAACCCAGAAACCTGAGTGATGAGTATAGGACGCACCGACCAAGAAGTAGATCTTCAGACCTGGCCAACGAACTATGGAGTCTAGAGACAAAAGAGAGTGTGAGAAAGAGCAAGCATGAAGAACAACTATTCACGATCCGTCATTAGGCAACTCCATCCATCCGGCAATATCCATCCAATAAACAATTTGAGTTTCCCTGCACCTGCACTGGACGATGAGACCAATTCTTTCCATTCCATGTTTTGAGTTTCTGTCTGTATGTATTCGTATCTTTCCCCGTCATATCAAAGCACCGCTTGGCAAGAAAATGCGCTATGTAAGGACAATGAGTGAAGTGAGAGGAAAAAGATTACAGGCGGGAACCATGGATGGTCTTCATGTCGACGGCGAGCTCACGACCTTGATCTGAGATGACCAGGACGCGAACGGAACCACGGCCAGATTCGAAGGCCTCGGACAGACGTCCCCAAAGGTTGGATTGATCGATGACGGGAAGGTTTTGCTTGACATCACCAGTCTCGGTCATGGCAACGACTATGTTGTGTCAGTCGAGGGTCAATGGAGATTGGAATAGAAGAACTTACCAACACCATCTTGGAGATCAAGAACACGGTATTGCTTGAAGACAGGGCCGAGCATGGTTTGGACGACAACACTTGGGCTTGGGTTCGAGATGAAGGAAGACTCCTCATGCAATTGCTTGGTGAAGAGGTCGACACCCAAGTATCGGTGTTGGCCAGTGGCAGCTGAAGTGGTGATGCGGATGACTTGGCAGGGACGACCTTGAAGGATCAAGAGATCGCCGAGACGGATGTGGTGGCATGGGATCGTAACGGTGTTGGGAGTATAGGCTGGCTCGGCGGCGGCACGAGGACCCTCGGAGCGTGGGCCAGCTATGGTAATGTCAATCTCTTCCCGATCAACATGATGATGGTGATGACGTCCAAGGACACGATCAGCAGCACGGTGGAGACCGTGACGGAAGGAGTGATAGTGACCTGGAAAGGACATTTAGGCTTGGGGGTGGTGCATGAACTCAAGAGAATGACTTACCATCTTCATCGTAGTAACCCATCTTGGCTTTGGGGAAACGGGAGGGAGGATCTACGGTCTCTTGAGAGACGCGGACTTCTTGAAAGCGGGAAGACGGGTCGACGGTCTCTTCAGTGAAGCGGACCTTTTCTCTGATTGGCTTGCGGAGAGATGGCGGGTCAACAGTGGAACCGGTGACACGAACCTCTTCACGGTAGGTGGATTGAGGTCGAGGAGGGTCAACGGTAGTACCAGAGACACGAACTTCCTCACGGAAGGATGTTTGTTGGTGACGGGGAGGGTCGACGGTGGTACCGCTGACACGAACTTCTTCCTGGTAGCTGGGCTGGAAACGGGGCGGGTCTACAGTCGCACCGGTGACTCGGATATCCTCACGGTAGCTGGGCTGGACACGAGATCGGTACTCACGCTCGGCGATGTCGATATCAGTACCAGCGTATTGGCGGCGGTGTGGACGAGGGCCTTCGATGTCAACGTTGTATGTAGTCTTGTATTCTCGTCGACGATTGGGAACTTCGAAGTCGATGTGTGTAGATGATTGTTGTTGTTGAGGTTGGAATGTGGTGGTAGGTCTAAAGAGAAAGAAGATGTTAGTCGACCGGGAAGAAAATAAGTCGGTGTGCGGACCAGGTAGGGCAGGTTACTGTGTCAACAAAGCAAAAAAGAAAGGAGAGGGAAAAATCGAATGAAGCGCCCCTGTCTGATTCAGGCGCTTGGACGCGTAATTTGTCTGCTGGAGACAATTGGCCAGATGGCTGGGGGAGGGCAAAGCCACCCGAAAACATTGCCAATGCTGCAGATTTGTTGGGCGGGATTGGGGGATTAGGGAGAGGAGAGGGTGGCAGATCGACGCTGCCAGCGCTGCAGACACGCCGCAGATCTGCCAATGCCCTCAAAAACACAGGAAAGTATACCACGTACCTTCTCTCGTCGCGGATGTAGATATCTTCTCTGCGGCTCGGACGGTGGTGACGCTCCTCTTCCCGGGTGATGTGGACTACCTCCTCGGCTTGGTATCGGTCGTCCTGGGGCGGTGGAGGAAGGTTGGCGGAGAACGAAGAGTATTGACCGTCCCGTCCGACGCGCGATGAGGCCTGGGGGAGCTTGATTTCACCCTCGACGTGAGTCTGGGTGGTGGTTTGCTGCTCGTCGCTCCGGTACGACGATGGGAAAACGCTGAAGGGGATCGGTACTCGGGCGTCAAAGTCCAGATTGACGACCTTTCAGGGCGAGAACTCTTCTCGAATGCCTTTCGACGTGCCGAAAGGAAGACAAGAAGGGGTCTCTTGCTTCTATTGAAAGAAGGGGAGGGAAGAGAGCGATCTGGGACGAACGCTTCTTGACTCGATAATCTTTCAGGTTGAAGAGGGGGATCTGAAAGGATGAGGTTTTTTTTGGAGATGTTTGCACGAGGCTGAATGTGGTGTTTTGTTGTGATGATGTGAAGGAGAAAGGAAGAAGAATTGTGTGTGAGGGGTGGATGGAAGGAGAGAGGATTGGATTTCAGAAAACGGGGCAAGCGACAGCAAAGAAATAAGCGGTGGCTTGTTGACGCTGCTCACTTTCGTTTGCTGCTGCGCTGCCTTTCCCTGTCGTGTTTTTTGTTTACATGGGACGAGCCACTAAAACCGCTAAAATGGTCCGTGCTGAAGCTAGGGGGGCTGGGAAATAATACGCATTCTATTGGCTAGATGATGGAAAAGGTACCACATAAAAAAAGATTATTGGATGGAATAGCTAATATCGCTCATTTAGGTTACAATGTGTAAGTGGAGGTCAGACTATCAAATTTGGCCTCAGGTGTCTCAATTTGCGTTCAGCCCGTTGGGGTGGAGATGATGCACTTAGATGCAACCAAGAGGAAACTCAGGCTGGCGTGGAACTCGAAATGGTGCACCACAACGAGGTCAATCGCCTTGGGAAAACCCTCCCAACCACCGCAATGAAGCTTCATGAAGCTCCATCAAAGTGGGGTTCACAGACAGATGATGGGAAGCAAATTTCGAGTACTCAAACACACGTCCTCAATTGTTCGTCCGAGTATCCAGCCCAGCCAATTCGACACCAGACGAGCTTCACCAGCCTCAGATATTGCAGTACACCACCACCACCAAAACACGCCCAACCTCTTTATTTCTGACCACCATCACTCACCGGAGATACAACCCGCCCGACACCGATTCTCACCACTGGGCAATCGCCGTTTCGAATAATACGGCACGATTCGTGATGCTGCACATGAGAGCTGCACAACCCGCATACACTCTGCAGCATCCCTCCACCACCAGAAGCTTCCCACAGGCATAATGCATCATGCACGCAACAGCCTCACCAAGGGATCAGCACCCTCGTGTGGAGAAGACACCTCGAACTTTCAGCTCCGCCCAGGACTCTTCCCAGTCCTCGTGCAGATGTCCCTGTCGTGGAACGAGCGGATTGGACACCGTTTTCCCGCCCTGCCTTTTTTCCATGTGATACGAACGAAGTCTTTTTCTTCCAACCTCCTTCGATTTATAAGAAAATGAGGGGAAGGGGTTTCCATCTCGTTAGCAGTGGAAGAAGAAATCCCCACGCGCGAGCGAAGTTTGGTTTCACGCCGAGGTCCATCATCCAATATTCGGATAGGGGGTAGTGCGCCCGTTACCATGGAGACATCGGAGCTGTTTCATTGCGGATCAATGTCCGAGCCGTCGACCTAGCGCCCGGCTTTTCCCACGCTGTCACGAGGTTTCGTGTCAGCGTCAATAGAGGTGTCAATAATGATGCTCGGAAGATCGTTGCAACTCCAAGAGCGAGTGTTCTAAATGGATGATGAATGAGGCCAATGAGACCATTGAGCGGTATCTCAAGTCGGAATCCTCAATGAAGGCTCATGGTTGCTTTTTTCGAGGCCTGCAGGGGTTGAATCATGGGAGGTGAGTTTGGGATGCAAGCGCTTGTGCTCAAGTTGAAGCATCAGAAACCAAAGTGGCGTTGGATGCGAATATCTACTTGGCATTTCGAGCTCGTGATATTCAGCACCAAGGCCACTAAAGTTTCTCACTGCTCTGTTTTACGCTCTACGCTATAACCATGTGACTTTGGCTCCACGAACCTCGAATTGCTCATGTTTCGCTCTGCTTTCCGAGTCTATGGATTATGCCTCATTGTCTGTCCTTCGAGATTTGATGACACTGCTCCTAAGACTCAAGTTTGTTTTCGCTGGGAGACTTGGTGCTTGTAAACTTCTCTTCGTCACATTCAGTTCTGAGCGGTGGAATATTGAGACTATTACGCCGCTTCTGTATTTCTCTCAAGTCGGAGACTTTATGGGCGCCATCTCCATGTACAGTAATCTATCTATACTACAACTCAACTTTTTTCTCCCCCATGCTATGAGCACAAGTACCACTCCTAGCCATAAACATGCCTGCATACGATTTGTCCTTTTCTTGTCTTGGTAGAAGAACCCTTAACGCGTCTCAAGAAAATCTGTACAACAAGTCCCTCCACTGCAGTAGTGACCATGAAACCAGCGTCAGAGTTAATCGTCACAAAGATCAATTACCACCATCTTCTCCTTTCCTTTTCTCGCCCTCTTCTGCTTCTTCAGCGGGCCCTCCTCTTCCTCACTTTCCTCGACATGCTCTCTCTTAATCCCGGCTCCAATTCTAGAACTCTGAATCGATTAGCTTCGAACCCCAAAGCGACATCGCCAAACACATACCTTTAGCCCATCCACATAAGCCTTCGCCATGCTTCTCTGCTCTGGTGTCAACCCATCAAGATTCAAAGTGGAAACTCCAAGCTCAAGCTCAAGTTCCGGCTCAGGAGTCCTCTCAATAATCATCAACTCTTTCAATGCCTCTACTACACATTAGCACATCTCCCTTCTAGCCAATCCCGAGTACTCACGCTCAGACCTATACTTAAAAGTAAAGCACGCAATCGGAGCCTGATCCAACTTCCCCACCCGTCTCCTAACAACAGGTCTCTCAACCACCTTCTCCTCAACAAAGCTATGACACACTTGTCAGCACCACCCAATCCTCTCCATTCAACAAAAGAAACTCACTCAACACAATGATAAACCGGCTCCCCCTTCAGCGCCTTCTCATGCACCGCCCTCGCCCCCATCCCCACCTCCAAAACTTCACTTCGCGCATACCAATCCCGCACAACACCCTCGCCCAACCGCCAGAACTCGACATCGATTCTTCCCGCATTCGCTAAAAGCCGCTGATCCCCTTCAGCTGGCACATTCTCGTCCGCTATTAACTTCATATTGGCCTCTCTCTCCCTTCCTTTCCCCCTTCCCCCAAACAATAAAAGGAACAACTCACAAGTCCTCCTCCCAACAAACCTCAAACTCCTCAGCACCTGCTTCCCCCTCCCATCCACCCCCTTCACACCCCGAATCACAAACCTCCTCTCCCTGTCCCTCTCCCTCTCCCCGTCCGCCTTCCTAACCGTCTCCCGAACAACCAACGTCCCATCAACGAAAACATTTACTCCCAGCAAAGGCGCGGTGTTCGTCAGCGCGGAGAAGGGCGGAGCGAGGCTGTAGCGGATGGCGAAGGGCGTGTTGGGGGTGGAGGCGATGTAGGTTGTTGAGGTTGTTATGGGGTTTGTTGACTGCGAGGGGGATGAGGTTCGAGAGGAGGATGGGTCGGGTTCGGGGTATTCGGTTAGAGGGCGGTTGTTGATGAGGATTGAGACGGAGAGGCCGGGGTGGTGGAGATCGAATTGAAAGTTGTGTGGAAGAGGCGAGAGTCGGAGGAGGTGAGAACGATAGAGAACTTCTCGGTAGATGTTATTCCGGCCGAGTTTGATGAAGTTGAGCGGATGGAGAGTCAAGGGCAAATTTAAGAATGTCTTGTCGAGTTGGGTGTTGTGGGAATGTGGAAGGCTGGTACAAGATGCATCTTTAGCTTATTTCGATGGTGTAATACTGTTTTATTTTTTTCTCACTTTTATCTTCATTATGACTTTGTTCTGTAGATAACTTTTTTGGTAGCTCTTTACAGCGAGATGCTGATTATCTTGTCTCAGTCACGTAGTTGTCAAAGTCAAGATTGTGGGGCATCATGTACATTATTCTATACGATAGCAAGAAAGTTGCAGACCTCTGGCTCTACATGATGTAGCTATCCGACTCCCAGCTCTGCTTGTATGGATATCGTAGAGAATCCTTGATAAAAGAAAAGAAAATGTTGTGCCCGAGGATCAGAATCCAAGTCGATGTCAGTCCAAGCATCCTCCAACTCCCCGCTGAATCTTTCTCAGAGACATCAGTCATCGGTAAGATCAATCGTGACTTTCTCTCCCAATCTCCTGGGTCTCTTTGGTTGACTTGAAGGACCATCCTCAGTTTTGAACTCGCGCTTGATTCCAGGAGCTTGGCTCGAACCAGACTGTTATATCCACTTAGAAAGAGAGCTATCAATCAACAGGGTACGCACCTTCAAATTTCTCATGAACTCCTCTACCTTACGCTTCTGATCCGCGTCGAGATCCTCAAAGCTAACTGCCTCTGCTGGAGCTGGTGATGGCTCCTCTGGTTCTGGGGTACGCTCGATTACGAGAAGCTCTTTCAATGCCACTGGCAAATATGTTAGTGGAGATCAGTAAACAAGACCAATACCTCTAGACTTGCCCTCCGACCTGTACTTGAATGTGAAGCTTGCGAGAGGAGTCTCATCTAGCTTAGCCGTTCGCAATATGGTGTTCTTGAAAGCTACAGGCTTTGCATCACCAAGCCTTGTTTGGTCAGTAATTGTTGTAAGATTTCTAGATAAATGCCCACTCACGATACACCATGATACTTTGGCTCCCCTTTCAGAGCTTTCTCATGAACATCTGATGTCCGTAGCTTTGCACTCCAGTCCTTCTTCCGGCTAACTCTCACTGCATCGCCCCCACGCCACAAAGTGACAGCGATAGATCCAACTTTGGCCATGAGATTGATATCTTTATCAACTCTTTTATACGCGTCATCGTCAAGCGCTACAAGTATCAGTGGAAGTCTTCTAAAATTGATAACACTTACTAGTTTTGACGGCCGAAAAGCAAAACGTCTTGAACATCTTTTCACCGTTCTCCACATACTTCACTCCACTGATGATACCTTCCACAATTTTGCCACCAGGAAACCTATCTCTGTCGAAAGCCTTCCCAGGCACGCTCTTGCCATCTACGCAGACATGCACCTTGAGGTTTGGGCAATCAACGTCGAAGGGATGGCCCATGGTGTATTTGATGGTGAATTCTTGATCCGTCATCGACTTGACATATTTGGAGATCGATTTTGTGGTGTTAGGCTGAAAAGGTGTTCCTTCTTCAGGGGGGTCATCAAACTCCTCGAGTGGGATGCCGTTGACGCAAATCGTAACCTCGACACCAGGGAGATCTGGATGGATCGCCATTGCAGTGGGGTTGAGTTGTTGTTCTGGTGCGGGGTCGAGTGTTTGCGGAAGTTTTTGAGAGATATGAAAATCAAGTTGAAACCGAGTTAAGTTGTGATGCCGCCAGAAAACATTGAAGGTGAACTTCGAAGAAGCAAATGGGATCCTCGACCTCCAGTGGCGGAATCCTTGTGGCTGAAGCAATTGTTTCTGTTAGATTAGGATGCGGAAATCTCAGAGCATTTTCATACGCGGTTGGATAAAGGAAGGAGTAAATCATGCGGAAGGTTACCTAGGTATGAGCACCATTGTTGGAAGTCACGATGTTGAACGCGTCGCTTAATTCGGCATGGCTTGACTACATGGAGCATGGGTCATGACTTATTGACGAAGCATCAGGTAACATCTGAAGCAATACAGAGCGACATTGGGTTAGCGAATGCCTTTCTAAATTTAAACTGTAGAGTGCATGGTGACGTTCTCAGAAAAAGCTAGATAGCGCATGCCTCTCCTTGCAATGTACACGCAACCCTCCTTCATCAATGCAGACCTGGGTATAATAATAAGCAGGGCCAAACTCCAAAACTCCTTAGCAGACGAAAGAAAGATGCATATCGTGAGTCTTGTTCTCCGTTCCATAGGCAGTAGTCTGACTTGGTGTGACCATGCTCCAAATTAAGTCGGTGCTAGTCTCCAGTAAGGTCGACTATCTCAACCTCTTCGGCCGTCTTGAGCTTCTTCTTCAGTTGAAGGGGTGACTTTTCGCCGTCACGTTCTCGCTTCACCTTCTTAGGTTGAGTACTTGGCCCGCCCTCCTTTATACTGTCAGATGAAGTACCTCGAAGAGAAAAATTACGTACTGTAAGGTTCCGGACGAAGTCTTCTACTTTTCGTCGTTGGTTGTCGTTAAGATGTTCGAGGTCGACAGCAGGCGGCACCTCAGGCGGAGCCTCAGCTGGCGCTGCTGCTTCTTCTGGCTCTGGCAAACGTTCAATGATGAGAAGCTCTTTCAGCGCTTCTGCCACAGTATCTTAGTATAAACGCGGTGGCATGGAAAGAGTTCTTACTGTTCGACCTGTACTTGAATACGAATCTTAAAATAGGGGAGTCCGAACCGTCCAATTCCGTATATGTCCTGGCTTTGTTCTCAGATGATACTACACGCGCGTCCCCGAACCTAGACGGTCAGTGGCTTCCTACCACGCCGCGGAAATACTTACGATGCACCATGGTACTTTGGTTCGCCTTTGAGTGATTTCTCGTGGAGTTTCGAGTCGGGATCAAGGCCGAGTTTGGGCACGTTGGAATCGCGATCAAAACTAGCACCCCCCGAGCATCGGAAGACCTCGATACTTATTTTCCCCGTTTTGCTCATTGTCTTCTTGTCATCCTCGAGAGTGCGCATAGCGTTCTGATTAAGAGCTGCCCTCGATTAGCTATGGTTGAATGCGGTAGTCAATGATGCAGCATACTTGTTTCAATTTTCGTAAACTTAAAAGGCAGTAGATACACAGGGGTCTTTCCTTTCCCTCCCTTCTTCACTCCTTCTTGGTGGATTACCCATGGAGTATGTGTCTTGCGATCATCAAAGGCAGCACCACCGAAATTCTCACCATCTATGTTGGTGTAGAAGACAAGGAATGGAGAAGTGAGCTGATAATGGTTATCAAGCACAAACTTGATTCCGAACTCCTGATCTGCGACAGACTCGATGTATTTCGTGATCGTCTTGGTCTCAAAGCCCACGGCATTTCGTGTCGTGCCAGTCCAAGAGTCTTCATCGTCGTACTCACGAAGGGGTTCGTTGTTGACGCAGATGGCGACTTCGATGCCCGGCAGCAGTGGATGGATCGCCATTATGACAGGTAATTCGGCGGGGGCAGTATGGTAGACTACGACAGGGTGTTAGCTCTGTGTGAGAAATGTTGTCTTTCACAGCCTCATTCGCATTTGGACTGCGAGGTTGAGTAAAACATCTTTGGATCGCTAGTAATAAGACAATAGGAAAGTAGGCAGACTCACTGATCGAAGAAACCGAGCTCCTTGGTAGTTGCAGAATACCAAGGACTTGGATTTATATAGGTTGTACAGAAATTCTGCGAGGCTGTGATAGGAGCGCGGTTCTGGAAAACACGCGGGGCTCGCGATTGAGACTTCTAGCTGGATCTGGACTAGCCCGGATACTTCCTTCCAACATCCACCGCCTTAATTGGCATCCAATCTGTTGCACCGTGGATTGCGAACGATTCTTAAGTTGCGGCACCTATTTTCAAATCATCAACGATCCCTGAGAGACCAGCGAGTTTTAATTTTTGCGCTTTTCTACCTATTTCAGATTCGGAGCTGAATCTTTCTTCAATGACCTTCTCGGCAGACTTCGAGCTGTTCATTAGCCCCCCAGTTTCTGTTCTCCCCAGATCTACAAAGCACAGTCGCTTCTCGAATTGCTATTGTTGGAAAGCATTCCATGCGTGAATTCAGACTCCAGCAGAATTAAACGACAGATCATATTACATCTCAACATCCTGCTCTTGGTCACTTCTCTCAACACGTAAATCAGCGTCCTAGTTTGATTATCTTCAACATCATGTTGCCTCCGTCTTGAGTTCAGCTCCGCCAGAATATTGTCATGAGATTACTTCGTTACTACACCACTAGAACATGCAACCTCTCAGAACTCAAAGTTAGAGATCAAGAAGTTGCGGGCCATACATGGCTGCGCTCCGAGAGAGTCGACCTTGATTCTGACGGATCCATTCGTATCAATTGGAGTTAGACATACAATCCCATCTGCATTTCCAATCTCCGAAGTCATAGTTCGCACGGGATGGGAATTCTTGGAGATTACTCGGACAGAAATCCCTTTTCTGTCAAGCTTGCCTGGTAAATAACGGGATAAGATCGCAGATATTGTCCTCCAAACATCTCGATGTTTCGGTGCTTTTCGGCTGTGCCACGCGGAACCTTTTTTTAATCAAGCGATGAGGTTTCAATAGGGCCTTTCTACAAATCATGCTATCGGTGGCAATGGCCTCCACTAAAAATATGAGCTTCTAGGCATACGCGACGACGCTGCTGGAGTGGATAAATTGTAGGTAGAAGGTCGTTCTTCGATATCTAGATTTTCTAGAGGCAAGCTCTTCAACAGATCAAATCGATGAAGGCCATGACTATATCAATCCGTCTCATCCACTTCCTCCTCTGGACCAATCGAATACTTCCTCTTAAGAACCATAGACATCTTAGTCAAATCGTACTTATTCCCTCCCCGATGATTCGGTCGGAATGTCTCATACTACATTTATCGTCAGCAAAACCTCTTTCGGAATTCACAGAAACCTACCTCATCATCCCAATCCTTGTCCAATCTCTCTTTCATCTTATACTCATCTCTCAACTTCTGCAAGTCCTCCACACCGATGTTGACCTGTTTCCTCACATGCTTCTCAAGTTCAATACCCGCCTCATCACACCGCCTCATAACCTCACACCCCCACTCAATTTCAAAATCTCCGCAATCCTTCACTATGAAATCGAGAATGATCAAGCAGATAATCTCAAGATTCTTGATTTCTGAGCCTGGTTTAAGTAGATCGTGTTCAGACAGGACATCGAAGACTGTCAAAGTCATGAGACCCAGCATATCGATGATCTCCTTCACGCTTGGACTGTTCTCGTTGTCTATACCAGCATTAGTCGTGTCAAGAGGTGGCAGAAGAGTAACGAACCTAAGAAGTCAAACCCATCCTCCATAACATACCCCGCAAACGTCTCCACAAACCCCCACTTCGCATACGGACTAACATCCTTCTTCTTCACCTCCGCATCGAACTCCTTCAGCATGTTCTCCATCACCTACAAATTATTAGCCCATCCCCCTCAATCAAGAACCCTACTCACCTCACTAACACCCCACCCACTCCAATCGTTATAGATATACAACCCCTCAATATCCTGATTTCGATTCTCGCATTCGTCGACAAACTTATCGAGTTTATCGCCACCGAGTTCCGTGACGGGAATTCCAAGGTCGGAAACCCGGTCGTAGTACGGCTCCATGAGCTCACCATCGGCTGGCATGTCTTGACAGTCCGGGTCATCGATAAACTTGTGGAGGTTGTACCATTCCAGGTTTTGGAAGGTAGGTTTGTTCTCCAGCTGTGAGCTGTCAGAATGGATTTTGCTGGAGGCCGACATTGTGACAAGGAGGATGTCTGCAACGAGAACAGACATTGACCTTCAATTGGGATACCATCCTTCGGACAGACATTCATATATTAGAGAATATTGAGCGAGGACTCACACTCTTTGGATCTGAATACTTAAACTCCCTCTTCCCATCATCCTGCCCAAATCTCGCTGGGGCAGTCTTGGTTCTAGGAGATTTTCGGGCGTTCCCGCTCGCGGAGGCAAGTGCTTTACGTTTCGGTGGCATCTTTAAGATCTCCAGAATAAATTATGAAATCAGATGTATGGAATGTAAGTGAGAAGGAAAATGTGAGACGGGATTCTGGATGTTATGACGTTTGTTTACATAGTACGTCACTGCGACGATCGTTCGCGGTGGACGCGCGCTGACACGTGAGAGTTCGAACTCAGAATGCAGGGCATTGTTGAGATTCGACAACGAAGAAAACAGAGACAAGAGCAGCAGATTTAGGAGAGAAAGAATTTGAGAGTATTTGTCCGAAACGATTGAGGGAGTTGTTAATGAGGTGTATGACTTTAGAACCTCTTCAGAGGGCCGGCGCTTTGGAGTTACCGAAAGAAGTGAGGATAGAATTGGAGGTGGTGATTGCTGCTGCGATACCAAAAGACCTATGCAAGGACGAAGAGATGACGATACACCTATACGAGGAGTAGGAAGCACTTGGCCTGAGACGATGACAAGTATTCCTATGCTTTCAACAGCTTTGCCTGAGCCTCCAGTACTGATGAAGAAGTCATCTGATAACACATATAGACTATCTTGAAGAGCGGATAAACATATTATTCTGTTGTCAAAGACTATTTGCAATTGCACACAACAACAACAAGAAAATTGTTAACAATTACAGTTTCGATCTTGGGCGCGGAGTTTGTTGAATGCTCTTTGAACTTCCGACTCTCAAAATTCTCTTACTGTAACCGAAGCCGAAGAGCACCCGTACTGGGCCTCATGTGCCACACCCCTTCTTGATCCCGCCTTCATTCCAAAAGACCATTCTGTGAACACAGCGTATCAGTTGTGGAGTGCGAGAGAGCATCGATTGCGATACCGGTATTTCATCTACTGTCCTGACATGTAACTAATGGCGCAAACTTTAAATCCTAAATTTTTGACGTATTTTCAAGTACTCACCTGAGTCACCTTCTGGATCGGACATCCTGAGGATAATCCTGGCCAAGGCTCCATCAAGGAACGATTTGCGAAATTAGAAGCGGACGATCTCCGATCTTTAAATCGCTCATTCCTGTGCCACAAGATGTTTCTTTTTCTTCATGCCGTTCCTCGACATTGTGTGGTAGTTCACCATGCCACTTTCGTTCAATCGTGCCGCTGAAGTTCTGGCCACAGCCAGCTTCATTGTTGGTGCAATCGCGAGTCCATTCGTTACAGACTCACGACGAAATGTTTCGTACCAAGGGATTACTACAAGTCCGGGGATCGAAACTTTTCTCGGTCTCCCATATGGCAAAGATACGAGTGGTGACAGGAGATTTGCACCTCCAGAGCCTTTCGCACCACCATCAGGATATGTTTTCAATGCCACTGCTGCGGGACCATCTTGCCCACAAGCATCAGGTGGAGGGTTTCTGTTCGAAACAAATGTTACTTATATATCAGAAAACTGCTTAAATCTCCTTCTTTCAAGACCATCCAATATCAGTCATGGTACAAAGCTTCCCGTTATGGCGTATATTTATGGAGGTGGGTAATACGGATCACCAGGGCTCGGTATATTCTCATCGCTTTTAGGTGGACTCAACAGCGGAACAGCATATGCCAGAACTAATCAGCCAGACGGGCTCATTCAACAATCGATTGAGAACGGATATCCAGTGATTTATGTTGCCATGAACTATCGTCTGAATAGTAAGTCTTCTACAAAAGTGGGGTTGAGCGCCGTCTCTAATTACCGCGCTACAGTTTTCGGCTTTGCGACCTCTGATGCACTCAGAGGCAACAAGTCTTTGAATGTCGGTCTTCGTGATCAAAGGCTAGCTCTCGAGTGGGTCAAGGACAATGTCCACCTATTTGGAGGCGACCCAAATAATGTCACAATATTTGGACAGTCTTCTGGGGGTAAATTATGAAATCACTGATCAAGATCTAAGTTGCTGAGTCCTTCTAGGTCTGAGTGTAGAGATGCAAGTTCTTGCTTACGGCAGTGAAAAGCCTGTTCCTTTCCAAGGCGCAATCATGCAGAGTACTGCACTTGAGCCGACAATGGCCAGCAACATCAGCTTCAATGCAACATCTGCAATTGCCGTGGCTGCTGGCTGTAATGCTACCGATGCTTTTTCCACTTCGCCATCCATGATCGACTGCCTGCGCTCACTTCCAATGGAAAAGCTCTTGAACCTAACTCTCGACTTTATCGATGAAACATCAGCCAACAACGACGGAGACATTTTCTTGCCAACCGTTGACCAGGACTTCCTCCCAGACCTCTCAAGCAAGCTAGTGGCGGAAGGCAAATTCCCCAAAATCAAAATAATGACAGGCTGGATGGAGAATGACGCTACTCTCTTCACTAACTCCGCCATCAAAACACCCAACGACACCCGATCCTTCTTCGAGCTCTACTATCCAGGCTTAAACTCCACAACCCTAACCAACCTCCTATCTCTCTATCCCGTATCCGATTTCAGCCCCAACACAACCGCCAACCTCTCCGCTGAATTCTACCGCAGCGCTGAAATATTCCGTGACATTCTCCTCACGTGTCCCTCATTCTACTTCGCATCCGCTATGGCGAAGAAATACCCCAACAGCACGGAACCGCCCGTCTATCTATACTCCGGAAACCAAACAATTCTAGGGAACTACCTCAATTCAACAGGTCTCCCGGGTTTAGGCGTAATTCACACATCTGAACTCTCTTATCTGTACGGCAATCTGTCTATCTTCAATGTCACGGATGCTGGGTTGCCGGGATACCATTTTGATCCTTCGGCGTCGGATTATGAGCTTGCGAGGCAGCTGCCTAGGTCATGGAGCTCGTTTGCTGCGACGGGGAAACCGAGTCTGGTGGGGAAGGATACGTTGCCTGGTTGGACGAGTGCATATCCGGATGGGAAGGGTGAGGGGATTGTGTATGTTATTGGAGGTGCGGAGGAGGGGATGGCAGCGGCTAATCAAGGGATTATGAAGGAGAGGTTGCGTGAAAGGTGTGGGTTCTTGAATAGTGCTGAGGTTATTGAGCAGTTGCAGTATTAGTCTGGGCGGTAGTAATGTCTCGATGGAGATGAAAAGAAGTGGTTTGAATGGTCATCTCAATCTGTTCTATACCAATTTTTAACCTCATTCTAATCCCAATGTCTCACGTTATTTGTGACTTTGGTATCTCTTGTCTGTATCTCTTGCTGTTGTGTTTCGAGCATCGACTTTGGAGTTTGCGTTGATAGCGAGGTAATTTCATAGCGGGGTTGCGACTTGAAAGCCAATAAATCTGCGGCGATGTATATCTATCCACTAGAATCGCGCCTCTTTGAGGTTTGACGAGCTGGATTTTCCCTCGAGTCTGGGAAATAGCTTCCACACTTACTTTATCAACACCAGGATGATTTCTCCTCAGACTCTTACTGGCGACCATGGCTATGTCTGATACTGAATTTTGTTTCAATTCGATCTAAACCTCCGTCTTGTCACACTCTCTCGCAGCCTCGACTTCTTCCCACGTTCCATAATCTGTATACCCCACTTCTCTCTTACTCGTCGGACCATAAAACTTCCCCCTGTTATACATACTCAACTCCTTCCCTCCTCTCAACCTCTCCACCAAATCCGGATTGCTAACAAACCACCTCGCAAAAACAATCCCATCCACATCTCCCCTCTCAATCCCCTCCCAACACGTCTCACCATCCCACCCACCCGCACTGATAACTTTGATGTTCCCCAAAATCTCCTTCGCCCACTTCAAATCAATCGGTCTATCCACACCCCAAGAATTCTTAACATCAGGATTCGCATCCAACTCATCCTGCCTCGCCTCCACAAAACTCACATACCCAAAACCAGGCCACCTCCTCGCAATCTCCCTGCAAAGAAAACTCCAGGTCTCAAACCTCGCCTCATCATGCACATCCCCATACACGCCCCACGGACTAAACCTCACCGCCACCCTCTCCATCCCGACCTCCTTCACTAACCCCTCCAGCACCTCCAACGCAAATCTACACCTCTTCTCGGGACTGCCTCCATACTCATCCGTCCTTATATTAACATTCGAGCTCAAGAACTGCTCAACGAGATATCCGTTCCCGGCATGTAACTCCACGCCATCGAAACCACTTTCCTTGACCGCCATCCTAGCTGCGGAGACGTAGTCCTTGATAGTGCGCTCGATGTCTGTTTTCGTCATTGCGGTTGGGGGATGGTCTTTCATGAATACGCGATCGGAATACGGTTTGCCGTGCGCGGGATAGGCGTATTTCTCGTCGGTGGAGTAGGGGGTTGCGGAGGCGGAGTGGATGGGTGTCGAAGTGAAGATTGAGAGTGCGCAGCGGCCGTGGTGGGTTAGCTGGGCGAAAATTATGCCGCCGGCGGAGTGGACTGCTTTTGTCGTCTTTCGCCTGTTAGTTGCTTGTGTGCTCTAGATTTGAAGACTAGGAGTGAAGGAGAAATACCAATTTCCATCCTTCGCCGTGTTCTTTCAGCCATAATCCAGGTACACCAGGCATCCCTCCTGCCTCGGGAGATGGCATGATACTTTCTGTCACGAGTAACCCGCCGGGTGTAGCGCGTTGGCCGTAATATTTGGCTATCAACTCATCTGCCACCCAAATTCGGTTAGGGTTCTCGGTTGTGCTTTCGTTCAGGGGAATGCCTCGATTTCGGGTCATTGGAGCCATGATTACGCGGTGTGAAAGATTGATTTTTCCATTGCAGATGGCGAGTGGAGTGAACAGCTTAGAGGCTGAGCCTCGAGGTGGTGATGATCCCATTTTCCTTTAGAAATGAATAGAACAGCACACAATGGGAATGACAAAAATAAAAGATTTGAGAACCAGACAACTAATTTCCATGTTAGAATTCATAGGTGCGACGCGGCGAGAAGACGCGCAAAAGCACGCAATGCACATCATGCCAAAGGTGGGATACCGCCCAGCCCGACGGATCTCCTAGCCTTTAGTTGCAGCGATCCGCAAGATCTATCGGAAATAATTGCGAAGTCCCGAAAGATCGCATATTGCTGCCGATGTGGATTGTGAGATAGAGGTTGTCGATTGTATGAAGACAAGGAAAGGAGACTTAATGAGGGGCAGCACTTGCAATGGCGGGGTAGGGGAGGGGCTTGGGGCAGAAATTGCACAATTACGAATTTCCCCTCAGAAAAGATGGAGAGAGATTGAATCAAGATAATTTATTTGAATATTCAAGCCCATAAAACCAGACCAGGAGATGTAGAGGAACCTATAGGCTAATATCCTCGATTCATAATCACGTGCTAGTTGCGCTCTCCTGTCGAGATTTCCTACTTCGAAGGGACAGCGACGACCAAATCTACGGCATAGACGACACCGGGACGATGGAAAATAGATACTCCATTGAATGTAAGAGAGGGCTTGAACATGTCTTGCTTCCACTAAGGACTTGTTAGCAATGCTCCGAAGAAGAAGTAATAGATAAAAGCACGATGCAGCGACAAGGAACGCAAGGGCAGACATGTTGAAAGGAATCGAATAACGCAATTTTCAGTAGTAGTGTGTTCTTACCTCGTCTGGCATGACAGATACCCAAGCTTCGACGACAGCTTTGCCAATGTCATCGTTGAATTCGCTACACAAAATTTAGATTTATCATTTTTGGTTGAGTATATGTATTACTCACGAAAAGCTGACAGTTGTGTGTACGACGTCCTTCATTTGTGCGCCAAGCTCCTTCAGAGTTTCAACGAGATTGGTCCAGACTATTTTAGACTGCTTGGTATAATCACCAGCGGCGCCTTCCACAAGTCTGTTAAAGTCATGTTAGCTTTGGTAAGGCTTACGGAGTAATATGATTTGAAGTGATAAGGATAGTGAAGGACAATGCCTTGCTTGAATTTAGGGCAGACTTACTCGCCAGTGCTCGGGTCAGCAGCCCACTGTGTTGAGATATAGGCGAGAGCAGTATTAGGCGGCACGATTGTGCAGTTAGAGAATAGGCCCATGTAAGGTTTGGAGGATGCCTTGGGGTTGAAGTGTGTAAGGTTTGCCATGTTGACGGTTGTGATGAGCTAGAAGACAGGTGTTGAATTATCGGATGTTTTCAGATCTGGTTCGCTGACAAGAACTTTTTTTGAGGACGGCGAGGAAGGCATGCTTTATACTTGACTGCAGGCTCCAACATCCATTCAAACCAGGGCGTTCTCGATACATGTAGTATCAGCTGAATGGTAGCTTTCCAGACTTACAACCTCAAGTCTCGAATAGGCTGAGCAGCCACGACAATGTCAATCAGTGGATTGAGGATGCAAACGAGGCGAGGTCACCCAGAAAGCTCGATGTAACTACCAAACTTATTGGCGATGGAGCTGAAGTTGGCGTGTCCACAGAGGTATAGTGCGACGCCACCTGTGGAGATTCTGGTTTAAACCCAGAGCCAGGTCAGCCTTATAAGACCTTGATCAAATAGCCTCAAGCAAAACAGAAAGCCACGAGTAAGACATTGCGGGGTGATCCAAAATCAAACGGCTCCGATGCAGCTAAAACGGTTCTGGACTACCAAAGACCCAGCTGAGAGCAATTTCACTAGCAGTGCGACTTGATGCGGGACAGACAAGCGAGAAGGGAATCACATCAGAACGAATTATAAGTTTACATGCCAAGCAACAAAGGCGTTGCTGAAGTTTTGTGTACAGGATGCTTTGAAGATGTGATGCAACATCATGACCGTGAAGGCGAAGGTGAATCAGCTTCTCGCTGGAGAAATTCTCCTCTGTGTAGGCTGGCCATTCTGGGAATTTGATCTGTGAATTTATAGCTGAATTTTTGAGATGTAAGCTGGCGCCGGTGTGGAGTCAAAGAGCGATGCTGTCAAAGTGAGAAATTCTCAATGTCCGGCGGCCGAGATTTGGCGATGGTGACAAAGACATCATCGATACTCGAACTTTTTGCCCCGCTACATCCCACAACCTCCCAACATTGTGCTTCGTAACGACAAGATGAAGCAAAGATTCTCCTCCATAGATGTCAAGGTACGCGCATCTATCTACTATATCTCTACGACGTGCTAAATATCTCCAGGTCATCGCCCACGAGCTTTCCAATGCCTTAGTCACTCTGCGCGTCTCAAATATTTACGACCTCTCTTCGAAGATATTCCTCGTGAAGTTCGCCAAACCAGACAACAAGCAACAGATCATTATCGACTCGGGTTTCAGGTGTCATCTTACAGAGTTCTCTCGTGCTACAGCAGCTGCGCCATCGGTCTTCATCCAACGGTTGCGAAAGGTCCTGAAGACACGAAGAGTCACAGCGGTTTCGCAGGTCGGCACAGACAGAATCATAGAATTCCAGTTCAGTGATGGACAATACAAGCTATATTTGGAGTTCTATGCAAGTGGCAATATTATCCTGACAGACAAAGAGCTGAACATTCTGGCCTTGTTGCGGATTGTCGGAGCTGGCGAAGGACAAGAAGAGCAGAGGGTTGGTCTGAAATACTCCTTGGAGAACAGACAGAATTATGGAGGAATTCCACCTTTGACGAAGGAACGATTACAAGATGCATTACAAAAGGCTGTAGAGAGAGGGGACGGCGGTCTTGTGGCCGGCAAGAAGGCGAAGAAGAAGGCAGATGAGCTGAGGAAAGCATTGGCTGTTTCTATCACGGAATACCCTCCTATGCTTGTCGACCATGCCATGCGTATCACGAAATTTGACTCAAGTCTGAAGCCAGCAGATATTTTGGGAAACGAGGGCCTCTTAGACCTTTTGATGAGGTCTCTACAGGAAGCACAAAGAGTCGTTCAGGAGATCACAAGTTCCGAGGTTGCAAAAGGCTATATTATTGCAAAGAAGAAAGATGGTTACGAAGAAGCCACGGAAGAACAGCAATCGAGAAAGTTCGTTTTGTACGAGGACTTTCATCCGTTCAGACCGAGGCAGTTCGAGGGTGATCTAACTACTGTTTTTCTGGAATTCAAGGGTTTCAATAAGACTGTGGATGAGTTCTTCTCCTCCATTGAAGGTCAAAGATTAGAGTCTAGGCTTGAGGAGAGGGAACTCACTGCCAAGCGGAAAATCGAAGCAGCTCGACAAGATCAGGCCAAGCGTTTGGGGGGATTGCAGCAAGTGCAAGAATTGCATATCCGGAAAGCGGAAGCTTTAACTGTCAATGCAGAATGGGTCCAAGAAGCTATAGATTCTGTCAATGGTCTGATCGAGCAAGGAATGGATTGGGTTGAGATAGAAAAGCTTGTCGAACGGGAGCAGAAACGAAAGAATCCAGTGGCAGAACTGATCAAACTGCCTCTGAAGCTCCAAGAAAATATCATTACTCTACTACTTGACGAAGAAGAGTTCGTCGAGGACGATGACTCTGCTTACGAAACTGATAGCGATGCATCGGATCTCGAAGATGAGGATGCAAAGCCAGAGCCCAAACAGAAGAAAGAGGATAAGCGTCTGACAATCGATGTCAAGTTGAGATTATCGCCATGGGCTAATTCGAGAGAGTACTACGACCAGAAACGATCTGCTGCGGACAAGGAGCAAAAGACGTTACAAGCTTCGACAAAGGCATTAAAGAGCCAAGAAGCTAAGATTGCCCAGGACCTGAAGAAAGGACTGAAGCAAGAAAAGGCCATACTACGTCCCGTACGCAGACTGATGTGGTTTGAGAAATTCATTTGGTTCATCTCCTCCGATGGATATCTTGTTCTAGGTGGAAAGGATGCCCAACAGAACGAGATGCTATACAAGAAGTATCTCAAGAAGGGAGATGTCTATGTTCATGCCGACCTTCACGGCGCAGCAACTGTCGTCATCCGCAATAATCCCAAGACACCAGATTCTCCAATCCCACCATCGACATTATCACAAGCAGGTACATTGGCTGTCTCGTGTTCATCTGCATGGGATTCAAAAGCTGGTATGTCAGCATGGTGGGTCAATGCTGACCAAGTATCGAAGTCTGCACCTACAGGAGAATTCTTACCGACTGGCAGCTTCATGGTCCGAGGAAAGAAGAACTTCCTTCCTCCAGCAGTGTTACTTCTAGGATTTGGAGTCATTTTTCAGATTAGTGAAGAGAGCAAGGCAAGACATGTTAAACATAGACTCGTGGAAGAGGATCCAATAAGTAGCGAATTTGGATATGGCACCGGTGCTACCCAATCTCTGGGTGGAGACGGTCAAGCCGATCAAGATGATGACGAAGGCAGTGTAGCTGAGGATCACGAATCTGAAGAGGAACCCGAGGATGAGCAGCCCCGAACCAATGCTCTCCAGCCTGAAACTCACACCGAACAAGACGATCAAGAGGAGCCTACTGAGGAGATGTCTAAGCTTGACATCCATGGTGTAGCTGGCGAAGTAGAGGATCTTTCTCCTGAGGACCAGGTTGCGAACCAGGCAGGCGATACCGAAGCAGACCCGCAAGTAGCTGAGAAGGAGGAGGAAGCTTCAGATGAGGACTCAGACAACGAGACGAATGCCGACAACACGCACCCATCAACTGGTACCCAGACTCCAAGTCAGCAGGGCACAGCCAAGAAAGGACCTCCGCCACCCAAGCGAGGCAAGAAAGGCAAAGCCAAGAAAATGGCTACAAAATACAAAGATCAAGACGAAGAAGATCGCATCGCAGCACAACAACTCATCGGCGCCGCCGCTGGTCGAGAGAAAGCAGAGGCCGAGGCGAAAGCCAAGGCAGCACGAGAAGCTGAGCTAGCGTTCCAAAAAGAGCGCCGAAAGGCTCAACATCAACGCACTCAAAAGGAAACTGCTGAACACGAGGAGATTCGCAAGTTGATGTTGGAGGAAGGCCAAGAAGTGCTAGACGAAGGCGAGGAGGAGAAGATGACTATCTTCGAATCTCTGGTTGGTACACCGCTCAAGGGAGATGAGATTCTTGAGGCCATCCCGATATGTGCTCCTTGGGCAGCGATGGGGAAGTACAAATACAAAGCCAAGCTGCAGCCAGGTGCACAGAAGAAGGGGAAGGCTGTCAAGGAGATTTTGGGGAGGTGGTTGAATGATTCGACTGCGAAGGGGAAGGTCGACGAGAGTGCGACTGATACGGAGAGGATGTGGCCAAGGGAGATTGAACTTCTGAAGGGTTGGAAGTTTGAGGAGGTTGCGAACACGGTGCCGGTTGGGAAGGTTAGGGTTATGATGGCTGGTGGATCGGCCGGGCAATCGAGTAAAGGTGCGCCACAGAAAGGGCGGGGAGGTAAAGGTAGTAAGAAGCAAGGTAGATGATGAACAAGACGCCTGACTTTGGGCCAATGAATATATGTTGGCATCGCCAGTTTATCAGCTTTTTGCGCGGATTGCGCTGGGTGCGCGGACTGCGCGGACTGCGCGGACTGCGCGGACTGCGCGGACTGCGTTGCTCATGTCTCTTCTTTCCTTGTGAGTAGTCTGGCAACCTCTTGCGGCAATCCACTTCCCTGAAGATTCTTTTCTCTGATCTTAATTATGAGAATTTATCAAGATCTTCAATTCCCAGATTTGCAGTGATTGAAGAGAAGTTTGTATCTGGCAATGGATGTCGCACTATCGACTCTAATCCCAGGAGGGCTGCACTGCATAGCATGGATTTCGAGTTACGCAATAAGTCTCAAGCGGAACCTGTTGCGGGCCACAGCTGTTAGTAGTGCTTTACTCCAACTATTCCCGTTGTCTTCGATGTTTCGCCTGATATTGCTAGGAGTAGACACTACGAAAAGCTGGCAGGAGGGTTGGTGCATGCTTCGAACATCGTGAAAGTATTGATGTTTTTTCTGTATCAGATTCCTAGGATCGCAATCCTGGTATTGATGTTTACGAGTTCGAGGTCTGTTTTAAGTGGGGTTTATGAGGATAGTTGAACGAAGTTTCTACCTAGCTTTTCTTGAGCTTTGGATGGATGGCCCACGGATTCACCTTCAGCAAGTTGGAAGCGCTTACAACTCGGCCACTAGCTTCTGGACCATGTTCGACACTAGCGTACCATTTGTCTCTACAATCATCTTCATGCTTTGGCAACCCCAACTTCTAATTACAGAATCATCTTTGTCAATAAACACTCAATTACGTTGCGCTTTCTACAAAGACTTCCTGCTCGTACAAGCTCATCTTCTGTACAGAGTCTCTCGGCAGCATCCCCCTAGTCGCGAAATAGTCTCCCCTTCTCAAGACTTGCACGCTCGGGCTTGTTCAGCTGGAGAACGTCCTCACCAGGCTTTTCGGGACTTCTATCAACTCACACAACCTCTCATCGTACCGAAACGAGATCCTACACTCAATTTTCGAAGGCTACACATTGCTCCTGCAAACCAGTCTAGCGGAGTCAATATTGGCGCAAACTTAACTCTTCAACTTTGCTCGTCGACAATAGCAACGTTGCCACAATGCAGCTCGATGAGATGGTGCCCCACTCGCGGTTACGATCATCGTCGGCAATGATGTCTATTTCCAACAGCCAGACGTCTATTGAACAACCCGATGATTCTGTTCTTCGACCATTACCAACAACTACACCCACAGTCAACCACAATGAACAAAGTACTAGCCACGAGATACCTCGCCTTTGAAGTCATTTATAATATTCATGGAGTTAGCTCCGGAGATTCGACGTATCATTTGGGAACTCACCCTCACACCGCGGATCCTCGACGTCGACCACTATTTCAAGACGCGGAGAGTCTCGAGGGTTTCGGATGACTGCGCTGTTGGCGACGAAACTCCTGGAAGTTGGGAAACTTTCTTTGATCCAGAAATTAGCAGAAATACAATGTTCAGCAATGCAGTGACTGCATTTGATGAATCATGGTCACCTACTGGCGTGGAGGTTACTTGCATTTCGGTTATTGGTATCATGGATGCCTGTAGCGAGTCTCGCGAAGTCATACTATCTTCTGGATACACGCGCATATTCCCCTTGCTTGGCTTCAGAGCCACAACTCTATTCTCATCACTCAATGACACGTTCTACATCCGCCAGGGGGCTTTTATCAAAGCTTTTTTCTTCTGGTATGGATTCATGCTTGGAAGCGCTGTTGTTGATGTTAAACACCTTGCAATTGGAACAATCCGTCATGGTTTCAGTGGCGATTGTACACTTGCTAACGAGCGCGACATGTTCCGATACGCCGTAAACAAGGACTATAAGAATATCGAGGAACTCACACTTGCCCTGGAATATGACGTCGGCAGTGACCGCTCCAACCTTGTTTTCATGGATATTGAGGATATTTTCGGTACGAGCCAAGCTGCCACACCGCAATTTGGACCCGAGATGGCCCAGAGGGGAAAGCATCCTCTCGAAGCAAATTGTGACAGGAATTCCGTCAGGCTCTTTGAGCTCGAGCGTCAGAAGCTTGCTCAATGGTTACTGAGGGACATTGATATGTTCAACGTACTCCCGAATGAGGCGTACCCAAACGAGAGGAACGAAAAAAACCTGAAAGTCAATCGGAAGATTGTCACCACGTCCGAGATTAAGGCTACCTTCAAGGATGCTGTTTCCTGGTGCAAAGCAAGGATGTTACGGAGGCGCCTATTTGTCTTCAACCAGCGGACAAGATGTACTACTCATGCTGTTGCTGACGAAAGTAGCACAGTCAAGGATATCTGCGACATATGGGTTTCGGACAATCGACTCGAATGCAACATGCATTCACTAGACAAAATTCAGCTCTGGCACGATGGAACCAGCTTCGATCCAACTACTAGAATTCTCGACATCAACAGTATCTTGGATGGCGGCTTTCTTTACATGTTGGTTTGGGATGGGAAGTGTTGGCGTTGGTGATTTGAAAAGGAAACTTGGAAGGCACCAAAAGGGCCTTTTACAGCAAGGGGAGGTGAATTTTCGAGACTTGTTAATCTATCATAACGATTATACACGCCGATCGACCCCGAAGCCGGGGTGGAGGCATCTGGGCAGGAGGGCCGCGCGAATTGCAGTAGCTTGGACAGTCGGCAAGAGGCACAAAGATAGTGCTTAATGTGAACCATGAAATTGCAGAAAAGTTTCATTTCAAACCCGGAAGACATCTAACAGCATCTTCATTAGAGCTATGAATTGCAGTATAAATTTTCATGAATCTAAGAACTCTGGGTTATATGATACACTCTCCAAACCAGCCCATTGTTGGGATTATCTATCTTCCATAACAGATTTTACTTCAGTAAACGATCTTCGTAATCTCTTCGGAGCAGTTCGATTCTTCTACACGTGAGCTAGAGTTTCGAGTCTTGATATCAGAACAATGTGCCATCTGCTTGTTTGAGATCACCTGACTGTCTTTGTTGCCCAGGTGGACTTCCGAAACTCATCTCAGCATGCAATCTAATGAACGAAGAAGTAGGCTAATAGCAGAAGTCTTCTTGAGCCAGTACAATTCCAATACACTAAGAAAAGCGAAAGTCGACTTCCGAACCAACTGGACTTCCAAAACCAGCTCCCAACACTTAGAGTGAATCGACTTTGCAACGCTCGAGCCCGTATGAAGCTTAACATTTTGAACACGGCCGCGCTAGTAAATTACAACACTAGCGCGCTTTTGAACGTCGCTCAACCCACTTCTTCCATAAAATTCTACTTCAACTTCTTTCCCTTCCACGACTTCGACCCACTGCACTCGTTTATTGCGCCTCTCAATCAGAACTTCAAACATGTCCACGCAGTTGATTCTAGCTGACGGTGGAGGACCGACTCAATCGCCGACAATGAAGAAGCTCGAAAGTTTCCCTCGATTCAAGGAGCTGCCAAAAGAGATCAGACTACAGATTGTGAGCAGCATACTTTGTCATTCCCTACTCTAATTGTCTACACCACGTACTCGCGGGACGTTTCGTGGTACTCAGTTTTGTTTTCCAAGATCGAAGTACTAATTCGATCTAGTGGGAGTATTTGCTTCCTGGAACACGCGTCGTTCACATGAACCCAACTCGAACAGATCTCGGACCGGTGAGCCGGGTCTGGAGCATCTATCCTGTTGAACAGGACCCCAATGAGGACGAAGACTCGAGGTTTTTTTGCCCGAGCTGGTGGAGAGATGCTTTCTCGCGAGAAGGGAAAATTTGTGGTATCAACTACGGACCTAAGGCTCTTTGGGAACCCACAACGGCATCCGAATCTCTTTCGAAGAGTTTGACAACATGCCAAGAGTCTTTTAGTGTCATTACCGGAAACTATGTACAAACCTTTGGAACCCTTGGCACAATACCAAAGACTTGGTTCTCAAGTCGCGACGATACAATGTTCCTGAGCATTAGTCTTCGACATACAAAGCCCGGTAACTCAATCTTCGATCAAGATCATCCTATCGACTTCAGGCTGGTAGAAAAGCTCGCGCTCGGAAATCCTGGATTCAGACCTTGCAGTGCGCCATTTGTAGATGCGAAAGCTTATCCTGACTTTCTCGAACTTCTATCAGGTTTCGATAATCTTCTAGAAGTCACGATTGTAGACAGATTTCCACCATGTCCTAGCTATTGGAGGAACACATTTCCAGACTTGGTGCTCATGGACTTCATGGAAGTCGCTGTCTTGATGGAATGGTATCAACCAGGATACGACCCAAAGAACGACCGAAGTTTGCAGAGATATCAAGAGACATGGAGCGTAAAGTCCAAAGCGGATTTCACATATGATAAATTGGAATTGGAACGCCAATGGAAGTTAGCTGTCCAACAAGGCAAGCCGGCGATCAAAACTTTGCCAAAGTTCGATCGCAAACTTATCTTGGAGTCTACGAACAAAGAAGCATTCGATCAAGCCAAAGAGGATTATTATCGACAAAAGAAGGAATACCGCATGCGTATCGCGGTAACGTCTTCTAACATGGCGCCTTTTGATGTCACCATCGATTCAACAACTACTGTAGAGGATGTAGCAGAAGCATACCGAGCTGCAAGAGGTCTTTCAGATGAAGCATGCATCGCTATCACCTGCGGTGGTCAGAGGATTGAGGCAGGAACGAAACTTCTGGATGTGGAAAACCTTTACGACGGTGATGTCTTGAGTGTGCTAAGCCAAGGTGGAGAAGAATTCGTTGACAACAGGTCAGGAACAGACAAGGGTGACGTCTGAGATGCTGCGATCCTCCACAAGGAATTATGCAATCAAAGTAGCGACTTCGTGGCGTCGTGGGTATAGTTTGTTGCTCCTGGGAATGAGGATCCGAGAAATACCGGTAGACGAATCAAGCAGTCTTTTCAGTGCTAATTCGTTCAGCTTCTATTCCTAAGCGTGATTAGCCTGCGTGATAGAAGCGATATCCCATTGAAACTCTGTAGCGTGCTATGATTCATCGTGACTCAATTCAAACTACATCCGAACATTCTCATCGACTACTGTCCCTCAATGTGGAGCATAACGATGTAAGCGAGCCCCTTTTACAAGTCACAAAGTGGTAGATGTGGGGGACTTATCTTCTTGATCTTTATCGAGATTGCGGAAAGATATACCTGGCATTTGTAGATGATTGATTATGATACTGAGAGAGCTAACAGACTAGAAGCGCCATGCATACAGCTAAGTAACGGTGAACAACCCCGATTGCAGAGTTGAGTAGTCACGTGATAATTCACTTCGACTTCCAATGGTACAGCGACTACTCGGAACGCTCGACCTAAAGAAACTCTTCTCAGTTCCATGATACCATGAATATGATAAATCTCGATATTTTCAAGACTAAGAGGTCTCTCCAGCATGTGACCTTTCTCTCCGAGCTTTACCTAATACAATTTAGCGTGTTTTGCCTAACAAGCAACTCGCGAACTCGCGAGTAATATTTCTCTATGCAACTCTCGATGTCCGACATTGATACACGAACGATGTCATGTGCAAATGATGAGGAATCGAAGAGAGACATTGAAGGCGAAGGCGTCAACAGCATCGACAAACCTCTCTCTTCGGAGGTAAAGATGTAACGCACATTTCCCCGATTCTGCGACCTCTCTCGAGAAATTCGACTGAACATATACGAATTTGCTTCTCCTCGGCCCAAGGATTGTGAGCATACGACCAAGAAATGCAGGAATTGGATGGATCGACCGTGTTTGGAGCGCTCAGTGCATCGAAGAGGAAGCTCACTTTTCGAGAATTGGAAGGCAAAGGAAAAATACGGCTTCCGGAAGTGTGGGATCTAATACGGGCTGCGACAACTCTGGGGTCTTAGAGAGAGGCGCCTTGGAATTCCAGGAATACTCTTTGCCTGCCAGGAAGCTCACCACGTTCTCACCAAAGGATATATACAAGCATTCTCTACCCGCGGCGTGAAGGCATCTATCTGGTTTTCGCCCCAGCATGATGTTTTGCATCTCCCTGAACCGGAATCATTCAATTTCTATGACCGGAAGTCCACCCTGCGTACCTCTTTGACAACACTATCCATTTTGGGCAGTCAGAAAGCTAGGGTCATAACCGTCAACATCGAGCACCACCAATTCAGCAATGCAGGCTAGCATCAAAGCTACACCTTCCATCTGGGTAGCCCGCAATCATTCCTTCCTCGGCATTTATCAATGCAGATGCGTCGTCACATACGTAAACAACCTTTCCACCAGCGGTGACATGTTTCTCCCACAAGCATTTACTGCTTTTTACTGCATCAACACCTTATCCAATGTCGTCCGCCATCCTTCAGTTCAGCTTCTCTCGTCATTACGTCCCCGGAGCACGAGAATCAGAGGGCACGATCGTTGGATTGTGCGTTCTTAACGCAGATCTCAGAATTTCCAGAACATTTTTGCGAGGTGCATCACCATACGCTGGACCATCCCATATCTGCACGTTAACTGTCGAGATGCGAGAGCCATTGGTGGTCGATGCACGGAAGACTCGTATCAAGATCTCAATGATTCTTGTCGTGGTCGATTGTGCAGGAACTTGATGAAGCGGCCCACACAATGATTGGGACTCACGTTGCTCGCCAGCATTGCCACCCTTGTTCTCGCGTCTCGGATGTCAAGCCATCATGAGATTTGCATTGATCGCATACTTGCGATTTGATGATTGTGCAGCTGGATCAAGCCGTTCTCCTTTCAGTGTGGGGTATTATTGATTACACGCATGTTTCTCCCGCTGGACGGCTACTAGGGAGCATGACGTGGTCCGTGAGTCCATGAGAAATTATCTGCAAGGGCTGTGTGTTCCAACACATTGTGTCTAAATGACAATCGGCAATTGGGGCGCAAAGAAAAGTCGCTCACTTTTCTCTGAGCGCACGTTGCTCAAAGCCTACCTAGAGAATATCAATATCAGCTGGCTTGTAAGGCCCCGTTTGGGAAGCCGGCCTGGAGACTCACCTCCTGAATGGAAGACCACTTAAAACACGTCTAGCAAAGGACTTACTGGCTAGAAGGTGTGCTAGACAAGGGATTCCATACTGATGAAGGACCGGATCGTCAAGAAAGGATATCGACATAGGAAGTATTCGTTCGACACCGAGGGTCTTCTCGGCTCTGAGCACCCCAACGAAGAATATATAGAGAGAAGTGGCGAATAGATGGCGTGGCCTGGACCTACACTGAACGGGGTGTCAGCCTAAGCCGGACTTTTCGGGTGTTCCTGACAGCAAGAGATGTAAGATCTACATGAAGATGCCAACATCTCGACCATCTGTTCGGGAAGACCGCAACCCAGTCGGTATCATCGCCATGAAACGAAACTCCTGCCGAAAATATCTCTTGTGGTCATGTCGCAAGAGACGATCATGGGAATCGGGACGGAGCTACGAATTATCTGCATCGTGGCTGAAGCCTGTTGTTGGCTGAAATCAGCACTGGAGTGCTTGATAATACCTGTGGATGCTATCTTAATTCCATGCAGGTGCTGCTAGCTTGAGAGGCAATTTTTACAGATCATGCGAGAAGCAGCAATCTTGAATGGGCTAAGTCTACGTTGTGTTTCCCTGCCACGTCTCAGTAGGACTAATCACGCCTTTGCGAAAATTCTTCTGCGTTGCGGCATCGACAAGACTGCTGGTCATCTCGGGAGGAGGTGATATCCAGAAGAGACTCGAATCTCGGCTAGACTTCTTCATCTGCCGTCAATGCCGCTCGCTTCCGTAAAGAAAGTCGCTCATGAAAGTAGAAATCGTGATGCGAGATACTTCTGGAAACCTCATATGGAACTCCAGATGATATGAGTGATCTTCATTTGACGTACAGTCGGTTTAAGGTTATGGGTCTGCCGACAGGCGAGCGGACAGCGGATTTTTGAGTTTCCTACCTACAAATCACATCAGATGGTTGCATCGGCAAGACGGTGCTAGAATACCGCTAGAAGCGTGTTCGACGAAGGCTGGTGCACTGTGCCGAGACTGCAATTGGTTATATGGTTCAGCTTCATCCAGCCTTACCGAAGAGCGAGGTGCGATAGAAGGTTGTGGAGTTGCGATTTGGCCTTATTAGGCTTGGTAACGGGCGTAGAGCTGTTAACGGACGTACCGTTGCAGCACCATTGGCGACTTCAGGGGTTGGTGGATGTCGTGCGCTACGCTCGGCACCGACGGCGACTGTGCGACGCTACGGGCTTGATCGGACAAGCGAAGAAGCGAAGTGAACGATGACGGGAGCGACTGCGCTGCGGCTTCGATACTCATGCCAGACTCACGTCGACGACAACAGAACCCCTGCCGATTGCATGGGGCTATGAGATCGAAAGTTGATTATTATTGCTATTGAGTTGAGTATATCTATCTATGATTGAACTCTCAAACAGCCACAATGTATTCCTCGCTTCAGCCACGTTCTTACAACGCTGAACATGCCTCTAGGTCGCCCGCGACGCCCCGGTACGGACGCAGAGCGTGCTGCCGCGCGACGTCAACAAGTCAGAGAGAATGTGAGAGCCTTTCGTCAGAGAAACCGAGAACGAGCACAGTTAGACAATCAACCAGAAAGCTCCGATAGTGAAGCCCTTTCTCGCCAAAGTTCCGTTGCGAGGTCTGAAGCTGGCTCATCATCCCAAGTAGTGGCTTCTTCGTCTGAGGCCCTCAGTACTTCATTCCGGAGACTCAGTACCTCGTCACAAGCTGCTGGGTTGGGATCGACAGCCTCAACAATACCAACTTCTTCCGTGGAACGAAACATCTCCGTCACAAGCGAAACTATTGGACGAACGATCAAATGGTCTCTTGGACTGCCGTTCAGGATAGACTTAGGTCCTGCTTACTCTGGTGCCTTCATCGCGGCGTTTCAATACCGCAGTCTACCTGCACCTACGCTCACGGTGGAAAGTGATTCCATCGAAACAGAATCTCTCATGACGTTGTCTACAGAGCCGCAAGACACCATTACGGATATAGCACCAACTGAGCAGCAACCTACAGATGAAGCCTCAAATGAGCTTACTCGAGTTGAAATTTGCTACCATACATGGACAACGTCAGTCTCTTTCGAAGCCATGTCACCTGGATCTGAGATGTTGCGAGAAGCGTTGCTGTCAGCTGCCTTGAACCTTATTAGCATAGAGAGGAATGATAGAGCAATGGCTATGCAAGCTGTTCAAATTCAAGCGACAGCATTGCGGAAACTTAGGGATGGCTTTGATGACTATCTGGAGAACAAAGATCCAGCGAAAGCCACTCTGCTATCAGCAACGGCTTTAGCTTGCTCAATGTCCGAACTTCTCGTCAACAAATCTTGGGATGGGTTTTCTCTACACCTCAAGGGAGTTGGTGCATTGATTGAGCACGCAGGTCCGGACGCTCTCGATGATCAGATAGCACGAGATCATTTTTATGGGTACCGAGCTGTTCAGTTTCCGTTCTCGTTCCTACACCGAAGAGGGTCCTTCCTCGCTCGAGAAGAATGGATTAACCTCGAATGGAGAGGTGGTGACTTGGGCAATTGTCCTATACATACCTTGCTGGATATTGGACTTCAAGTACCTTCTGAGATGGAGCACTACGACAAGAATCCCAATCGAAGACCAGGCGCATTGAGAAGGCAACTGAAGAAACTGAACGATCTCGCTTCGGAGCTGAATCAATGGAAGGTAGATGTGTTCTCCAGGTACACTTCTGCAATGTATACAGCAGAACCAGCAAGTTGGACAGGGCTTCATAGCGAGGCCATACACTTCACCAACGACATCGTCGCCTCTTCCTTCACAGTTTATACCGGTATACGAGTTGCCCTTTTTTCTCTCGTCCGGCAACTTGCCGAGGATCTGAAGGCGGAAGATGAATCAGCGATACCAGTCTTGACATACTCCATCGAGGAATCCTTCAAATGGTCACGAATAGCTTGTCAATGTACAGAATACTTCTTCGCAAGAGAACCAAACGTCGCAGGCAAAGTCCTTTGCCTCTTTCCTTTCGATACCGCTTGGAGCACCTTTGTAGAATTGGGCGAAAATTACGATCGAGATATGACGAATGAATTACGATGGTGTCAGGGTGCAGCTGAACGAATAGAAGCCACGGGCCTACCGGTTTTCAAGGTACGGAGTAGGATTTGAGGGGCAGTTGAGTTTTAGATGAGCAGCAGGCTGCTCGAATTTTCTTCTGTCATTCGTTGAAAAGTTTTCGTTTGATTCTTTTGTACTTTCTTTCCGTTCGTTCATAGAAGGCAGTACGGCAATTTTCTTTCTGTGGTCTGGCCACTTACTCATCACTTGTGCATCATATCCTGTCGCATTTCTTCATTGCCAAAAGTTTAGATATACCCCCACTTACATTTCTGGATACAATCGTTTCATAGTTAATATTTCTATTCTAAAATTTCCCTTTCTAGTGCACCACAAACATGCTCAGTAGTAACGAGAGCAGTCATGCGAAACTTTCTTTTTCAATCAGCATGCATTCTTGTAGTTCAAGTTCAGATCTCAAGATATCTCATATCCCTGCGCAGATTGTTTTCCTCGTTGCGCGTTCAACGGGTACCACGGACCTTTTCGCTCATCTTGATTCCAAGTTCGCCACTCGGTCGTGCCGAGATTCCGCGATAGCCAAGGGCCCTGCGTTTTAGGGCTGCGTCTTGATCACTTATTCTACGCCGAGCCGAGATGCTCGGATATGGCCGGAATATCACGTGTTTAGGCCGTGGAAGATCCGTGGAACGCAAATGGTTTGGGGGAGATGGTAAGCTGCGATTTCTTCGATAAGAAAGAGGACTCCGGCTTCTATTGAAGGACTTGGGTCTTGCCAAGTGGGAGCAGACTATGGGATCCGATCGCGAGCCCTGCTAGGGCTTGGATACAGCTACCTATCAGAGGTAAACGTGGCAAGAGGTCTTGCTGGACATTGTAGCAAGTGTTTACCTCTTGGATATTTGAGATAGTTTCTACGCCCATATGAGGCAATTGAGCAGACATCTCAATGAAGCTTCATGCCCCCCGGGCAAGGTAGGTGCCAAGGTAAGCGGGTACTAAGCATTTCGACATGTTCAGTCCATGCCCTTATTATATTTGATGGGATCTACATACATCCACGGAGATGCTGATTCTTTTCGCGAGCTCGGCGAGTGTCGGCGAGAGTGGAGATCAGGATTGAAAGAGTTTTAATTTCGTTGATCCTTAGACCTGGTTGAAAGAGAAGTTGCGGTGAGATAGAAGATGGGAGAGCGCTCGGCGAGACGAAGGATAGTGGAGAAAGACGCAAGTAAGTAAGTAAGTATGTTCCCCTTTCATGAGTCTTGCAATTCTCGCCGTGATCATTCAGCATTGGCGCATTATGTATGGTATGAAGGATTTCATGCTTGTTCTTTGAAATTTCTACTGCAGGTGTGAAGATTGTGTTCGATTTCGGGGACGGTCTGTTGGGACAAGGTTGAGGTTGGAGGTTATAGTCTTTGGCAGGGCTTGGAGATTAAGGTTGTGGTTTGGATCAAGGAGGGATTGACAGGAGGTGTTGTTCTTTGTCCTGGGATCCCTGGGCTAGGGCGCTGGTGTTTTGATGGAGATGCTTTTTGTGAAAAATTGGGCTTGAGAGGTTGGAATTTTGAGGCAAAACACTCCTCCCCGCAGCACAGGGAACCGGGCGAGGGAAAAGTGTATAGATAGGCTGTAGTAAAGGAGTTATGAACACCATTTGGATCTCAGCTCCCGAGAACTTTTATCACCAGACGTTTTCATACGTGAGTTCCGAAAGAGCAGCGCTGGAGAAGAGACGGAATTCATTTTCGGTGAGGTAGGCTGTGGGTACTTAGATCAAGTTGGCATTCTTGCCAGTGGAATTAAGGAAAAGGACTTCTGCTGAGCGCGTCCTCTTTGATTAATGCAATGCTTCAAGGTGTATGTAATACTTCCTCAATTTAAAATCAATACAAATACCAGTATATCCTCCTTGAAGTCACATATCTCAATGGAATTAAGAACCTTTCCTGACCGTGCTTTCGGTTCAAGAAGTAAAGCTAGCTAAAGTTCGTTCTCTGCCTTTCAATATCGAAGGCTTTTATTACTGAGAGTCTGCTGAAAGAGCCCAGCCAACATATCGCCTTGCCATTCCGTGGGGAACGGATTCTTCGATCATGGTGGAAGCTGAATGTTTCCTCTCCGGATGGACGAGCGTCTCCAATTGTCCATCTGTCAGAGGTCGGAGTATATCTTGGGAAGGAATTTCAGCCAAGGATTACCGTGTTAAAGAGTATAATTTAAGATTGGAGGTTGTTCGTGAGGAAAGGGTTGGTAGGATTCGAGGGACTCTGGAGTTAAGTTGGCTAGAGCAGTTGAGTAGTAAAATAGTGGTGGCAAGGGAAATATGAAGAGCGTGCTTGGGAAATTGGTAATTCCTTCATAATTGGTCCAGTGGAAAATTAGACGTGGATTGTTGTGTATTCTTTTACGATCCACGGTCTCTAAACTTCTTAAGGATATTGACAGATGTAGACTTAATAGGCTTTCTTCTACGTTCTTGCTAAAGCTCAAGGGTGAATAATTAAAGTTCTTGTCATTGGAAGTGGAGTTTGTGAGGTTTGGAAAACATTTGGAGTATAATGAAGGCTTGCTACAGAGTACGGATCGGTCTGCTGAACATAGAGATGGCTTGAAAGAGGATTCGTGGATTTCGGAATACATTCAATTGTGTCTACAGCTTGCTTCCACCGGGAGGAATATTACGTATGGCAATAGCTGACAAAACGCAAGTGACCAATCACTCTTACCTTTTCCATTGGCGCCCACGTTCCCTTGATATTCCACAGCTCTGAGCGAGGGGATGGGATTGTTCATGGCCCTGATATGCAGTTCCTCTCTGTATGGAAGCTTCGCTCTTGTAGTACTGACTGTACTGTGGTTTTCTGAACTCTACAATTGCTGCTGGCGTCCTTCTCTCGTAAGATGGTGCCGCTGGTGTGAGTGGCTCTTTCTGTCCGTCACCAACCTAGTACTAAATCTTCTTAGGATAGCTGTCTTCCAAACTCAGTGCTCCATCTTTCCTGTATGTGGTGATTCTGATATCGAGTCTTCAATGCGAGGAGTGATTCGAGAACGGTAATATTGATACCTCCAGCAGGATTGAGGGCTTTTGTGTGCAGGTGGTAAAGAAAGTGGTGATCTAAAACTGTGAAATCTATCAGTATGGGCTCTGGTCTAAGGTTGCGGTAGAGAATGGCTGAACTTCTTCGCACAATGGGCTTTCTCCACTCCATCTGGAAGGATTTCTCGCGAACTGGCGCTGATGTCTCAATCCTGTGGAAAGGAACTGCTCAGAAGGCGTTTGCGGTTTCGAGTACTTGGAACAATAATGTTTGCTGTTGGATAACTTCATTTGATGGGAGTGTGCTTCTCTAGAAGAGAAAATCGAGAACGGCAACAAAAAAGATAACATCATTTTCATAGGTAGGCAGCAGCAGCGTTGCTGATTGGATTGTGACCTTTCCGTGCTTTTTATCTGCAGCTCCCGAGGCTGTCACTTCGTGCTCTTGATTCTATCATAAAACTAAGCTGCAGAAGGCAAACAGGCAAACAGATTGTCTTCAACGGGAGGCTGCACTTGGATATGCATACTCGAAACTCGATGAATCTCTCCCTTCTGCTTCCTTTCAAGTATCTAGGTAGGTACCTTAGGCAATCAACCAGGCAAGAAGAAGCTTCAGCCTTACGATTCCTTCCTTTTACAGCTCTTGCTGCTGTAGTAGATCCGCGCTACTGTGCCTACCTAGCAGGGGTGGCAGAACGTGATCTGGTGATTTCGCGAAGGGAGCCTGCATATAAAATACCCCGGCTCGCGTCCTCCACAATCTTTTTCCACCACTTCCACTTCCTGTACAACAACTTACAACTTCCGTTCCTCTTTCAACCTCCATCCCACTTCCTCCAACTTCGATCTCCTCTACTTCCCACTCATACTCTTCCTCAATGGCAAAGAATAAGATTCAAGGCAAGGCTAAGGCCAAGCTAAATACCACAACTGCAGCTTTCGCAGCCAACATGTTCGAGGCCGTCGCAGACATGGATGGCAACCCAAACTCTCCCGCTGAGTTCGATGATACTCCTCACACCGACGAGGAGATGTATTTCAATCCACCTGAGGGTGCGACCGAGGTAAATTATCATCGAGCTTTCTTTGTTCTTGATTCCCACCCCGCACTCACGCGTCGAGGCTGTTTGTTTGGGTGTGGACAAACCTTCCCCCATACAAACGGAAAGCCTAATGCGTTTGCTTCACCTTCGCGACATCATCCTCATCCATTGTTCTTCATCTTCGTCTGTTCTTCTTCGTCTCAAGTCGAGCCTCCGACGTTCATGGCGCAACTCGAGACTTGGGCTCAATTGGAACCAAAGCTGACATACACAAACACAGGCGGACAAGAACCGATGCAAGGTCTTGAACTACATCCACCGACGCCTTCGAGGGAACCTCCACCGAACCGTCCCTCCAGTTACCGGTAAGGAGGCTGAGAACGTCGAAATCTACCACCGTGAGACTTACATGGGTGATACCTTCGAAGTCTGCGCCTACTTTCCGGTTCGTGTCGCCGACGGTTTCAAGGACTGTGTCGCCGTCGTCAAGTTGGTTGCCACTGACCTTGAGAGTGATGATGCACCGGATCATGTTGTCTCGTCCCACGCCGCTTGGACTTCTGATGCGCAGAAGGACAAGTACACCTTGACTGTTGATAAGATCAACGCAAACTACTGGACTCCACGCTGGGTCTACATCGTCAAGTACGTTCGCGAGCGTATGGCTAAGGATTTCGACAAGTACGGTACCGAAGTCCATGTTGAGGTTGAGTCCGAAATCCCTCGTGGTACAGATCTTACCAAGAGTGTTGGTGCTGGTGGTGCTGACGGTGTTGTTGATACTGGCATAGAGATGGAGGAGGTCATGCAGGTGTTCTCTGGAGCTACCGGCAAGATTATCGGCCCTAAGGGTTCGAAGATCCACGAGATCAAGGATGCCACTCATGTGGTTGACATCCAGATGCCATCCAAATCTGAGGATGGATCCAGACCTCGTGCTCGTGAGCTCGTCAACATCACCCTCAAGGGCACTCGGACCCAGATCAACAAGGCCAAGGTCATGATCCAGGAGGTTGTTGATGAATGGGTAAGTCTTTCCCCTATCTTGATCCATCTCCTTGCTTGAATGTTGGTGGACGCTGACATGATGTAGGCCAATGCTCCTCGCCCACCTCGCGATGGTGGTGGTGGATTCTCTAGTACATACGTCAATCCTGATCCTATCCCCGACTACAACGCCATGAATGGTGGCTCTGGTGGTGGCCAAGGCGGTGCTGATGCTGGCGGCGAACTCAACTGGGCCGATGATGCCAACAATGAGGCATCATCTGGTGAAGCTGGTTGGTCTGCTCCAGCAGCTACTAGCGAGTGGTAAACGAATGATGTTGGTGGTAATACTGGTAGATACGTCTGGGGAGATCTTTCATGTCTTCAATTGCTCTGGCAGACATCTGTTTGATGGTTGGCATCGAGATACGTGTTGCTGGAGGGTATACTGCTGGTGATCCGGATTGATTGGTGTGGGAAGTTGAGCATAGATGGGGAATGGCATAGCATAGTCCTTCAATCTAAGACTCGACCAATCCTGAATCTCACACTTGATGATAGATGAAGTGATATATTCTAACTCGAAGTTACTAACAGTCTTTTGTAAGAGGCTATATGTTTGCTATACTGCATTACCAACCTATTTGCTCAACCTCCAAGAACAGCCATGATGTTTTACCATATCATCTATGCGGATGGAGGGACAATTGCGACAGCTCCCCAGAACAAAGTGTTGATCTGATATGGCTTGACTCAGACAATAAAGCACAACTCAATGCAGCACAAGATTGTATTTCAGTACCAGCTCTGAGCTCGGTGAGCATCGCAAAGTCTAGACATAATCTATCTGTCGTTGAATGTGGTTCAACTTCCTCTGCCAGAACACTGTCGAAGAGAATAGTCGCTGTTCCGGTGGCAGAAATCATCAGAGCTCTTCATGCATCACAAAGACTAATCTTTGAAGTTTTGAAGATTTGGTGGCAAAGAAAGGTTACGATGAAGACGACGTCCTTCTTTTGTGTCCTCTTTTGAAGGTCGGCGTTAAATATCTTCTGGGGTATTTACTGCTAAACGCTCATTGGCCACCGTACCGAGACACCCTAACATTGCGGCCGCCTAGTGTCACTTCTCGATCTCGAACCCGCCTCAAAATTTCTTGAATATCTTCTGTTCGACAAGCAAGGTCAACACTGCAGCAACTGTCAGGATACATGCATCTGAGAGTGAGAGCTTGTCAAAGAGCTTTATGTAGTCTCAGTCAAACAAAGATAACCCCACAAAGTGCATTTTTCACTCAGAAAGCAGTAACGAATCAGCTGATCATGGACCTTGAAGATCATCCAAAGGTGAGCTACCTATATGCTGAGCCAATTATGATGTGAGGCTGACTAAATTAGAAGCATCATGGTCACGATACACATGCGATACCTCCTCAAGCAATATGCAATATTTACAAGAAATACCAGAAGATGGACGATGTCGACATAGACTCTGATCTTGAAGTTGTCGACTTTGGCAGGGGTTTGACCAAGCAACAAGACAAATCAATCGTACCAGTTGATACAATCTCATCTGAACTGGTTGCAACAGCAAGAGATAAGTTCATGAGCTACTGGCCATCATTTGACTCTGTACCTCGAGATTCAACGCCCAAGGCATGTACAATTTACGAGCACAAAGACTTTGCCGGTATGAGTTTCAAGACCACGTGACGGGAGTTACTGACCCCTATTCCAGGTCTTCGAATCCTCCCTTCTCTACTTCCACCAGAATGTCAATTTCTGATGCTTGATTCGATCCTGCACAGAGACCTTGCAAATCCACTTCACAAAACGAACATTCACCAAGATTACAGCATTCCATACCCACCACCCAACGGAGATTCGTCACAACCAGAATCATTCTTCACGTACCCGCCTCATTCAAAGAATCAAGTGTTCACGCCAATCAATCCACACTCGAACCATAAAGCGCTGAATACAACTCAATTTCTGCATAAGAAGCTCCGCTGGCTGACATTGGGAAGTCAATATGATTGGACCACTCGAGCATACCCCGCCGAATCACCAACGCGCTTTCCAGCTGATATTTCGTCCTTGGTAACTACATTGTTCAAGAATGCCTTCAAGCCTGAATCCGGAGTCGTTCTTCTGTACAGTACAAAGGATTATATGCCCGTGCATCGAGACGTGTCGGAGGAATGCCAGAAGGGACTTGCGAGCTTTACGTTGGGATGTGATGGCCTATTCATCTTATCTCGAGACAAGAAAAGGGAGGATGGAGAAGCAGCAGACGAAGATGACGAAGAGAGAGAAATGGAAACGTGTGTCCTGAGAGTCCGAAGTGGTGACTGTGTGTGGATGGGTGGGGAGACGAGATGGTGCTGGCACGCGATGCCAAAGATTATGGGAGGAACATGTCCGAAGTGGCTTGAAGACTGGCCCGTTGGCGTAAGTGGGGAACAGAGGAAGGAGTTCGAGAAGTGGAAGGGATTCATGAAGAGCAAGAGGCTCAATATAAGTTGTCGACAGGTCTGGAGCTGAAGACAGACAATCTCCTCCTCGTCGAATCAATTCTTCTTCTTTCCGAACAACTTCTTCAGCTTGCCGCCAATGTCCCACCGACCGGTACGACTCTCCTCCTTCTCCTTCTCCTCTCCAGCGGCAGCGGCAGCACGAAGATCTCCCACCGTCTCACAATGTCTCAGCTTCGATCCACCACCCACAGGCTCTCCCATCTTCCTCTCCTCCCCCAGATTGTTCAAGCTAGCCATCCTGCTAGCCGCCCGCCGCTCAGCGTTGACCCCTTGGGCCCACTCCAACGACCCCTTCTTGTGGAGGCGGGGGACAGGGCCCAGTGGGACATCCTTTCGGATGAATTGCTCTTCTCTCTTGCGTCGCTCGACCTCCTTGCGGGCGTACTCAATGTCTGACTCCCGGAAGCCCAGACGAGACTCTCGGCCTGATTGGGACATTGTGTTGGAGGATGGGGTTGGTGCTTGTGATTGGTAGTTGTGTGAGTATGGTTGTGGGAAATTGATTGCTGTTGCTGTGGTTGCTGTGGATGTCGGAGTTGTAGATCTTGGGATGTTGTCGGGTTGAATACATTCAGATCGAATGTTTGCCTGCTTCGCTTCTCTCGACTCCTTCCAGCCTCGTCTCCAAGTAGTGAATCTAGATGCAGCCATCATCCAGTACAAATGACTAAGAGAATGGCACAATATTTTTCTCCCAATGCAGACAATATAACACCATGAAGTAAGGTATAGACGGCTAAGCGCTGATCTTCTTTCCGCAATCGTGAGTGTTTATCCTCATTTTAGCGTATATAAAATCTAAAATGCCAGTCTTCAGAAATCTAAAAACTAAAACACTAAAGTGATCGTACTCGCACCTAAAACACGCTCTCAAGAAAAGTACGTTCTGGTACTTTTCAGACATTTTTTATAGCCTACATATAAACGCCATGATCTTGAGTATCTTAACTTGCGACTTTGTCTCACTAGAAAGCACCCATGTCCTGTTCAACAATAAGGATTGTAGATTGTCTAGCTTTTGTACATGTATGCTGTATGAGGGTTTCAGGTAGAGTTTCTTATTGTGTAGGTAGAACAGGGACATTCTTTATACCAAGAAGTTGGTTCTGAAGTAGTACTTTAGTGGAGGTTATCTGCAGATCCAGTTGTCTGTAGAAGAAGACTGGGACTTGATGCAAGGGCTCTGACTGCCGTGCGGTATTGTGATGGGTATGCAAGGAGTCCTCGTAAGCATGGTGATCTTTAGAGTAGGGATTACGGACTAAGTAACGAGCTTTGAATCCAGTCCTCTTTAGCCTGAGAATATGCCTGGCTTACTAAAAGCGTTTGTCTCATCCTATCACCTTCTAATTCCCAAAATCGCTATTAATGGTCACAAACTCATGCGTCAAATCACACGTCCAATAAACCGCTTCCTCGCCCCCATCCTCCTTCCCATCATCCCTCAACTCAACCAAAACCTCCACATCCTCCTTCTCCATAACCTCCTTCGCCCTTTGCTCATCCACCACCCCCAAAACTCCCCTCTCCATAAACTTCAACACCTCTCCTCCCTCCGCAACAAAACTAACAGAAGTCAACTCCCCAACAATGATCCCCTTCCCCGTATTCATCAACGAATACCCCAGCGCCGCCACCACATTCCCCCAATTCGGCTCCTTGCCATAAATCCCCGTCTTAAAAAGCACTGAGCGCGCAATCACAGACGCGATATGTTTCCCAGCCGCATAGGATGGAGCGCCATGGACGCGAATGGTGATGAATTTCGTTGCTCCCTCGCCGTCGCGGACTACTAGTTTTGCCATATCGGCCATGAACTCAACTAATATCCTTTGGAAAGAAATAAAATCTTCACAAGAAGAATCGAGTGAGATTTCTGGCCCGCCTGCAGCGCCGTTGGATAGCATGGCGAGCATATCGTTGGTGGATGTATCGCCGTCGACGGAGATGCAGTTATACGATTTCTCGGTAGCGGTGGATAGCAATTTTGCAGGGCGGGTGCAGAGATGGAAGCGTCGGTACAAATGATTCCCAGGGTGGTGGCCATGTTGGGGTGGATCATTCCGGAGCCTTTGGTTAGGCCGGCGATGGAATAGGTGATGGTGGGGGAGGAGGGGAGAGTGAAGGTTCGGGAGACGAGTTTGGGGAATGTGTCGGTTGTGGAGAGGCCACGGGCTGCTTCGAGCCAGTGCGTGTGGGAATTGCCCATGCTGGCGTGGAGGGTGGGGATCCCTTTGATGATGTTGTTTATAGGGAGGCTGGGGTTGATTAGTTGTTGCTGGTGAGTTTCGTGGAGGAGGGTGACTCACCGCTGGCCACCCATTCCGGTATGCATCACCATCACAGAAGACTCTGCTTCAGCGTCTGTCGTCTCTCCAGAAATATACCTACCGGCTTCTTTACTCATTATCAAAGAATCCTCAAGTCCCTGCTTCCCAGTGATCGTATTCCCACACCACGAATTCGCAATCACACCCCGTACTCCCCACCCTTTGGTCCTCCTCACAATCTCCTTCGACACCGTGATCGAAGCATTCGGGAATTCATTCTTGGTAAACACCGCAGCTCCATTGGACGGCTTCTCGGAAGCTACGAGGACTAAGTCAGGTTGAGACTTGCTTGCTGGTTTTATGCCGACGTTGATGCTGCCGACTTGGAAGCCTTTGGGATACGTGCCGGAAGTGGGGACGAATCTTTATTTGTTTGCTGGGATGGGTGAGTTGCCGAAGATGTCGAATTTGGAAAGTTGGCGGGTTGGGAATTTGAAAAGTCTTTGGGATGCTATTTGTGAGGAGAGTCTGGAAAAGTGGAGATTCATGGAGTTTTGAGCGAGCGGCACACTCTTGTATAGACTGTGATGCGATGTATGCTGAATGAGGGAAGGACTCGCGCGGGCTCTTCTTACTTAATTCTGTACGTGAGGACATTCAATGGCTTCTTTTGATCGAGTGTAGATGTTGGGAGAAAGTATATTTCAAGAGTCAGGCGAGGTGAAGGGAGGCGAGCTGCTTGCTCTGAGTCATCATTGGTCAATTGGAGCACTAGCGCGAATTCTCTTTTCACTCCACACGTGAGGGGTGAGTTTATTCATTTGAAGTTTATCATCGCAATGAAATACAATGCATTAACTCTCTGTGATGTACTCAATTGAACCATTTACAGATCTTTCCGTTAAGTGAATCGGGTTATAGAGCTCCCACCAACCTCGCCGGAATGCCCCCTCTGTGTCTATGTGGGTAAGACTTGTACGCATCGCCTTTACCTACCCGGAAATAGTCCTCAGGCTCACTCTAAACTCCACTCATCTCATAACGAGAGAAAACATCATTTGGCGCCACTTTCGCTGCTACCCATCCCGAGTCTTTCCATTCGTCTTTGAGCGCCGTGCCTGGATGGAAAAACGTGAGTAGGCCGACGGCCAAGGTTATCATAGTCCCTTCTAAAAGCATGAATAGAACTTCATCGTTAGTCAGTCTACTGTCGAAGCCTTTCCAAAGCTCGGCAACACGGAATGTAGACCGAACGAGGATGAAAATTGTAGCGAATGAGAATGCTGATTTTGTCAGGAGAAATGATTAAGTGAAAGTGTACCACTTACCGACGAGGAAGAGATTGAAATGCCTCTTAGTTTGTGAGTTGAGATGTACCGTTCTCCAGTACCGACTCGGACTTTGTACAAAGACGTCTTTACCCTGCCTCAACCGAGTTACGAGTAAGGCATAGTAGCACGAAACCCCGATGAAAAAGAGGAGAGAAAGGACCTGGAAACCAAGACCTGCCACTAAGATATGTGTCCCAGTGTCCGACCCTTTGCTTGTGCTTGCAGTGTCGGCAATAGCACCACCAGCAGCTTGCAAGACGAGTGCAATAAAATCGCAGGTCATGAAAGTGATTGAGATTCGCTTAGGCGTGAGCCAGCAATAACGGACGCCGTAATGGACGATGATTCGTGAGAGTGTGAGATAGATAGCTGCATTAAAGAAGACTGGTCCGATTGTCAAACCGATCAAGTATCTGCCTATTGTTAAATACATGTACGCGTGGCTGGCTGATAGACTTACATCAAAAATGGGTTCGCGTCGAAAGGATTGTAATGCATCTGGACACGGCCGAGGTATCCCACAACTTCAAGCACCAGTCCACTCATGACGGAGAAAGAGTAAGACCAGGTCTTATACTTCCACGTTTGGACAGCCTGTACGACGAATGTTCCGGCGAATAAAGTAAGATAAAAAGTGTTCCCTACGAGACTCGGATCGTAGTGAACAGTCGCCATAGATAGAGGGCATGTGTCGATGGTACAGCCTCCATCGTTGTTCATTTGAGGCATCGTACCGTTTTGAGGATCTCAGTATCTCGAGCAGAGGATCGTAGCCGTACAAGAACTTGTTGAAACTTTGTCTGGAGAAGATTTGAGGTTCAAGAAAGATATCACGATGTGTGATTCATATTCTGGTTTGGGGGAGGGCCGAGTCCAGTGAATGAACACTTCATTCCACTCGCCTGCGTGATGAACATGAGAGTATGTACCCAATAGTGACTTTTTTGTTCTCATACATTCTCTTCGACGTTTGTCTCTTCTCTGATGCTTCGTAGTATACAAGTTGCGACATGATCAAATGTATTGCATTGATTGAATGTTGACTTGACAATGTTCGTTACACTCGTAGAAGAAGTTCCACTTGGATCGTTTCATTGCAGAGACGTAAGGACTCCATAGGGACAGTCATCTCTTCAGCTGCAAAACGCCTTTCGAGGCTTTTTGAAACGCTTGATTCATAAGTCTTGACTTCGGACCTGTCACACATCGCATCGTCAAAGCAAGTTTCGGTCAACATATTACCGTAAGAAAATTACGAGGATCGTCTCGAGAACATACATATCTGAAAGGGAAGTTGTTGTATCTCCTATCATGAAGAACACACGGGAGGAAGGCAACACGAATTTGATTGAAAATTCTGCCATCTTCCACCGCCCCGAAGGACCTCATCTCATTTCACGCGATGATCTCACTCCGACTTCCTCTCTCTCTCTGAAGAACAGCTCAATTGAAACATCCAAAGACTTGGTGAGAGGCAACCCGCACGGAATCGAAGTCTCTAAAGTTACCGCACAGCGCTTATGCGGCCCAGCCAGCTTCGCCCAGGCTGCAAGCCCAAAAATAGGCATTCTGCCTGGAATACCGAGTACGGCACTGGGTCACGTTTTCTCGCGCCTGAACAATCCCGTCTCTCTACGCGACGTAGCATTGCATAGCAGCAGTGTCATTGATAGCCAAGCAATGCTATAGCTCAACCATAAATACCCCTCATCGTCCCGTTTCTGCGTCAGTCTCTTTCATGATCAAACAACTCAAGGCCACCCTCGCAAAAGTCACCTTCAAGCCAAACACCACCTCAAAAGTCCCGTTTCGTGACAATGGCGGATTATGATTATCCAGGCCTTGGTCTTCCCTTGAGACACTTCCATCAAGATGATAACGACTCGTATCCCTTGGGCATTCATGGGAATTGCTGGGGCTCAGACTCTGACCTTCTACCGGTCCGCGAGGTCGCCATGATGATCATCATGGACAGGCTGATGGACAAGCCCGACTGGGAAAAGAAAGTCTTCGACGACGAAATTATCGCCAAATGGCGTAAAGAAGCACTCGAATACCCGGATGACTCGCTATGGAAACAAGCAACTGGAGGAAAAGTTCATAATAGATGGGCTGGCCAGAGAAGTGACGATGAAACCACCTTTGTGAGCAGCCATATCACACCATTGACGGGCATCATGTCGAATGAAGCATTTGACTATGTGAGTTTGGGCGACTGGAGATAAGATTCGGATTTTGCTGATCAGAAGAAGTGCGTACAAGAGCTTCGAAGCAAGGCTCAGTACTATAAAGAGTCAGCGCTGATTCCCACCCTCGATGCTTGTGCAACCGTCGTCAAATCAGATACGCTTATCTCTTCTGACATGCAAGTTGAGCTGCGAAATGCCTTTGATAAGTTGAAAGCGGACCAAAGTGCGTCTCCAGACTGGCATCCCAACTCCAGCGAAATGGTCCAGGATCTCCTCCATCCTTCTATGTATCCCCTCGTCTATGGCCGGAGCAGAGTTCTCAAAGAAGAAGTTGTTGGAGTCAATGATGCCATTGAAAAATGGGCTGGGAAAGGGGAAGTCATCGACAAAGATGACTCTGAACTGGGTACCAACGACAGATACAGTTCTGGTATCGGTGGCAGCTATCCACCACGGAACTTTTGGTCTAATACGTATCAATGGCTTCCCTCAAATGTCGCATTTCAAAAGGATGGTAGTGTAAAGTTCACGAGTTACATCAACAATCTGCATCCTGGGAAGTACCCCGATATGTACCGTACCATTGAGAAATTCATCGAGACGGTGCTCCCGGCTTGGGATCAATGTCTTGCACGTCGCATAGACTATCACAATACAAAGCACGGCGCAGGGCGTACGGTATCTCGGTTTTCTAAACCTTCACACCCTGAGTGAGTATTTCCTCCAGCCCAGGCCCAAGCTTAGAGAAGTTTCCTGATGAGACTCCTTACAGTGACGATAATGGTGACAATTGGGACCCGTCCGAGCAAGAAGAAACACCGTAAGTGATCATTCAACTCCCCAAACACAATCAGCTCCACCGAATCGCTCATAAAGTCGTAAAAAGTGTCAATACAGCGGAGGCCTCTGATTCCGATGCTTCACCGACAGCTGTGGTCGATTTGGAAGAAGAGGCTGAATCTGATGACTCCGAAGAATACGACAATGAGGAAGATAGGCAATGGCGTAGAGCAGAGAAGAGATGGCACAAGATTCGAAAACCTGTTCAGCCACAGCCTGATCCCTTCAAGGCCGTGGACGATTTCTATGTTCCTAAAGAAAGCGTGCAACTCTCGAAGCAGTTCAAGGATACGGGCTTGCAAATCATTGTCAAGATGGCGAGCATTGAGTTGACACCTGGGAAGCCGGAGTTTCCTGTTGGTGGTTGGCATGTAAGTTGCCAACATTTTATCGTCGCTTGAATTCTCTTAGCATTTTATGCTCAAATTCGCATCGTCTTTAGTTCTTCGCCATATTGTAGTATCAAAGCTGACATGTAACGCTTGAAGGTCGAAGGGCAGATGAATGAACGTATCTGCGCAACAGCACTTTACTATCTCGACAGCGACAACATCACCTCCAACAATCTATCCTTCCGCATGCAAACATCCGCCTACATAAATGACGAATACACAGTCGGGCAGGACGCGTACCACTGGATGGAAAATATCTATGGAACCGAACTTGGATGCGGGAACGCTCCGTGTCTCCAGAACTATGGGAGTGTTGAAACGAAGGAAGGAAGATTGCTTGCTTTCCCTAATGTTTTGTAAGTTCCACCCTTACCCAGGACCTTTGTAAATAGACTGATTGTTGATCTTCCAGCCAACATCGCGTATCCCCTTTCCGCCTGATCGACCCCACCAAACCAGGACACAGACGCTTCGTCGCACTCTGGCTCGTCGATCCTCACATCCGCATCATCTCAACAGCCAACGTGCCTCCTCAGCAGCTCAATTGGTGGGCCGAATCCATCTTCTCTGACTCTGACGAGAGTATCTCTAAGCTCCCAGCCGAACTTGTTGAATTGTTTCAGCAGAAAGGAGTGACCATCGATCCGAGTGAAAAGGCAGAAGGAAAGCTGCCGCCAGAGCTGAATAAGATGTTGCTTCAGCATTTTGAAGGCGAAGGGGCGCTTCTTATGGGCGAGGAGGAAGCGAGGGAGCATAGGGAGAAGTTGATGAGTGAGAGGAGTGCTTTTTCTCTGGCTGCGGATGATGAGTGGCATCACCATTCTTACTCTTTCTGTGAGCATTAGCTTGCAAATTCAAGATAGCAGCTGTCTGGAGATTCCTGGAGGGGGGTTTTTTTTGGCGGGTTGATAGTCGGGGATCCAGCAGTGTTGATACTTTGCTTTGTATGAAATGATTTAGGGATTTCTATACCCTCATCCGAAGTTTTGTGATATACAAAATTCTACTTTGAAAATTTCTGTTAAACTTTTGGAAATGCAAGTATCAAGTTGCGGTGAAGTGTGGCAGAATATCATTCTGCCCTTTGCAGCGTGATAGTGACCGTCCTTCCACATTTCGGCGAGTTAAATCGCAATGCCAGAAACTGCCTAGGCATGGAGTTGTTCATCCGTTGAAGCTAGAATGATTTTCTATCAGTGCTATTACTATCACTTTATTGAATAGGTACTTAAAAAGAGAATTACGAGAAATGTCGAAAGTGAATCTCAAAGTGTTACAAAATAGAGAAAACAAGATGAGAAGGAAGCTCGAGTTTCTAATCTCCGAAGCTCTTGCCATATTACTCTCATGTGACTGGGAACTCCGTTTGGAAGGGGCGATTCTGCCAGCAGGCACCGCCTTCGGCCACCTTCACTTACTCGTTAATCGATCTCGCCCGGAACATGTCTTCCTTCTCAATCTCACAACTTTTTGCGCAGTCGACGCCCTTGCCCACAGATAACACCCATACTTCTATTTTAACTGGAGCTGAGATGCTACGTCGTTCGTTCGACTTTCCCTTGCCATCAAGTTGATCCTGTGAGGCTCAAGCAGAAAATAGGATTTGCACTCGAGCATCCAATTGAGCGAAGTGTAAAGAAGAAACCCCGCCTCCGCCTCACAGATGTGAGGGCTACTACCTCTTTGGGTAAAATTTACCTATCTCGTCACCGGTATGGAGTTTGGAGATAAACGAGAACCCGGTGAAATGTGCTTCGAATCGCCTGGTGGGCGACTGAGCGAAACGAGTGTGCGTCATCGTCATCGTGCCGTATCTACACTTTCTCCGTTTGTACCTTACGAGCTGACAAACGATCCAGAATCCCGGCAGTCAGTCACCTATATCACGTTGGGGGCCGAAGAATGGATGCTTCCGCGTCTCGCTTCAAGCGCTCCGGTCGCTACTCGGCTTCGGCTTCGGGTGGAGCTCTCATAGGCTATACTCTATACCGTATACGCATGTCGTTCATTGGACTTGTATGACTCCCGCACTACACCATCCCACGAAGGGCACGCCATGCGAAGCACAGGCGGATGCTACAGCGGTGACCCAGAATTCACGATCGTGGGTTCTAAAACGGTCCAAACCCAGGGGAGGTACCCTGAAGAATTGCTCGCTCGTACCACAGATCCAATCAGACTCGGTCAGATCTACGCTACTCTGGAATAGGCATTTGTTGCGTTTACGGCCGGATCGTTATGCTCTTCATGGCTCTTCTCAGCCTCAACTCGTCTAATCTTCTGTCATTGCTTGTATGGCAATCCAACAACAGGCGAATGTGGGTCGTCATAGACGCAGTTGAGGGTTTTGACGATATGAACCGCGGCAAACTTCTTGACCCTCTAGCGGTGAGTAATTTGATAACCGTCTTATCCGTTATATCCCTTCAGTGATGGTGTTGCATTGTTGCCAGCCTTGTTTTATGTCTGCTCCTTGTAGAGTCGTAAGCTTTCCTCCGATTCTGATCTGGCTGTTTATCCAGCGTCTTGAATTTCTCGTTGCGTCTTATTTTTCAGGTCACTCGTCTAACTCGATTCGACTGGGCATCATTTTTCCAAAAAAATTTCTTCCGCTTGGGACTGATGATAAAGCTGGAAAATCAATTTCTATGTTTTATGTCTATGTTATGTGAGAGGCGAAGTTGCTCCCACCGATTCTCAGCAACAGAGAGTCTGACTCTAGACCGGATGAAAAACAGGGTTACAGTGTGCCTAACCAACGAAATCGGCGCGGACGTTCTCTGCTCCAATCAAATAGTCCCCGCTGACAAAGCGCTTCGAGGATTAAATATCCCCTGCAAGAAGCTGTTGCCGTTCCGGGCCCCCCATGTCTGTGCCTCACCGCAGCAACTGTACAGTAGGTACACCAGGATACCTAAGTCAGAAGCTTATTTACAATTACTGTCTGGAATTGGCCCCAATGCATTCAGATGTATATAACAAGCTCACTTAGCTCATCATCTATCAGTTGCTAATCGCTCCGTGAACTTTATTTTTCTGCCAAGATGTCGTCAAACAATCGCGGGTCCCAGTCAGGTATGGAGAAGCAATCCGATTTGAGTATCCGAGGAAAGCGCCATTCCGACCAGATCGCAAAGTCAAAGAACGAGTCGAGTCTGTCTGAAATGGCAGCGGTCCAACCCAAGAGCGGGAGAATGGGGAAACCGAAAACCCGGACGGGATGCATCACCTGCAAGTACTGTTCCCGATTTAACCCACCTATCTTGCAGTTTCACTAATCAGAACAGAATACGGCGTATAAAGTGCGACGAAGGAAAGCCATTTTGTATGAGGTGTACTCTAACTGGACGCCAATGCGATGGATACCGTCAACCCTCGCAACTGAAAGGAACAGCTCCACATCCAATGCAGATTGCAAAGCTGCGGCCTGCTACTCCCGCTCTGCAGCTGCATCTCGTTATCAAACTGAATCATCGCATACCACCTCAACTAACAGAGTACCCCGACCGGACGCATTGTGAGCATAGATCTCTCGAATACTTCCGATGTTGCACTGCGACGGTTATGTCCCATTGGCTAGTGGAGAATTTCTGGAAGTACCAGCTTCCTCAGACAGCGAACTCTGAGCCAGCTACTCGGCACGCCATGATTGCATTGGCAAAGATACATGAAGACGTTGAAATTCAACGAGAGGGCATACCAAACGATCCTCGACTTGCTCCAGAAGTATCGGCTCGTCGCTCGCAATATGCTCGCCATCACTACAATATCGCCGTATCAGAGCTGGCTCGGGCTCTGCGAGAGCGAACAGATTCAGAAGAAGTCGCTTTGATGGTCTGTGCCCTGTTTGTTATATTCAACTTCGTCTCTGGCAACTCCTTGGCAGCGATCTTTCACATGCACAATGGTGTGGAGATCTTGAGCAGATGGAAATCTTCCAAGATTGGGAATCGAGTTCTAAGCGAAGGCTCTTTGGAGAAGAATTTGATAACCCTCTTTGGAAGACTGAGTCATCAAAGCACTTCATTAGACGAGTCCATCCCAGAGCTACGCCCTCATATGCCTACAATGATTTCTTTTCCTTCTTTGCAGGTAGCGGGAACGTCCATGGAGTCATTGGTTCGAGAGGGACTCAGACTCGTGCGCATAGGAGCAGTCTTGGCCTACAACCCTCAAGCAGCAGTACGCTGGGACGACCTTGAACTTCAAGCTTCCGGATTTCTCGCGGACTTGTCCCAATGGCTATCACAATTCGAAAGCCTGGTTGCTACACTTCCTATACCGCGCAATGACGGAGATGAAGGACAGATTTACAGGCTACGGGTCATGTACCTCACTGCACATATCTGGATCTGCTTTGGAGTCACCACACCCGAAGCACCAGAACCCACATCCGTGCTTGAACAATTCCTTAAGGTGGTTGAAGAGATATACACCAAATGGATAGCCGGACAACTTGGATGTCCATCCCTTCATATATTTGATCTAGGAATTATACCTCCTCTAGTATTAATCGCCACAAAGAGTCAGAACCAGATGTTGAAAGAAAGGGCTCAATTGATGCTTCGGAAAGCAGCGCCCCTCATTGTCCTGGGCACACCACCATCAATACCGGTCTCGATGGGAACAGTAACATTACGCGATGAAACGTTTTCCGGAACACCCTTGCCGACGAATCTAGAGATCGAAATGGCAGACATCGGTGAACACGGAACGGTCGAAATCGAGGTCGAGCCTGGAGCGACGCAGATTGGGATATCGTTAAAACCCAAACGCTCTGGAGATGGATGGGAAGTGAGGAAAGACTTTGCAGTATAGACGACAATGGGAAAAACTCCGCATCAATTTTGCAGACATCCAGCTTCCAAGTTCAAGGAACGGCAAGCGTTTGGTAGTCGCCCATTTATTTTCTTCTTCAACGCATATCCTCTGTTTGCGATCCAACATTTCATCCAAAACCTGTGTTCTGCCCTGATGTCCGTTGGCGCTAATTGATACTGCTTCATGTTTGAGGGTCCCAACATCGGCCTCTACTCTTGTTATCAACTCACGATCCTTTTTTTGGATGCGGTTGAGGCCTTACATCCTTGCAATACCCCGCGCAACGGCGACAACCGAAACATTTAACCTTGGTGTTTGACGGGTGCGGAGCAGGAACGGTCCGCCGTACCTGGTTCACCAAATTTCTTCGTTCAATTGGGCGAGACATTGAAACACCAACATCGAGGTTGTTTGCTTGTCAAGTGGTGGAGCTTTCCCACATCTTGTGGAACTTGACTCTTCTGTGTTGCGAGTTTTGTGAATCATTGAGATATCTTGGCTTCGTCACCGACCAAGTGTAGCAACATGTTCTTGTGGTCGACGCTGTTTGTTCTTTTGCAATGCAATTCGGGTATGTGATCTGGAGAAATATTCGTTCGCCCGCAACTAATCCTTTTCTTCAAGTTCGAGGCACTCGTCAGATACAGAAACGTCAGATCACTGCTACGCCGCCCACGACTTGCACACCGTCCTCGGCTACCACTACGATCAATTCACAGGCAGATGCGAAAGCTTTATCAACTTGTTTTGTGATAGCGGGGTCAGTCTTGGTTTCAACAGCTGTGAACGGCACAATTTCCTTCGATGGTCCACAAAATATAACTGGAAACCTGATCGCAGACAGCGCCGACTTATTGACAGGTCTCTCATCCTCGTCACTCAGCAACATCTCGGGAGATATCATTATCACGAATCTCAGCAACACGTTCGATGTATTTAATTTCCCCAGCTTGGGTTCCGCGGGAAGTTTGACACTTTCGTCACTACCAGGCTTGGGTTCGGTCGAGACTTTGCAAGGCTTTACAACCAAGTCGATGACGATATCGAATACATCGCTAGGGAGTGCTCCACTCTTGTCTAACGACACAGAGATTTTGGACATCAACAACAATTTCAGAATCGGCGACCTGGCTTTCAATCTTGCCTCCATATCTACCTCACTGAACTTCGACTCAAATGGTGCGGCCACATTCTCTTTCCCGAAGCTCGTATGGGCGTCCAACATCACCGCGATAAATGTTCCGCAACTCAATTTACCTGTTCTTGCCGTCGTCAATAATTCTTTCGGAATATACGGCTCCTTGGAAGTTGGTCTAAATGCCCCTCAATTGACCACCATTGGCACTTTCGAAAACGCAGTAGGGACGGGATCTCTCTCCGTTGTATCGAGTCCTGAATTAACGACACTTGGCCTTGGTTCCCTGAGGTTGATTGGCGGCAATCTAAGCGTGATTGGCAACAATGCGCTGCGGTCCATCGCACTTACTGCCCTCCAAACAGTAGGCGGGGGCATGGATCTTGAAGGAGGTTTCCACTCGTAAGTTCCTTTCTCCTACTCTCCAGAACATATGTTTAATCTTGGACAGAGCCAATTTCTCGAGTCTAGTGAGCGTCAAAAAAGCCATGAGTATCCAAACCACAGACTCTAGTTTCGATTGCTCAACGTACAAGGCGCTGGATTTCACGGTCATCCAGGGAGGTTTCGAGTGCAGAACCATCAACAGCAGCATGTCCACAGCACCAGCTCCTGTAGTTGACAGCCCAAGTCCAGGAATCTCACCAGGCGCAAAAGCGGGGTTTGGAATAGCTATACCGTTAATAGCGGTATTATCAGCTGGCGCAACATTTTTCTGGCTGAGGCATAAAAAGAGGAATAGGATGACAGTAACGGTCGCGCCGCGGCTGGGCTATTCGATAGGGGCGGAACTTCCGGGCGGTGGAAAGAATGAAGAGAAGGGATTGCCGGTGCAGGTGAATGAATTGGGGGAGTATTATTTTAAGCCGGTCCCTGAGGCTCATGAGTTGTGTGGTGGGGAGACGGTTGAGGAGGGGAGGGGTGGAGGTGAGATGAGGGTGGAGCGTGTTCAGGAGTCGGGGAGTAGTGTAATATAGAGACGCGATACCTATTCTCTATTTACGATTTGTTTGTCTAATCTAACTAGCTACTGCGTAAGACTTCACTTGCCCTCCTCGCTTAATTTCTCACCTCTCTCCACGTTGAACGAGAAGCGAGATATAGTGAGGCAGCACGGAGTACATTAAAATGTAAAAACATTGGAACTCCAAATCCTGAATGAAATCGGAAGGGAAATAAGCTACGACGCAGAGTTCGGAGCCGAAACTCTGTTCGTAAACCTACCTGGCGAATTGCTATATATATTGTTGGTTGGTAGTGCTTACCAACCGGCTAATCCCTCCTTTGCTGACTGCATTCACTTCCAACACTTTTTTTTCCATCATAGCACTTTCTCCAACACAGCCTCTCCTACATGAAAAATTCTTAATCTTCAGATTAAACCACATTTTCGGCTTTCCAAACTCCTTCTCGAGCGCAATGCTTGCCCAAAGCACCTAGGCGATGATGTCTGTTATCCTATACGTGGCAGTGATCGCGGTTGGCGCATGGCTGCTCTACTTTAAACGGGCATCATCACCGCCGAAGCTGGATCTGCCGTATTTGGAGTTTGAGGGAGATAATTCGGCGTCTAGATATAAGACTGAGAGCGAGAGTATATTACGCAGAGGATACGGAAAAGTGAGCACTCATCACACATAAACGCTCCTCATTCTTTGAACCTTCAATTCCATTCCGTTTGCGCGGCCTTTGTCTTTCAGTTCTGCTTCTATGCTAAGGAGTATGAATAGTATCTCAAGAAGGGATCACCATTCTGCATGCGAGACCCCGATGGTCATGTAACCAGTTAAGTACATTGAAGAAATCAAATGGATTCCCGAGGAGAAGATCAGCTTTTGGAAACACATCGACAAGGTAATTTCAGGAAACCCACCCACATAGTCGCTGATTTCGGCGCCAAAGCTACTGATTCTATGTTCTAGCAATCCATTCTCACTCAAATTGGCGCACCTGGTATCACGGAAGAAGTTACCCTCGCGGCAAGGCAAGGACTGAATCGAGCACTTGGTCAGTCTATGAAAAGCTCATGGCGAGAGAGGTACATATTACGGTATTGATCTTGGAACATTTTACTTGATTGAACCGCTGCAACGGGCATGCGCTGCTGCTTATGCCAAAGAAATGCCTCCGTGCTCAGGTACAGTCACTTGCACAGCGAGGTTTACTTTTCCAAGTCTAATTATCACCTAGAATGGACCTCGGTGCTACCATATCCGTTGCTTATAAAGATATTTGCGAGTATGTCGGCTTGTGCTATTGTTGGGCCTAAAGTGAGTGATTCTCCTTTGCGCGTATAGAATAAGACTGCAGAGGGCAAGACTAACCTTGGAAATTGGATAGCTGGATGGCCTCGACTCGGAATGGCAAAGGCTTTCGATGGATTACGTCTCGGCTGCTTTGAGCGCGCCGTCTAAAGTGAGGGCAAAGTACCCTCGTTGGCTGTATTGGCTGTCACAGTATATCAATGACGGCGTCAAGACGATGTGGAAGCACCGCTCTCGTGCGCGTGAACTTCTAACACCGGTCCTACAGAGTCGTATTGATGCCACAGCGGAGTTGAAAGCTAAAGGAGTTAAGAAGCACAAAGGAGCACGCAAATATGAGGATGGTGTGCAATGGCTTCTGGACGCACATACTGCACAGGGAAAAGTCTTAACGCCAGATCAATTGGCCCAAGACCTTTTGGTTATTATGACGGCATCTATTCACAGTACTTCTGGCGCGTGTCTTGCAAATATATTTGATATGTTGGAGCATCCAGAGGCTTTATCTGATGTTACCCAGGAGATACTACTAGTTCAAAGTAAGTTACCAGGCGGTGTATGGACTCGGAAGGCTTTGGGAGACCTCAGACTACTGGATAGTTTTATGCGGGAAAGCGCGCGGGTGCATGCTCTGACTCAATGTAAGTTGGATAGGGATTTGGTGTTCACACCCAACACTGACCTGTGATAATAGATACCTCCGCTCAACGAATCCCTACCAGCACCTGGAAGTTCAAAGATGGCTTGGAAATACCCAGTGGTTTTACCATGGCATTTCCCAGCTACCATCACGGCTTCGACCCCGCCATACATCCTCACCCAGATACATTCGATGCGTACCGGCACTTGCGCAAGCGTCAAGAATCCGACACGCATAAATTCCATTTCGCATCAGTATCAGAGGATATGTTGAATTGGGGAACGGGACGCCACGCATGTCCTGGTCGCTTCTTCGCTCAGGAGACGTTGAAGCTTTTGATTATCCATTTGCTTACGCACTATGAGTTCAGGTATGCGGAAGGGACAGAGGAGATGCCTAGGTTCTTGCCAAGTAATTTGTTTATTGTGCCTAATCCGGCATTGCCTCTTTTGTTCAAGGAGTGTAAAGTGTCTCTGTAGCAATCTTGTAATGATAGTGATCTAAGAAATCACCAGGACAAGTGAATTGAGATCAAAATGTGAATCCTGTGGCGAAAGTTGGACAGTAGCAAGCTATCAGAAATATTAGATGAACACTGAGACTAAGTGCATGAAAATAGCTTATTTCAATGTCATTCAATGACCAAGTAAGTAAAGAAACTTCTTGACGCCACCCCTCAAGAGCAATTTGGTCCGGAGTCCCTATGTTGATCACTCTAAGAGCATCCTCAAATGGCATTCGACCCCAAGTGCTTGCGCAGGATACTCAGAGTTTCATTCCACGTCTGTTGATACAACTTGTCTCCACGCTCACTCGCCAATAACTCACTCGGCCTAGAGAATCTGTCTTTAGCAACAGGAACTCACTAGGATGAAATGGCAACCTACGGTGGATAAATGTCATTTGTCCAAAACTTGCCATGACTTTCCGGCCCCAGACCAGTAGCGCTAACCATAGTCCGCGCTCCTTGCTCCGCACTGCGCCCCATAACAAATAATGTGACCGCCATCGCCGCTTTGGCAGCCAACGGTAGCTCATGGAGCATGTTTGTCTTGCACAAGCCGGGGCAGTTCGCATTGACGACGGCTCTTCCTTCTGTACCACTTTTCTCCACTATTCCTCTTACTGCGAACCATGCCACCAGTTTCACAAGGAAATACTGCTTTTGGAAGTCCCATTTCGACGAGTCGTTGCATAGCTCGATCAAAGTCTGGTCTGGTGATAGATCCGTAGATTTAACTTCTAGGTGTGCGATGCTGTTGACGAAGGATAGGTGGCTTGGCTCGCCATGAGGGGATTCTGAAGCCGTCGCTTGGAGCTTGGGGAGTAATAGTAAGCCTAGAAGAGCGGGAGACAGCGCATTTATCTGCAGAGTGCTTTCGTAACCATCTGTAGTAATTTCATAGTTGACCTTCGTAACACCGCCCGCAAGCTGAGCCACATGCAGGCGTGGGACTTTCGCGTTGAGAGTCTGGACAAAGTCGCGAACGGATTCGAAGCTCGCCAGATCTAGGGTTAAGATGATGAAGATATCGGACGAGCAACGTGTTTCGTTGATGATGGTCGTCTTGGCTTGCTCGCCTTTTTCGTGGCTGCGTACGCCGAGAATCAAAGGCGATGCACCTTGTGCTACATATTTGATGGCAGCGGCAAGACCCAAACCTGAGTTTGCGCCCGTCACAAGTACGGCTTTGTCCTTGAATGAGAGAGATGTTGGGTTCGCGGGCGGGTGCCGAGCGGCACGCCACATGGAATTTGGGTCAGACATATACGGATTTGGTGGTAAGATGGTGGTCTTGAGAAATCGGACCAAGAGATAGGCGTGGTATTTTCAATATATGGCCACTTCAAATAAAAAATCGAAGTTTACTCATGGACCGAATTGGTATTTAGGCGGCAACGTTGGTTTAGTGCAGCTTGTAACTGTTGGCAAGCTGTTGCAGGACAAACTAGCGAATAGTAAGATCTGTATAATGTTATTACGCTTACCTTGAATACCGTAACTCCGTGGGCCAGCCAGTCAAAGCTCTGGTAACTCCAGATCCACCTGTACTTCAATCTTACTGGAACGACAATTTATTCACAATTTCAACACCAACTTCGAAAGCCATCCAATCCTCGCCACCTCCAATTTCAGGTGGGTCTAAAATTCCGACTGGAACTAGACAGCCTCATAAATTCCAGTAATCAATTGGAAAGTAAGGATGTCCTTCCAAAGATCGACTGAAGAAAGTGGAAATAAGAGGTGAAAGCTGGAATAAAATCATGATTTAAAAAGTCATTAGAACTTGTCGGCGCTCGCGCTCGCTCGCCAATGATTCGCTTAACCTGGAGGTCTGTCTGCCTGGACCAGACACTGACCCACCTGTTTTCTACTTGACCAACGTACATAACCATCCCGAACTCCAGCTCCAGCTCCAACTATCTCTCTCAAACTTTTAAAACAGACCTATCGTTCAGGTTCTCTTTACTTCCCAGCCCCAGCTCATCCGCGATGTCGTCGCTATCCTGACTGCCCGCCCTCCTTTCTGACGTTCGCTTCATCTCGTACTGGACCACGTTCTCAGTCGTAACCTTTATCACATTTCCCTGACTTCCTCTCCTCTCCATATTGCCAGCCTCAAGTCCCTTCCCAACTTCGATACTTTCTTCGTCATCCAATCTATTGCCATAACGACTAGTTCTCTCAGCTTTGATCCGACTAGAGATCCTGGCACCCCAAGTAGCCGAGTGTAACTGGCTCGAGGAGGGCTGCGAGGCTTTCGTGGAAAAGACACTAGGGATGTATTTGATGAAGAGAGGTCGGATGCACATTAGACAGCCACAAATGACTGCCGTGTAGGTTTCGATTTGGGACCAAATTACGACGTCGACATTCGTCCCTATTGGCTCATAATCAGCTTGTGCCTATAATGTTTTCGACATTATCTGCCACGGCTGTGCGATCGGTAGGGAGGTGGGTGGAGTGTACTTTCCCAAGAAGGTTATCTGAAACGCGAAACAAAATGGAGAAACTCACAAGTAGAGTCGATACTCTTCCCAAATCCAATCATAAACTTCAACCTTATCATACTGGTGACGCAAGCACTAGGTTCACACATTAATCATTAGCCTCGCATTCACTTCGTTCTCATCCGGTCGCAAAATGCGAACACAAGAGAGCTAAACTCACAAAGATCCCAGCGCAAACATGAAAACTAACGCCATTCTCTTTCGTAAACTCAAATTAAGACCCTTCAATTCGTAGACGGGCAGAGACATGATAACGATGTCTTCGAAGATGGAAAATCCGGCACCGAAGTATGTCAAAGTCGCGATGTCGATACAATGATCCTTTTTGATGAATGGGTCCCAAAACGAATCGACAGGAACGCATTGAAAGGCGACTCCGCAGAGGAAAGCGAGGGTATGAGCTACTTGCCAGGCCATGGCTATGAAGAGCATTTTGCGGAAGCGCGGAGTTGGGAAGATGCGGAGGTACAGAAGAAGAATGGAGAACTTTGGGATATTTTGTATGAGGACGTAAAATATTTGGGAGATGTAGAAGAGCTAGATACGTTGGTGAGCTTGCTGAAGTGAAGAGATTGATGTGGAAAGTACCTTTTCCAAGTTTGGTGTATCAGCGGGATGTACATCATAGAAATGAAGTCCCAGTCCGTGATAGGATACTGTTGGATATCAGTTCTCACGCAATTGAGTTAAGGAAATGCTTGGCTGACAGTATATCGGAATAGCGGTATTAGGTAGCATAAGAACCTGAAACTCTGACATCAGCATTGCAACTTCTTGAAGCCTAGATAACAAGTCACCGTTGCTATGAGAATTGTCCAATCGTCCCACCAGAGTTTCTTTGTGATATATATTCGTGTGATGAACCGTAGTCCAATGATGGGAAACGTGAAACATGCAATAATGATAGATGCTCGGATGGCCCGGCCACCTTCCCATGGTTGAGGAACACCGTTGCATATCTCATTCTGGGTGATGGTCGAAGAAACTGCAGCCTTTAGTATCAACACTAGAAGATAGGAAGAAGAGTTCCTACTGATCTGATCGGTGATATTGCATGTACTCAGGACGCAAGCACCAATCTCATACTGGAGAGTATAATTGGTGCACATGCAACTGCGCAGATCCGTGAATGCACAGTTCGCTATTGGAAGATATGTTGCTGAACATTTTGCCTGGGATATCGTCAACTCTGTTGCAATTCAAAATGTAGTGTGTACTTACAGAGCATGCCGGATACGATAAGAGTACCTCAGTCAGGTTCTCTTGACCAAGAGCTGTACCAGAAAAGCAGATTATCGAGAACAGGACCCACAAGAACCTCCCGACTACCAGTAGCATAGTTGTGAACGTCTGAACATAGCCGTGAAGAAGGGGCGAAGGTACTTAATGACTGGTTTGCATCCGGTACAAAAAGCACTATGCGGTGGACGATCGTCACTTAGCCGAAGAAGGACTTCAATTGGCACCCAACTATTCAGACTTAACTCCAGGTCTACTTGAGACTACAAGGAGAGACACCATCCGGATCTGTCCCCGAGCGATTTCATGTAATGCTGGGGATTTAGCATCGCGCTGTTAATGGCAGTAGTGTAGTGTTCCTGACGGAGACACAAGTCAAAAACTTAAATGCACGGCCCTTAATTGAAGACAGAGTGTCCAAGCGCAAAATAACTTTCCATAGAAGCTTTGACACAATTCTAGACTAATGTGCCAGAGGAAATGCTCCCGCATGATGCCAGACAAATTTCATTTCGAAACGCTCCAATCTGAGGAAGATGAGGAGGGGCGGGCCTGATCGCTGGCCTGGTCAACCTTACGGCATACCCTCAGGGACGCGCATTCGCATGTGGTTGCCACGGTGGTCCCTGAACCGCCTTATCGAGACCAGCCGATCTCCTACCCCTGACCACCCAATTGGTCGGATGCAGGTAATAAACCGGTTTCTCGGCTGCTATCCGATCTAGGTTTCGTCCCATGTATCTAGACATTGAATGATACTTACTAGTGAAAGTCAAATTCTCATAAGCGAACTTTCACATCTCACGGCCATCTGCCTTTGAACATTCGCTAACTATCGTTTAAAATTGTACTGGTCAATGGATGAAATGGTATGGGAATGAAGGTTCTCCCACGCTTGAGCCCACAGATGATACAAAGAAGAAAAGAATTGTTGGTGGTCTGATCAGTTACGGGAAATAGACGGCTGTGTTGGAGAACGTTAGGGCTTACTTTTGGCGGCTCACAGACCCCCGCATCTGTTCCTCGGCGGGAAGTCAAATTTTGATTCGTAAGCTTGGACTTTAAGTTTTGTCCATGTCAACCCGCTCCAGACCCTGGTGACGACTTTCACCTGTAGGGACTGGGCTGAGCACTTTACTGAGCTAGCATGTCGGTTATCCGTCCTGTAATGTATTCTCCAGGAACGGCTTGCCTGATCCTTTGAAGCTTTTTCTCCCGTTTCAGTCTGTGGTACGGACCCCTCACTCTATGATCGGGGAGTAAACCCAGCGCAGATCTTGTCGTCCGAAATGAATGAGATCTGAGACGCAACCAAGGGTCTTGGTTCTGAAATAGAACTGTGAAGAAGAATTCTACCAGCTTAATTCCTTGCTCTGTCAGGCAATACTTGCGAAATCTTTGATGCGGATGCACACACATTTGGATTATCCTATGAGACCAGCGCTCCGACTTATCTCAAAACGATATCCTCTTGCAGGCCTGAAGGCTTTGGAGCTGCAGCGTGTGGACACTGAACGGCCCGAGAAATAGCTCACTCTCTCCGTCCACTCTCTTGCTTGAACTAGGTTGGGTTTGTGAGACATTGCGCTCTCTGGCTCTCCAAGTCTCCATTCATACTTCTCTTTCCTCCTCTCCTTCACTCGCACGCACAGTATCTGATTCCTCCTTTTCACGGATTTTGGTCCAGCTGTAATCAAACATTGTGCCCTTCCACAGACACATGATATGAACGGAAGCCAACACACTGAGAGATAGAAAAGTGAGGATTGGGGCATGAAGGACTGAGACCTAAGGATTATAGAGAGTGGAAGAGGATCGATGCAGCTGAGAATATAAATTTATTAAAATATGTCAATGCTCGATTGCGCAACATTCCAACGAACCCCCAATCTCTCGCTAAGCTAAACGTCCTAACGGACCCCTGACTACAACCGGAGCCCATCCGGTAATCCCGAATACTCCAGGGGGCTGGCTTCGAGGAGACATAAGTTGAGTATGATCAAGTGATACGATCCCGATGTCAAATGCAGAACAGAGAGGAAGAACGAGTGCTTCTTACCTCGAGAAAATCAGCGGATGCCGTCATCACTCGGAGATGGAAAAGAAGTAGACAATGACGACAAAGTAGCCCCGTCTTGTACGTGAATCCACGACTTACCGTAGCGTATGGCCAGGAGACGTTTCTCTGCGTGATGCCGTTGGACATACTGCTTCCGTCGTAATGCCAATTCGAAGTATTGGAATTTGGACTGTTCCTCTGATAGAAGAATGAGGTCCCGTTGTCAAATGTTCTGGAGAGAGAGAAATGGTCAAGTTCAGCGAGCCGTGCCGTTAGCGGACCTTCTTTTGTCACTATTGTTCTCAGCGGGGTGTCTCCAATCTATCGAACTACTATAGATAAGAACGGAAAAGGCTTGTTTAGTTTGGATGCATCTCCGCTAGCCTCAATCACCCTCGTGGATCTTGAGATTGATTCCCGACTCTTGCTTCGACATGGAGGTGCTAATCTAAGATCGGCATCGGTGCATGAACCGGATGCAAGTCCGCTCAACCAAACCAACCCGAACATGCATGTTGGTGAACTGCAGCAGCTCGCAAGCTGGGAAGAGGAATAACAACCCGGACTCTGCATCAATTGTGGCTCAGCCGATTCGCTGGAAAATGCCACCGGATCAAATCCTGAAAAATTAATGGACGTAACCCAACACGTTGGTATTGCTGACGTGCCCAACTTTGGGATGCCATATAATTCGTATGAGTCAAAATTACACTTCTTTCACTTGAGATTCCTCCCCCCAGAACTCTTTCCCAAAACTCTCCTTTATTGTAGTCACAACTAGTTTCATAATAATCGAGCCAGCTGCGCCATCTTAAAAGCATATCTGGCGCAGCGAGCAGAGTAGCTTACTGTTACTCCTTCTCGCCCTTTTTTTCACGCGAGAAGACAGCATGCCACCCCCCGTCACGTTCATCCTTGACCCGGAGCTCTTTAACCCGGGATTTTACGCCTCAATCCTCCGCTTTTGGCTACCAACTTACCCAAAGCCCAGTTCCCAATTCACACAATCAGACGTCCTTCGATGGTTTGGCTCGTCCTCGTCCACAGACGAGCAAGTTTGCACTCTTGCTGGGCGCGCTCTTTCCAGCACTGGTCCAGAAAATCTGATTCTCCCTCCTTTTACAAGCTTTGAAGGAGATCGAACCCTGTACGATGAGATAGCTGCGCCATTTATTCGTCATCTTCACTCATCAAACGAGGATAGCGGAACAATCCCAAACAACGCACACTCTGCCCTTGCCCTGTCCATTCTGCTAGACCAATTTCCACGAAACGTCTACCGTGGTCAAGCTGCTGTATACACCCATTATGATCGTCTAGCCCGTGCCGCTGCTGCCAAAATCCGCTCAGTTGGTCTAGACCACGCTGAATGTTTCGCCAAATCCCCTGTCTGGCGGATCTGGCTCTACATGAACCTTGAGCACAGCGAGTCCGTCTCAGACCATGAGATGTTTCAGTCCGCTCTAGGGGAGATGCTGGAGATATCGAAAACGGAAGGGGATGAGATGGGTTCAAGATTTGTGGAAAGAGCGATGGAATTTGAACAGAAAATCTGGAGCCGTTGAAAAAGTTTGGGCGATTTCCCTGGAGGAATAAAGGATTAGGGAGGGACAGCACGGAGGAGGAGAGAAAGTGGCTAGATGATGGGGGAGATAGTTTCGGGACAAGTTGATGCAGGAAAATCAGCGTTAATTCGTAATGTGCATTGTGTACTACGTCTGAGCATGTCATCGAATAGAAGTGTCCTTGGACTAATTACGGTGTTTCTCTACCTAGTTGTGGGAGACAGCTCTGACAAGTTTCACCTTCACCCCGAACTTGCTTTGAAATCCTATTCTCCGCGCCTTAGTCCACGGATTTGGATCTATACTTTCGATCCGTTCAAACTCCCTCACAAATCGAGCAAGAACATAAGCATTCTGCGTCAGCACCAACTGCTGTGCAGGACAGGTACGCGGACCGCCAAGGAATGGTACGAATGTCCAGATCGGTTTCATTTCATGCCACCTTTCAGGGTTGAATTCAGCGGCGTCCTCACCCCATATGTCTCTGTCTTGGTGCAGACCCCACATACTAGCCATGACGGTGTCTCCTTTTCGAACATATATTGGCGATTTGCCGTCTTTCCCGCCTCCAGTGGGCAATTATGTGTTCTGAAGAGCCATTCGATAGGATTGAGCAGTGATCGGATGTGTGCGAAGACCTGTAGACCGTGGTCAGTACGAGAAAGGTGCATGAAAAAGAAAACATCTTGCCTCGTACCTTCATTCAAGACCCATTGCAGGTACTTCATAGACCTCAGAGTTTCAAATGTGAGCTTAGCATCCCCATGTAGCAGCACTTCTTCTCGCAGCTTCTTATACACCTCAGGTCTTCGAGCCAGAACATGGAAAACATTGCTGAGAGCATGTGCAGTTGAGTCACGACCGGGCATGAAAACGGTTAGGATTTGCGATCTCAGATCTAACTTATCTTGGGTCTGCTTAGCCATTTCGTTCAGAAGAACATATCGGTCTGCCTTCTTGGCTAGCTCATCAGAACCATTGGTGTCCCGAATAGACCTAATGGCTTTCTCAATGTATTGATCAACCTGTTCATGAACTACCTGAATTGAAGCGAGCCATCTCTTATCCCGATGCAAGAATCGTAGTGAGCCCAGTCTAACACGATGTCCAAGACCATAGAGACAGTAGTCGAATGCCTTGATGAAGCTCATGCATTCTTGGCGCTGATCGGGTAGAAGCAAATTCATTGACTCCCCGAAAAGAAAATCAGTGCTAGAATCAAGAAACTGTAATTCGTAGTATCCACAGTGCTCCCAAAACTTGGTTCAAGCCCACCAAGCACGAGAACAAGGGCTGAAGATCCGTTGTCGATCCATCTATAGGTAATTGATCGAATAACCGATCCACGTGCTTCTCGAGGAAACCTAGGTTCGCGACTTCTATACGAGCAAACGTTGGTCGAACTAGGGCACGACTATGTCGCCAGAAATCCCCGTCCGTGGTGTTGATGCCATGATTGAAGAACGGAACTGCGATTCCTTCACGCAGAGGTTGAAGGCCCCAACTGTTGAAATTTGTTGCCCAGACACTTTGGATATTCTGCGGCTCCATTGTGTGGATCATACGCTGACCTAAATTGTTGACTTCGTAGGTCTTTCCATATTTTGCGAAAAGACGTTTCGAGGTTGGTAGCCATTGGCTCTTTTGTGCCGCCTCTCTCTGTGCTCGCCAATAGTCCAGTCCTAATAGAGGGTCTTTATGAGGATATTTTCGAGGTTCTTCGCAGCCGTGCTGCTTTCTAGCATGTGTATATGCAACAAAGCGGATTATTTTGAAAATAACAAACAATATTGTTGAAACAAATAAGCTAACAGTCCACATACTTGCGGTCGAGTAGAGAGACTTTGAAAGGTAGCCAACAATGAAATATTCGTGGGATACAAAGGCCTGATTAACTTTACTCGATACTCGATGGCAACGCAGTGATGTGTCGAGGTGCCGGATATCAAACTATCAGGCAGGAACCAACAAGCCCCTGGGTTCTGCACCACGCTCTCTTTGTACAGAACCCGGATAATTGTATCTGCAGCCGCACAGTAACTTGTTGGAAGCATGAACAGACAACCATTACTCGGGAATGCAACAGGGAAATAAGCAGGGGGATCATTGAACTCCAATTCGTGGGGTGGTAATCTTTTTCGTTGGCAACATCAAGGGTCTCACTGGAGCGGTGTGGTGTGCCAGAGGCGCCCTGTTCAAAGCTTGTAGCACATTTCCGGTAGCTTAATCACTGCTGCGATTGGATACTGTTGGGCATAAACTATCCGTGAACCTGGTAAGCTGGTCACAGGTGTGAGAATAGTGATCGATATCAATGCTGCTATGTCCAATACCTAGATAGTCCGGCTCGTCTGGGCATTCTCGCTAAGATAAGCGAAGGTCCCCTGAAAATGATGCACCAGATGTCCAAGGCTTGCTTACATAATAGGAACACGACAGCGCCAGGCGGTGCAGCCTTGGCCTACGTCAAAATAGCCTTCTATATCAAAAACAAGTTAATTATCACAACCACGAAAACATATGTTCACTTCTCCCCACAACACCTCGATCGTCAAATCTCTAAGAAATTAATGACTTGGGACAGAATCATCGAATCACTATCTTTTTCGTAAGCAAATACAACAACCCACTTCCTCTTTCCCGAAACCAACTAACAGCTGCCGTGTGTGCTTGACAGTCACTAAAACCACAACTCCGAAACAAAGTCTCCAGAATGGGTTTCCACGTTCAGCACGAGATGCATCAATATACAGTCATCCCACGAGTCCTCTACGTACGCCGCTGGGGCCTGAAGCGCTGGAATTTAGCTTTTGGGAGTAAGGGACGCATTACGTATGACTAGACTATCTGTCTTGTCTGCAGATGTAGAAATCAGGAAACACGATGGGGTGGTACGATATATTGAGATGTGACGTATGGAAAGGTGGATATGGATAGGATGGGAGGAGCGAATACTTTGGCGTCTGGAAGACGGAGATACCCTGGTTGGTGGTAGTGGTTCTACTTTGAAAGGAGATGAGGTATTGTTATCGGTTTTAGTCGATTTTGATGAACAATAACCACTTTTCACTACACTGCCAATCTAGTCCAAACTGGAAATGGAACATGTGTTGATGGCTACTAGTGTGCATCCATCATTTCAGCGCTGTTGACATGCCCACTGTAATAATCACAAGTTGCAAACCTAAATAGCGAAACCACTGACTGCTTTGACCACGTGTACCAATACCGGTTTAGCAAGCAAATCTTCCTGCGCAGTAATCCTGTTGAAATCATTCAACGTCTCTCCCTGCTGATGCAATCGAGGGCTTCCAGATTCTTGAACCTGCCAATAATCTTTTAGCTTTAATGTCACCATGTCTTTAGAAGACTTACTTCTCAATAGTAAATATCTCCTCGTTTCCTGTTTCGGGGTTGATGTCGACAAAGAGTTGGAATTGGATAGTTCCGGGCTCCTTGGTTGCTCCGTCTTTGAGGATGGGTTGATAGAGCTCGATGATCTGGATGGAATTAGCGATTACCAGCCACGAGGAGTCCTGTTGTGTTTGACTCACTCTTTCGGTCTTCCCAGGTCGTGGATATACGGTTGCGAGGATGGTTCGAGCCGAATCTGCATGATTTTGCCCGTCCGCCACGAGTGAGAGCTTGTCAAATCTTTCAATTATGCTAGATGCCATATTGCTGGAGTTGTGAAATGAGCCGACGCTGACTCGTAGGGAAAATCTCCTTGATCTTAATCGAAGAGTGAAATGCTGTGTACCGCTTTGGATATCGTTAATTAAGGTCCGCTCCTCTTGTTTATGAACTGAATCTGTGCAAAATAACATAAGTAGGTTGAGTCACAGCGATCTGGATCAGCGATTACCAAAAGCAAATGACGAGTCTGCTGCATGAGAATCTCACTTATTGGACAGTTCCATATCAACTCACTGCAAATCGTTGAACAATTCTTGAACCGCTGACCAAGATTCCGAGGACTCCGAAGTCTTCGCCAGAGCAATACCCCTTATTTAAGCGATGTTCGCCAAAGCGGGAATTCTTGTTGGAATCATTTCGCCTGATTCGGTATGATCCGCCCGACCCTGCTATAATCTTACCAGTGATAAGTCAACACTCCTCGCGAGATTTCCACGTGTTGTCAACATATGTCAATATATGTCAATATATGGAGCCTTCGGAACATGCCCGTTTCAGAGGATCGCCATGATGGAAAAAGTCATTTGTGAAGTGTAACTCCACGTTTGATTTGGAGCTCTTATCGATATAACCATGTCAGGTACGAACGGTACGGCTCCAGGTACGACTAAGGCAGGGTACGTACCCAGTAAGGAGTTCCAAACTTACTGCTATATTCGAGCTGAAGTTTCACCGCCTGTTCAGGTGCAGTTCTTTGGGAGCTACCAACATGCTCACTCATAAGTAGAAAGATGCGCCTCTTCAAAGTCGTCTGAGCAGTTGATCCAAAGTCTACTTTTGAACAGCGATTGAATATCCTGAACGCACAAAATCAAGATGATGAGTTTTATATCATTTCTGGCGCTGCATGGGGCATTCTATCTCCTCTGGCTCTGGCCTCACAGTCTGTGGAATGGAGCGCAACGTACGGCCCTTCACCAGCTCCCTTTGAACTTGCAGTGAAGCCAGAGATAATTTCTCTTGCCCAACAAAAAGCAGGTCTCACTCGGTTTCCCGTAGATGTACAGCAACCAGATTGAAGTGACGGGCCTCCAGTACACAGTGCAACTTCTGTTAGAGATTACTGGACCAACGAGTATAACTGGACAGAAGTCCAGAATGACATAAATACACGGTGAGTTACTTATGAAGACAGGCCCTGATTGTTAGGTATTTTTTTGCAGAAAATTGACACAGATTATCTTTGCAGGTTCAAGATGTATACCACCACGGTCAACGCCCTTCCTAACTCCAACTACAACGCATCTGTTCCCCTCCACTTTGTTCATCACCGCTCCAACCGTACAGATGCAATACCATTGCTCTTCGTCCATGGCTGGCCAGGCTCCTTTCTCGAAGTCGCCAACCTACTTGAGCCATTAACGAACCCACCCAACTCGTCAATTCCCGCATTCCACGTCGTTGCGCCATCCATTCCGGGCTTCGGATTCTCCCCCGCTCCGCTCTTTCCCCTCTTCGGTCCTCGAGCCGCCGGCGAGGCCTTTAACAACCTGATGCACCAACTCAACTACACATCTTATGTAGTCCAAGGCGGGGACATAGGGGGATTCATAACGCGCTTCATGGCATCCTCACACCCCGAATCCGTCGTCTCGATGCTCAACAACTTCTGGCTCATTCAACCCAATGCGACAGACTTCGGACGGTATTTTGCAGGGAACACAACGGCGGACGAGAACTATGTCATCGAAGAGTTCTGGAATTTCGAGAATAAGAGCAGCGGATACCGATTTGAGCAGCAGACTCAGCCGTTGCAGATCGGGCATGCTATGACGGATAGTCCGGTAGGGTTCGCTATGTACATTTACGATTTCATGTTCCTGACTGTTGACGATTATTGGTGGGGTGCTGGAGAACTGATTACATGGACATTGATGTATTGGATCCAAGGTCCATATGCAGGATTTAGGTTCTACAAGGAGATGGTGAATGTAAGCCTGACTTGGATCGTTTCGTAAAAAAGACTGATATCGACTAATGCTGTGACAGGACTATGTCGTGGAAGATGGCTTGTTGATTAACTCAACCACGTTTCCGTACGTGTCCCAGCCCGTTGCAATTTCAGAGTTTCCAGCAGACATATGGTACAGAACTGTGAGTATCCCGAAACCGGAGAAGATCCCTAACCTATGGCTTTAACGAACCTTTAGCCACTGGACTGGGCTCAGCGTGGGGGCAACGTTGTAGCGAGGACTGTTCATGAATTCGGTGGACACTTTGCTGCTGTCGAAACTCCCGATCTGCTGATTGAAGATATCAGATCTTTTTTCGGAAGCAGCACACTTTCTAATACGAGTATCTTTAGTTGTTGAAAAAAGGTAGCGCATGGCTTCTCTTCAGTTTAGTCGGGCTCAGTACGTAGCTTTTTCAAAACTCCAGACCTTTCCTTTCTGCATCTTGTAAAAAGCAAGTAGAATTATGACATACGATGATATCATGAATTAATTTTCTCTTTCTTGTGTGTCACATACAGTTAGTAAGCTTGCAGCTCTTGCTCAGGCCCTGATCACCCTTGGCTCACACTTGGCTCACCCTTGGCCCAGTCAACTTGCCTGAGTAACCTGAGCACCTTGAGAAGCTCACCTGAGCAAGATTTACTGCATTATCACGCGATTCAACTTTTAGCTAGTAGCACTTAATCTGACCTCTGTTCTCTCACATTAGTTTTGTCAAGTTTCAGCGACGATGATCAAGGAGCCCAAACAAGTTCCTAAGGAACATAAAGTGGACACTTTCCGAAATATCGCTGTTGTTTATAATTTTGATACAGAGCATTGATAGCATATGGATCTGGATATTGTTGGAGGAGGTTCTTATTTCTGGATAAGCACCACCTTGCCTGATGATACAAAGCGCTGCTTGTGCTGCTTGTCCAGGTCGAAGAAGTGGCTGATTGCATAAGATATGGCAGGGCACACGAAGTCGCGTCAGCATGTTAAGTTGAAGAGAAGCATACAAGAACCTATGTGAGACAGAGGTCATCAAGAAGTAATACAAGACCACTTAAAGATGGAGCTTACATCCATTCGCACGCTCAACAAGGGTCGAAAGGGTGGCTTTCTTTGTATTTGCAGCTGCCGATATAAAGGACCATGATATTCAATGACACATGATATGAAGCGGCTGATATCTAAGCTCACAGCAATGCTGCCAATGCCAGTTTTTTACCATGATTGCATAGCTGCTTGGATATCGGGCCGATCTCAGCCCGTAGCTAAAACATTTCATCTCCATAATCAATTGACCACGATTGTACTTCTACTAAATACATTGTGGCTGTATTTAGTGCCTTATATTGCATACCTATATTTCCTATTATCCATAACTTCATATCGCTATGTCTTAACTGCATTTCAACAAAGCCAAAAATGTTGAACGTTTTGTACCGCTAGTCAATATGTGGCAAGAATTCAGTCCAATTTATATTAGCATAAGCGGTCTCCGGTAAAGATCGAAATGACAAGAAGATCTCTGTAAAAATCAACAACCTAGCCACAATATAAACGAAGTAATCAAAATCAACAACGAAATCGAAAACATGCCTCCTCACCAAAGTATTTTTCCTTGCTGGCCTAATCCAGATACACAAGAGGTTGAACCTGAAATCGAACCACTCTCTCGTGGAGAGTACAGGAACAGCACCACCGATGATCATAACAAGGAGAAGCGTAACGCTTGAGATACGCCAGATCCAAGCCTCAGTGTCGGTCGGGAATGAGAGTCTCCAACTGATGACATGTATGCCGGCGTGAACCACAGATATAACCCACACGAACAGAGCTTCTTTCCCTGTGGGAGGAGGAGGGGAGTAATCGTTTGGTATGCGCTTGAGAGGACGACTGGTAAGCCCGCTAAAATGAAGGAGCGAAGGACGGCGCTTCCATCCTTGCCAGACCGGTTTCTCGACGAAGTCCATCGGTGTATCAATGTAGGGTTCCTTCGCGGCATCACCGGCGGCCTTGAGAACGTCAGCGATGAGCCACTCTGTTGTGATGACATTTGGCTCTGTGACATTTTGGGGCTTGTTGACCCAGAAGAAACTAGTTGCGAGAGTAGACAGCACAAAAGCGACAGTGAAGAGCTCGAGAGGGGTGATGGAGAGCCGTTGGATGACGCGGCAAATGCATTGAATACATAGCCATGTGGTTTGAATGAGCGCGAATCCTTTTGCAAAGACGTCAGCTTTACTCCGGTCCCATATGCTGTCTCTTGTGATATTGAGTGGCTTTATCCAGCCTGTGGATCGGAGGTAGTGTATTGACTTTGCATTGATAGGGAACGTGGGATAGTCTGGGGCATCAAGCATGAATCCGCGTGCATTGGCATAGAAAGCGTGTACAACAGACCAGTCCTTCTCTCCTAAATCTTGCATCTCCGTGACAGAAATATTGGCGGCGTTCCATTGCATGACTGCGAATAGGGTAAGAAGTTCTGGAGCACAGATGGCGAGGGTTGCCCAGCGCACTTTTCGACCCAGGGTACTCCAGTAATGATCCGATCTGATAGGTACATTGTGATGTAATACCGCCCAGACAGAGACAAAAAGTACCAAGAAACAACTCCATATGATATCGACCGTTCCGCGCTGGTTCGGTGCTGATGTCCATCCTAGCCGGTGCTGGAGAGGAGGTGCGACTTGATCGGATGAGTTGATGCTGTAGGTATTGTTACCTACGCTACAGTTCGGGCTGCACATGTCTTGTTGGTGGAATATCGAGAGATGTGAACAAATATGGAGCAGAGGGAAAGCGCACTACATTTACTTTCCTGCAAAAGATGAGGCTCCATGATTGTCTTCTTAAGGGATGGATGTAGGCACAAGGTACAGAAGCTGCAACCGAGCTGATGAGATGCTCGTTATTAGTTTCACCATCCTAGGTAGGTGCAATAGTGGTATCCAATGAGGATGATATCCTTTATGCTAAGCGGCTCAATTGTGGAAGTGGGGGGAGGGAAGGTTTCGACGCGCGCTCCAAGGCTGTCTTGAATGGTAATTGGTATTTGTTACACAGCGTAACCCTGTCCCCCTGACCTCTGGGAGTGGCCTATTCCGCTACGCACAGCATTCCCTCCGGGAGTGTCACTTATTGACTTGCCACACGTAGTGACTTGCTACAACGCTAAAAATTAGCGAAGGATATAAGTTACTATTGTATTCTGATAAATACTCGCAAGCCTCTTAGAGTTGTGGCAGGTGACTACGAGTGGTAGGTCAGTTAGTGACACTCCCGGCGGGAGTGGTTTGTGTATTGAACAATTCACTAGATCATGACCAAAGGCTAGTGGGACACGATTACTAACACACACGCTGCAAGCCTTATTGAGTTGGGAAGTATCGTGCGGCTTAAATTGGTCTATAAAGATGCATACGCATCGCTACTGGGCCAGTCTCAGTCCAAGTTGGGGGCCGACCTCAACACATTCTTCAAGCCCGCAACTCAGCCAATATAAGCGGTAAAATGACCCCCACAGCCTTCACAAACACATGTAAGCATTGAAAAATAGCGCCAGTCATATGCCACAGCGACGAGGCATAGCCTTCACGCATCAAGGTCGAGAGACTGTATAAAGCAACAGCAAAGAAATGATAGAATAGCAACCAAGGGCTGTGGATAACGCCACCCATGATCCCGGCTGGCTCTTCAACGCAGTTTCCGCCGCGCTGTATATATCGATTAAAGCCACGTTGAAGGACTTGAAGTTGCAGATCTGTAGATATAAATCTTAGTGACGTGAGGATGGGGGGAATTGGAACCTACCATCAGCAATGAAGAGAGAGTAAAGAGCTTGAGCCAAGATATTCAAAGACGTGCTGTATTCCTTTCTCTGCCAGTGGAATCTCCTCATTTGCTTTAGGACCGATCGTGTATCACCAAAAGAGGAAATGATCTCTGGGGCTAGCAGCTGATTGAGTAACACAACATCATTTAAAGCCACAGTCATACCCCCACCAGTCAATGGATGTCGCATATTGAATGCATCACCCAAAAACTCTATTCCGGGCGTTGTATTCGTGCTTGACGGCAGCCAGGAGTTGGGCATCGAGCGCAACATCCCCTTCTTCAATGCCGCTGTAACAGACGGTCGCACAGAGGTGGGCAAATCTGGGACAACTTTGGTCTGCACATAATCTGCGATACTTCCAGAATTGGACGCAGCCTGATGAACAGTGTTTGGGATGTCAATCAGAATCCGTGTTTCGCGCAAGCCGATCTGGTATATCAGAACAGGTGGGCCGCTGCCGATGACTCCGTAGGCCAGATGCTGATTTGGAAGCTCCGCGTCGATGAGCTCGAGACCCCAGAATCTGGATTTCGTAACAGGTGTGTGTTTCGTGTATTGGGAACGAAGATTGGACGCCTGTCTATCGGCCACGATTGTGAGATCCGCAAAGTACTGCATCATGAATTAGCAGTCCAGACTTTGAGCAACAAATCTTCCGATCGGATGATGGTATGTATGTGTTCTAGTCCATACGCCAACAATTGCTGTTTATGAACGGGCCCCCGCCATTCACGAATGGCATGTGCCATTGATAAATGGCGGGTGGTTTACGTATGGCACCCCCTGTTTGTCAACTAGCCCTGCCATTCATAAACAACCAGAGCATATCGAGCTAGCCATGGCTAAACAGCGCCATTCATAAACCGCCCGGAAATAAGGCCCTGATCTGAGCTTAGCGCTCTGGTACTTCAGCACTTCAGCACCTCAGTATTCTAAGACTCTTGCACTAGAGGAGGTGCAGGAGGTGCCAGAGGTGCTGAGGTGCTGAGGTGCTAAGGTGCTGAGACCAGGGCCTTATTCCCGAGTTGTTTATCAGTGGCGCTGTCTAGCTATGGCTAGTTGAAAAAGCCCTAAAAATTTGTGAATGGCAGGGCTAGTTGACAAACAGGGGGTGCCATACGTAAACACCCCGCCATTTATGAATGGCGGGGGGTCAGTTCATAAACAGCAGGTGTTCACGTATGGACTAGAACATATGTATAGAGATAGAGAAATAAAACAACGTACTTTTTGCTCCTTTGACCTTCTTGTCGAGCACACAACCCCGATGACCCTTCCAGACTTTTCGCACTTTACGAGTCTTTTCGCCGTCGTTTGCACAATTTGCACTCTTTCATCTCTCTGTGCTGCCTCTCTCAATTTCATGATGAAATTCCCGTGGTGGAAACTTCTTCCCTCCGGTCTTCTCTTCGTCACTGGACTCGCCTGACCAGTTAAATGGTCATTTCCCTTCACAATCTCTCCTCGAAGAGGATCATTGTTGCTCTCCGTAGGTGGATAGTAATAAGTGATATTTTCGCCACGATAGAAGATCTCGTATCCTCTCACGGGTATAGCATCGATCCCTCCAAACACTCTAGTAAGCCCAATTTCTGCAGCGCAGCCACACCACCCGGCTGCAACAGTTCTCCCACGATGCGGTTAGGTTCCTTGAGATTCCGTTCTAGAAGAAGAACATTGCGACCTTGTCGTGCAAGCGTCACGGTCAACGCACATCCGAGAACACCGGCACCGATGACAAGAACATCATATATTTCTTTGTTGTTTGAGGAGGTCGCTGTTGTCATACTCAATCAGGGAAGACTCCAAAACAGGAAAGAGGCGAATCACAATCTAAAACACTAGAGCCTCGATATTAGGGGGGTCTCTGTGTAAGATTGGGCGAATCAGCTGCTCAAAAGAAAGGAATGACGGTTCTGATTCTAGATGGTAGGAGGATGGTGGGTTTATGTACATGCGCACCACGACGGCAGGCTTCTTCAGGGCTCCCAAGGGCACGGGCCACAAGCAAAAGCCGACATCATGCTAACGATACCGTGGAACATGCTACGGGGCTCGCATACTGAATAAATCTCCGATGCAGATTTGAAGATGATTAATCGAAATAATACAGACGACGCAGGCCGGATATCCAGCTGCACTTCAAAAAGTTACAGATTGACAGTGAATATAACAAAGTAGCGTTTCTTGAACAGAGACAAGCATGCCTACATCGTGTCAGGAAGGTGGTTGATCAAAGTTCGAATGAACTGCCACATATAAGTCAATCTGTTTATGAGGCTTTTGGGAGGCTCTAGTGTTGCTTTCCTCACACTTTAGTTCGATTTAATATCATTGGCTTTTATCTCAACTTGAAGACATGAGGGGTTAGTGGCGACTCCGATACGTTCAACTTCCAGTCGTTACCCCCCTATTTGTGTGTGGGGACTGTGGCAGATGCGGGTAGGCGCTCCAGCAATTTAGAAAAGTGCCCATGCGTACCTGGCAACTAACTCAAATTCGACCGAACCCCCCAGCCGACTGAAAACGGCCTAGCGCAATTCTAGGTGTTGGTATGATTGGAAGCATTGCAATTCACTTTTCACGCATTGAATATCTGGTCTTGCCATCGGAGCATTCGAACCTGCAGAATCCTTTTCCGACTTAAACATCATCTATCTGCAATTGCAGCGATCCATTAGCCCTACCTCTCCGTTTCGCCAGCACTGATCGCAAAAGACACCTACTCAGGCGCATCCAGAAGCTCATCCATTCAAACTCCAACCAACAATTCATCATGTATTCGACAAGGAACAAACCTTCCTTCTTCCGTGAGTTCATAACTCTTTTACCACTATCTCATTACTAACTCCACCAGCGACTTACATCTCGGTAATAGCATTCTCGCGAGAGACATCAAGCGCAACAGAAAAGGCCTCAACAGGCGCGGAGCTTGGGCTGAAGCTGAACTATTCATTCTCAGTAAGCTCCGTATGGGCTTCCATCCCGAGGTCATTGACTCAGAGATCTGCTCTGAGATCTTGAGTAATGAAGGCTCAGATTACAAGACCATGTTCTTAAAATACGCTCGGCGCATTCTCGTCAACTTGCGCACATCAAGTATTCTTGGACATGTGCCGACTATTGCTGAATACAACGTGATTGCCATCGTTCAGGACCAACGTGTCCGATTTCAGATGATGATGTACGAGCGGTTACAGGATAGCAGACTCGTCAATCAGTATGGGATGGATGACGAGATTGCGCGTGAGCTGAGTAAGTGAGGCTGCACCTATCATTCACTCGATGCTAATTGCTATGTAGAATCTGCTGAAGCTCTCAATATTCAACAGGAACAAATGTTGCAGCAAATGCGGGAGCAAGATCAGAGACAAGTTGAGGAGCAATATAGAGGTAGGTACTTGCTGTTTATGGATCCAAATGGCACCTTTCTGACATAAGATATAGCAAACGAAGAAGCATTACGCTCTGAACTCGCCGATGCGAAGTTTCGAGCCGAGTCTGCAGAGAATCAACTCAAGTACCAAAATGCGATGAGATCTAGACAACCTAGCAATGCAGGTTCTTCTCGAACACCGGCCTTTGAGAATGACTTCCCTCGATTCCGTACGAACGGAACTAGTCGATACGCACCTGCTGAGGGAGACCGTACTCGTGCTTCAGATGTTGACGACATGCGCAGTCAACGATCCTTCCGCCCTGGTTTCGACGATCGTGGTATGCCAATGAACCAGCGTGCAGGTGATCCAGACCGCAAGCCGGCTGAAGAAGGATACCGTTATGTTGAAGGTGTCCGCTTTGGCAGAGATCATGTGCCTCAGAATCGATACTCAAATGGTCAAGGTCAGGGCCGAGGTCATCCAACACCAGGAAACCGCTATGTAGGACCCCGCCAAAACGAAGACCGTGGTAATCCTCAACACCGTCAACCATACAATCAAGGCCAAGAGAATTACCGTGGTACTCCAGATCCCAGAGATCGTGCTCCGCCTCAAAAAAAAATCAGTTTCCGAACCGTCAAAGTCCAGGATGTGCAATTCCCGAAAACCACTATCCGAATGTCGAGCGCTCACAGTATAGTTCCACCCGTGACTACGATCGTCGATCCGAGAAAAGCTCGTTCACCCACCGCCATAATGAACAACGTCGTGTTGAGAGATTTCGAGAAGGAATGCGTACTGAGAGGAATGAATCGGTCCGTGGTGGAAAATGTTGGACATTGCCTACTAATTCTGAGAGTTCTTATACGCAACGTCGACGGTGAGGGATCTTTTCTAACTTCCATGCCACTGGCTTTTGGGATGCTGAGAGTAATAATCCTAGTTGAGAGGTGTTCCTCGGTTTCTATCTTTCATTCCTGATTTTCTGTCTTGCTGCGACAATACTCGACCTTTCAAACATAGATAAGTACGACAAGCAAGTAGCCAGCCAGCAATGCATGCATATGTGTCTCATGCGTCTTATCTTTTGGATTGTGTAAATTATTTTTTGATGTGATAGATGTGAGGTTATAGTCCTTGACAACATTGGTGATTTCACACCCTGTGGAATGCGCAATGGGCGCGATATGCATCCCGCGCTGTTTGCGTGCCCTATCAGATGGTCCTAGCGCGATCTGTGGAGGATTGACTACGCAGAGGCATCTATGGCTATCTCAAACCTGTAGTATGATGCGCAGGTGTTTCAACATAGATTCACTTACTTAGGAACTTATGCATCCATCAAGTCCTGCCACCATAAATCTTGAATTGTTCACCATAGTTTCACCAAAGACCAAAACACTTCTATTCCCTCACCCTCCACTTGACAAACCTCCCCAATTCACTCTCCTCTCAAACCCCTGGCTCCTATTTGCTTCCCCGTGACTCACACTCCAAAAAAAACCAACCATCTTCTCACCAACCCCTCGTTATATAAACCCCCAACGGCACCAGGCTGCAAAGCTGCAAAGCCAGGCAAACCGCGTTATCTCCATGAACTCAGAGCGCTGGGATCAGCTGGATTTATTGGTACAATGTATGTGTGGAGTAAAGGGGTATGGTTTGTTGTTTGAAGGGGTGGGGTGGTTGGGTGTTGGGGGAGTTTGGAGGGAGAGGATAGAGTCGATGATGGTTGTTTGTGGTTGACAATAGTTGTTTGCTATTGACAACAAAATGAAGTTATTGAGATTCATCAGCCGCTAAATGATACCGGCAGAATAACATTACGAAAAAGTTTGTTTCTACACGAGTACTCTTTCCAACAAGACAACCTTTGGAATGGCGTTATGCCCTCGGAAATCTTTAAAGACCTTCTGTCTTGAGAAAGAAACGTCCATTATATACCCAATTACACTCTTGCCCTAAACGATTCCCTGACCCATTTGCACAAAAAAATGTATTCACTCCCTTCTAAACGCGAGTTTTCATTAGTGATACAGCTTCCGAGCTTGCCAAGCCTTATCCAAGATCCCAACTACAGTTATAAAAGCCCCTCCGCGTCCATCAATAAAGAAAGGTCACACACTCGATTCTGAGACTATCTCCAACAGACGCACTTACCAGCCAGCCTCTCAAAGGAGCCGGTATGCTGCTTATAAGGGAATCAAACTTCCAATAATGAAGAAAGATAGAGAATAATGGTTTAAGTAGAGAGGATGACATCACGTGACGCAGTACACTAAGCCCGCTTCGGAACAACAACACCTAGCCTGATCACCCTGCCACAACAGTCGGGCGTCCTTTATGACCTTTCTACAGTAATCACATGCACTAAGATCTCTATGTCGTGCTAATGATTGTATTCTCTGTGTTCAATTCATTTGTATGCGTGTCTCTGGAGGAATTGCTAATTATAAGGAAAATGGGCAATGAGTGTGGGTCGCACCAAACGCGTGGAACACCAAGGAATGTACAAAGCCCCAAAGTGACGAAATGCCGGCAATCCCAACACTTATAACTGTCAGAGATCCCCCCAAGGGTTCTACTGGAACTATCACTAGTTCTTGAGCCTAAGGTCCCCTGGTCACGTGTCCGTAACACATCACGTCCAGAGTGCATGTGTTCGTAACATCCTAGTACAGCATTAGTAAGACCCCAAGCAGTTACAAAGGAGACAAAGTCTTACAATCGATACATTGCAAAAATTACTTCTTGTCTTTAGCTGCTTTCTTTGCGGCTCTCGCCGCGGCTTCAGCTACTGCAACACAAGTTGCGCAACTATTACCTGGGAGAAAATATACACCAGGGTGAACACTACATTCAATCATTCTGCCATCCTCTGAAGGCGCTAGCATGTGCGACGACCACCACAGTAGTGAAGAGGCAGACTTGTCTATGTTTGCAGCAGTCTTGTCTGGCATGCACTTGGAGCATCTACCAGACTTTGCAATGTGAGATTCGCAGCCGCAATCGCCATGCCCAAGACAAGATCCATCTAGGGGAAAACGGATGTTCTGTTCTTTCCCCACCACTGTATGGATCCTATCATATTCTTTTCACCATCAAATTTAACGATGGTGAAAAATGGTTACTGAAGGTCCCTGCAACGGGCCACGCCACTCGCCACGATCGCATCTGCGCAAGCTTCCTCATGTCTGAGGCTATGACGATGCGTCTATTGAGAGATAAGACGACCATTCCCGTCCCGGAGGTCTACTCATTCGATTCTTCGCTTAGCAACGCTCTCAACTGCCCATACATACTCATGGAGTACATTGACGCGATCCCTTTAAACGAGCTGTGGTTTGACAGTCAATGCCCAAAGGACCTTTTGGAGGCGCGTCGTGCTCGAGCTCTAGAGGAAGTTGCGGTAGCCATGGTTCAGATGGGCGCTCTCACATATGGTGAAGGCGGCTCACTCGTGTTTGCGGAAGGAGAACGAGATCCCACTATCGGTCCTATGCGGAGGATGGACATGCAAGCAATGCTGGACCGGCTGAAAACCGATGACTCGGATGAGACCGCAATCTACTGCGAAGTAGAGCCGTCCAAAGACCCAAAAGCCTACTTTCAGTCCTTGGCAGATAGGAGTAGGAGCCCAGCAGATGATTATGGGAAGGGACTGCACCACCTCTTGCGACACTTCATTGACTGGATGCCTTGCAGTACTCACTATATTGAGCCTGGTTTTGTTCTTTCGCACCCTGATTTTGACATTCAGAACGTCCTGGTCACCCCCGAAGGCAATTTGCGTGCGCTTATTGACTGGGATGGTGTGGCTACTGTTCCGCGCTGCATCGGAAATGAGCGCTACCCAGCATGGCTGACTCGAGACTGGGACCCGGCGAAATATTTCTATAACCCGGAGCCAGATGAAGATATTCGAGAGAATTCTCCGGAAGAGCTTGAAAACTATCGCGCCATGTATCGAGGGTTTGTGGGAAAGGCCATCATGGCGACGAGGGCCGACAATGGACAGGCGACCAGGAATTCGATGCTTTCGCCACCGCAACGCAAAATTCTTTAGTGATTGGAAGTCTAGAGATCGCGAACACCGATCCAGTCTCCATGCCAGATATTCTACGTAAAGTATTTGACCAGCTAAAGTGTCACGTCCCCCGCCAACCCTTGCGTGACAAAGAGGAAGGGAACGAGGCGAAGTCCAAGGAAGAGTCCACAGAGAAAATCGACGAGGAAACCGATGATGAAAGCGGTGATGAGAGCAGTGATGAAGATGACTTTTATCTGTACGATATAGCTATTGCCCTCGCTGCCGGAGAGCTAGATGACTGCTGTCTTGCAATGATCAAGAGCGGCTTTCAAGCTTTGTTCGTGTAGCATTTCATACATAATATAGTCCTTTATTTGTCTTCTCTTGTCAGCTGGGTTTAGTATTGTTCCTTAATATTATCGATGAATATTAGCACGATTCCTAAGCTCAAAAAATAACGTTATAGTGCAGAACATTAGTCTCTCGATATTGTCTGTAAATATTGCTATAACTATGAGCTCGAAAATATCATCATGCTGTGACATTGGTTCACACTCTTAGTTATGTCAAGTATCACCACTTCCAAACAAAAAAAGCACTGCATCACATCAACAATAAAACACTCTAACACTTCTCACACTTCTCACAAAATCAACACTTATTCATTTATATACTTCATCCGCTCACTTAAACCCGCTCGCTTGTTTTCAACTTATCCCTCATCCACCAACAAATATCAAAAACCCTCTCCACCTTGCCACCATGACCCAAAAACGAACGAACCCCTAGATCCTATCCAATCAATACAAGAATCGGAAAACAAAAGAACTCCAAACATATGCCGCTTGCTCATCATAACATCATAACATCATCAAATCACTGTTTCGGTGCCGGTGGATTCCTCACATACCCCGAGTAGACTCCTGGTTTACTCGGATCTTCTCTCAAACTCCCCAACCCTCCCCCCATTGGGAGACTAGGATCCCTCACACTGCCTACGCTAATATCGCCGCCTAGACCACCCGTCATCATGGCGTCTTCGAAGGTGGCTCTCTTCTTGGGTGCTTCTATCATTTTCGGCTTATCGCTCACGCGGTCACCGTCGTCATACTCGTCGTCTGTGGTGTCTGATTCGGAGGCGGAACGATCACGATGTTCTCGTTCTCTTCGACGACGACCATGCTCACGGGGAACTTCGCCGTTGCGTTCACGTTTGTGGCGTTCGTGTCTTTCGCGGCGAGCACGACGGCGTTCGGCCGCTTCGATTTCTTCGAGTTCTTCTCTTGCAGCTGTAGCTGTTAGTTTTATGTCAAAAGCAGGTATGGAGATGGGTACAAACCTCTAATTCTTTGAGTAACTTCCGCATAACCTTGGACCTCATCCCTAGACAGAACTCTAAGAACAATGACAAAGTCTTCACGAGCTTCAAATCTCTCCTTGCCAGCTTCCAGAGCCTCGGGATTGACAAGCTTCCTGCTAATCTTCGTCCATCGAGCATCAGGAGGAATGCCATCCTTCTTTGAATCTTTCAATGGCGCTACACCCTCCCGGATAGGAGCTGGATCTTCGGGGAACTTCTCTCGAGGTTGTCGAAGGATGCCTTTGACTGGCTTGTCTTCTGCCTTCTCGCGAGGTGGTGAAACCACACGAAGTTGTCGATTATCATTGGAAGCCAGAGGATCACGGCCTCGTTCAGGCTTAAGCTCTTCTCGAATCTTGGCTACCTCGGCAGGATCCTTTGTCGATGACTGTCTTGGTGTCCGAGAAACAGGCTCCTTCGGTGGTGCAGCTGCTTTCGCGGCAGCATCTTTCGAGTTCAAGGCCTCCTTCAGAGCTTTCAAGTCCATCGTGTCCTTAGGATTGAAGGCTGGTGCAGCTGCCACTGCAGCTCCTGCGGCCGCTCCAACAGCTGCCGCAGCGGTAGAATTACCTCTGTGATGAATCTCTCTTCGTGGTCGAGGTTGAGCATCATCGGATCCAGTATCAGACGAATCGACAGCGGTACCACTCAAAGCGGCTTCAGAACGTTGTCTGTGTCGTTCACGACGTTCCTTGTCACTGTCTCGGTCATCTCGAGCTGCTTGACGTTCTCTTGGATCACGGCCACCAAGATCAATAGTTGGTGATCGTTCCTTCACATCCTTACTGCGTGCAGGCGGAGGATCCCGAGATGAGTCGTCTCTGGGTGGTGGTGGCATATCATCGTCGCGATGTCGTCTCTCCTTGGGATCCCTGCCACCAAGATCCACATGTTCTCTTTCATCTCTGTCCCTACGTCTTCGAGGCTCTTCATCATACTCTCGCCGCCTTCTCTCTTCTCGCTCATCACTGTCGCTGTCTCTGTCCTTCCGATCGTCTCCTCGAGCAACATTCTTAACAGCATTGATACCTAAAGCAGCACCAGCGAGACTCAGACCAGTAGCAAGTGCATCTCTGCCCTTGTGTTCTTTGTGCTCTTTGCGATCACCATCAGACCCTCTATCATTTCGTTCCGACCTCTCGATTCGCTCGGAACGTTCAGGTCTGATAGCGGAGCGACTCTCCGGACGCTCAGGTCTGATGGCGGAACGACTCTCCGGAGGTTCGATTCTGACAGCAGAACGCGATTCAGGACGCTCGATTGGTCTCTCGCCTCTAACCGCAGTCCGACTTTCCGGCCTGTCTGTTCGAATACCAAATCCTCTGGACTCAACACGATCATCATAGCTATCATGACGATGTCTTCTCTCGTCGTCTCGAACCTCGTAATAATCATCTCTTGGTCCTCGTGGTCTGTCTCGGTCATGATACGAGGTGGGTCTGGCTCGTGTACTGTTGCTTCGTCTTACCGGTTCAACAGGCTCGAATGGAGGTGGTCTCGCTACTGGTTCCATCGGAGCCATGGAGTTACCAGGGGACGGTGGCCTCGGCATACGGATGGCTGCTTGGTCATATGGTGGTGGTCGTATCTTATCGAAGCCTCTCGTTGATGGCGGAGGTCCTCGCTCTCTCGTATCGTAAGATCTTGGAACAATATCATTGTAACCAGTAATGCTAGATGGCCTTGGCGCTCTGTTCCCATCGAAACTGTCTCTTCTTGAGCGGTGGACTACTGGGGTCGGTTGAGTACCGCGATCCAAATCATATCGTACCAAGTCCTGTGGGTTGGTATATCCGTATCCATCATCACCATAATCATCAGCGACAGTATCTGCGTGCCTGACAACAGATCCAGTGTATACAGGCCTGTTCCGTGCTCTGTATGTAGGTTCCCTTACAGGAACAACCCTCAGTCTGCTATCCTCGCGTTCGCGTGCAAGTCTGTTCATATCCGCATTGTCCATAGTAACACTATAGTGCTTCTTATGATGATGGTGGCCATGCCTCGAAGATGTGGCAGGAGTAACAACGTATTCTTCCTCGCTCGAGCGATATGGGTTCTTCATCGGACTGGCTGGTCTGACTCCTCCCCCACTATGAACTACTGGCCTGTGTGCTCTGGTCGTGGTGACTATGGTAGGACGATTATGGTTATCGATAGTCGACCTTCTCGTACGGCTGCCCTCGCGGACATGGCTTCCGTGCTTTGGAGCCTCAGATGTGACCTTGTATGTGGTGGTGACAGTACCAGCAGTGCTCGCGGAGCTATTGCTGCTTCGGGCAGGGGCGATAATCTCGCGGCGGGATGATGGAACGACGTGGAGATGTGGCTGCTGCTCAGGATACGCCAGATTGATAGGAAGAGAAGCCCTGGCGGGGTTGAAGAGAGGAGGTGACCCTCTTCGAGGAACGTATCTGCTGTATCTATCACTCATCTTGCCCGTATCTCTGTTCGTTGCGAGTGTCTCCCGGACTCGAATAAATGTGTTTTCTAAAGTGATGACTCGATGCTCGACTCGAAGCTAAAAGACCGAGTAAAGTTTCGCACGTGAGGGTCTGGCCTTTCTAATCTGGAGAAATTTGCTAGTGGGGTAGCTGGTCAGCAAACATCTGCGAAGGCGACGAAGCAGCTAGAAAACACAGCAGCAGGAGCAATAGGAAGTTTTATGCAATGCGCAGCGCGTACTTACTTCAAGCGGACTGCAAGGCCAGCATTCCGGACACAGGGCTACCAATGGTGCGATTCTGCTGCAGATGGAAATTGTGCGTGTCCTGGAGATTTTCGAGTTGTTGCTGCGAAGTGTGGGCGGCGTTGATGCCTGGTGATTGAGCCGTTGACCCCGCTGCTGGTGCTGCGGATGATGTGAGGTCAGGTAAGTTTACTGCAAGACACTTTTTGAATCCTGTGACCGAGTTGCGGCAGAGTATCGGAGTAAGGATGCGAGGCGTGCGAGAGGGTGAGTGAGGAAGGGCGAAAGGGGGAAAGGAGGGAGTGAAGTCCAAATAGGATCGTCGGTCGTTGCTGTCAGGAGAAACAATAGCTGGACTACTGAGCTAGCAGAACGGACTCGAGGGAATGGAAGGACCGTAGAATGTAATGAATTCCTGGAGCTGCGACTGGATGGCGGAGGTTCTTGGGTGTTCGTTGTTCGTTGTTCATAGCATCAAGTGAGGATCCATATGGTGATAGTTTGGTAAGTCGGTGTCCATGGTCGTTGGTCGGTCGGCAAGGATATTGGTAGTCATGGTTCGCTGCTCTTCACTTCTACAGGTTCTCCTCGTCTCTTTCGACGGTTTCGTTTATCGCCTCCCAAACGTCATTTTCCTTCCTCGCACCCCAAAAAATCCATCACTTCAACCCCTGCAATCGCTGACCATCCTCGTCAATTCTCCACTCCGCTGCAGATTTCCGTATTCCAGTCCTTGTTGCCATGTTCATGTCCATGTCCATGTTGTTCCCTTGTCACTCGGTCCAACATCATCTTCCTGCGAATATCTGATGTTCGCGGTCATATCATATCATATCATATCATATCAATGCTTGTGTTCCACCACCTCCTATCGTCGCATCAACAAACTACGCACTACCACCACACACCACTGATCCCTTCGTTTCATGCCGCTACCATCTGCACCGCGCCTATCAATCGTACAACTCCAACTGCAGCGTCTCTCCTTAGGCTTCGTTCGCCTCTGCACGCAGCCCCATTCCACTACTGTACCACAGCCTGAACAATGAGGGGCCGTGGCGGTGTCTGGCCTGACTGACTGACTGACTGACTGACAATTGATGGCTTCAATTCGGTACTTGGGCTAGCATGAGCAGGAAGTCCATTCCGTAGGATGCTGATAGGATTTTCTTTACTTTTTACTTTTTCAACGCCCCGCCAGAGCCGCTCGCTGCAGAGACTCTGCATTGTGGGAGCAGCCATCCGACGTTTGACATGTCTTGGCCCGGCACACGTTTTCTAGTCGATGAGTTCTATCTGCTGTTCTCGGTACACTTCTCCTTTCGGGCGAGTAATCAGAAGAAGGAATTTACTCGGCCACCGTCTCTTACCCCTTTCTCGTGACTTTGTTATTTACTTCGTACCATTGCCATCTCACTCAGCACAATTCCAAGTTGGCCCAGTGACCATTCGCTTCCTTTCCTTTGCAATAATAAGATCGACACTTATTGAAGTCACTCTGTGACATCACTATGAACTTTATTCCCCTTCTCCTTATCGACGTGGCACGCGAAACACAATCAATTTTCTTCCACAATAACATTTTATTCTTCCCTTTCAGGGTCCGTCCTGGAAAGTCAAAATGCAACACGCACGTTCTATTCTACACCGACCAGCCCATCCCTCTCGACAACAGCGCCGCTATTCGCCTTCGGGCAGCGAGTTGCGTTGCGTTTCTTCCCAATCCCCACTACCGTGCAGGGTTGATCCCTTGAGGGAGCACGACGTGAGATGCCCAACTTGAGAACCTCTAAATTCTGGATTTGGAGATGTTGGGTCGAGGGTTGTCGGATGTTAAAGACCTAATCGACACCAAGACCTGAAATGTCGCCGCACCAGCTAGGGGTCGGAGATTTGATAAAGCGAGGGTTGAGGGGAGGTGTAGGACGACAGGCTTCGAGCGAGGCATGAGGGACGAGGCAGAGGAGGGAGATCGGCGGCGAGGCTGCCGGTGCAGCAGATCGCCGAGTCAGCGTAGATGCAGGCTGATTGTCCAAAATTCTGATCTTCCAGTGGAGGATAGCGAGTGCTTCGTGAGAGCCTTGTGGCAGTGGCGAGTTCCGAGTCAGCGGTTGAGTGTTGTTGATCTATTGTTCTTCCTCCGGCTATACTTCGTGAGGTTGCAATGTTGTGGCAATGTCTGGAGTTTGTTGGCGCTCTGTGGTCCTTTCATTACTTGCTGTTGGCCGCAGGTTGTGATGATCCTTCGTTATTCCGTCGAAAGCTTGTGAGAGTTACGAGAATTTTCGGCCAATCTATATCGGGTCTTTTTTAAATGGTGTTTGGCAGAGTTGCAGAGCTTCAACGATGTTCACCACGCGCATAAAGATAAAGCACTCGACCCGAAAAGGAATTCCTCTGCAACACTTCCAGAATCACTCTCTCCTCGTTGGCCGTCCAGATACATCTGCGGTATGGACAAATCGGTTTCTCCAGATCTTCAATGCCTCTCCTTCCGCTATGTGTTTGACAGTCGAAAACTCATGACAGTTGTCCGGGTAATCTTTTCTTCGCGTATGCTTTTCATTCGATGACTACAATCATGGACATTTGGGACTCGATGTGGTCTTGAGATTGGTTCATACTCTAGAAGAGCGGAATTCGGAACCTGTTATTTCAGAGGCAGAAGACGAGTTTCTAGCCATTGACTCGAGATACCCGGCATCACTTTTTTGGACAGAGACTTCTAAACTAACACTCGGTTTGTAGATGAGGCTGAATGCCTGCCGTTTGTGGGAGACTTCTAAACTAACACTCGGTTTGTAGATGAGGCTGAATGCCTGCCGTTTGTGGGAGACTTCCGTGCAACAGGGCTTCTCGCGGAGCAGCCAGAAGAGGATTTCAGAGCAGCAGTCCAGAATTGGAGGCAGCGTGTGGATTGATTGCAATAGGAAAATGACTCGAGAAACCGCTAAAATGCAAAACTCTAATCAAAAAGAGACCGAAAGTGAAGCCAAAACCGCTCGAACTTAGGGTTGTCAGAAACAGATATAGCCAAAAGCAGAGTATCGTCAAGTGAGCGCTTCGGAATGATGTGCGTGCTGGACGCCCGAGAGCCTCTCTTTACGGTAGCATCCTCGACTCTGATCTTTCTCTGAACATGGGTCTATCGGTCGCGGGGTGGGCGTGCTTGAGAGTTGTACCTATCCACAGACATAGATTGCAAGCATTGAGTGCGAAAGAGGCAACATAAACAACACGCTCTTGATAAACAGCAGAACAGAATGTCGACGAACACTCGGAGGATATGGACGCGATATCACATGACTGTTCCCCTCCTTCATGAGGCTCGCCTAAATTCCTCGAGTTTTCAGCTTTCAGCTTCCAACCTCTGGACGGCAGAACGCACTAATCGCATAAGAAAGCCACGCAAAAGGCGCGTATGACATCAAGACGTCGCTCGAAATGCCATCTGAGGCCAAGGGCTGGCTGATTAAATGCGTTAATAGAATCAATGTAACCTGGTTATCATACCTAGGTGGAAGGAATAAAAGGTTGACCACCCAAGAGTTTTCTCAGGTTTGTATACAAAAGTTTGCTCAACATGCCCGAAATAAAGCAAGATTATGACCTGGTGGTCATAGGCGCGGGCCCGCATGGGCTCATCGCCGCCCATACCTGGCTTGAACTATATCCGACCTCGCGAGTCGCCATTCTAGAAAGTGAAGAAGAAGTTGGGTGCGGCTTCCCTTCTTCCCCCACCCACAAGTGACAGCTAATGCCATTTAGAGGAACTTGGGCAAAGGGTCGGATCTACCCAGGCATGATGACCCAAAGTCCAATGGGCAAAATCGAATTTAGCTGTTACCCGATGCCGCCGCCGAAGAATACCCACTTCAATTTGATGCCTGGTAGTCATGTCTCAGCATACCTCGAGGCCTTCTCACAGCATAAGTCGTGGGCTGGAAAGACACTGCGAGATCGTGTGAAGTTCAATTTCAATGTTGACAGTGTTTCTTGGGCCGAGACCGACGGGGCTAGGTTGTATACAATTCGCAGCAAAACCCGAGACATAGTTACATGCCGAAAACTCATGGTAGCTACCGGACTGACGAATATCCCCTATCTCCCAACCTTCAAGATCGAGAAAGGGAAGGAATTCATCCGCCCTATTATCCACAGCAAATACCTTGCCAAGAATGCCGACCTCCTGCTATCTCCAGCCATCCAGAAAGTCGTGGTGTTGGGAGGTGCCAAATCCGCCTTCGACACAGTGCAAATCCTTATCCACGGCGGGAAAGAAGTAACATGGCTCATCCGCGATGACGGCGCCGGACCAGCATTCATGGGCGATCCCAAACCGCCGCCGATCTTCGGGCTCAAGAACACCAGCGAGCTGGTCAGCACACGGTTCGTCTCTAAGCTCTCGCCTTCGATCTTCGAGCCCGTGGACGGCTGGGCACGTTTCTGGCACCAGAGTAAGATTGGGATCGCGATCAGTGCGTTTTTCTGGAGGATGCTTACGCTTAAGTTTTTGGTGGCTGCTGGGTATGACAAAGATGAGAGGCTGCTTCCGTTGAAACCGGAGAGGCCGGTTTATTATGCGCAGACTACTGGCATTACGAATTCGGCGGATACGTGGGAGACGGTTGCTAAGGCGAGGGTTTTGAAGAAAGGAATTGAGAGATTGAGTGAGAAGGAGATTGTGCTTGTGGGTGGAGAGAGGGTGGCTTGTGATGCTTTGATTGCTTGCACGGGGTGGGACGCGAAGGTTGGCTTCTTGTCCACTGAACAGTCTACCGAACTTGGTTTGCCGGTTGACCTCAAAGAAGAGTCTGTTTCTGACAGGAAACATTGGGAGGCGTTGATTGCAGAGGCTGATAAGGAGGTTCTCATACGCTTCCCTCGACTGGAAGAACAACCGGCATTTCCATCAGCCAGTTGGCGAACTAGTCCCTCAAAATTGTACAGATGTATGGTCCCAACGAGCCTAGGTTTCAATGACGGTGGGATTGTGTTTCTTGGACACTTTATTGCCAGAGATACCATGACCTTGGCTGAGATTCAAGCATTGTGGGCGGTGGCATATATGAACGGTAGACTGCCAAGAAAGACGGGGAAGGAAATGGAGAAAGAAGTGGCGCTAGTGATTGCATGGCGGCGGAGGAGATATCTCGGTGATGGACATGCCTTTCTTTTTGATGGGCATGAGGTGAGCCCTTCATTGTCTTTGGCACTAAAGAGCTTGTGTTGACAGCCAGTAGTACTACAGCCAGCTTCTACGGGATCTTGGCATAATGGATGTGAGGAAGAGCGGGGCATGGAAAGAGATCTTTTTTCCTTACGATGTGTACGACTATCGTGGGTTGATAGAGGAGTACAAAGCTAAGCATGGCTGATGCTTCTTCTGGACCTCTGTTCACATTTCCATTGCGGTACCGACATGGATACATGAAGATGTAATAGAGAACAACTTGCGCATTAATCATGGTCGAAAATAAACAACTCCATTATATCTGATTGTCAATTCCCCTTCGGGCCCGAATGACGCTTATACGAGGTAAGATGGAACACCTCTTGTGTTTACATGACCTTCTTTTCTTATCACAATATAAGAGTGCACCGAGAACTTGAGCAAAGACCGTTTTCTTGCCTTTCACTGAGGTACGAACTTGAAGGTTCCTCCGAGAGTGTTAATTTTCTCTACCTTACAGGGGTCTAATTATGACTCAATCGTAGGTAAGTCAGATTTTTCAAAAAGTTCACGTTCCTCTATGCCGCTGTAACGTACCCAGTTTAAACAATAGCTAAGCTCTCTTGAAGTCTTAAAGTCTTCAAGTCTCACATTTCTGGCGGGATAAGGGAAGGGAATTGGAATGTGGGGGAGGGGGGAAGAATAAATAAGAAGTTGAGAACTCTTCCCATAGCGTTCTAGTAGCTGGTATATCTTTCCAAAGATGCGAATTGGGTGAAGCCCGATCACTTTATGGAGGGGGAAGTGCGTTACAAAAGATTTCCTCACCGCATTTACCCTTCTTGTCACGTGGATAGCGGTCTTCGTCTTGAATTAGACATGGTTATGGTTGTGTTATGGTTATGTATGAAAATGAGACTTATAGATGGTCTCAGATGTCGATTAATAGTAGAATTGTTTGCTGTTAGCATCTGAGTACAAGGACTAAATCAACCGCACGTGAGAAGTCTTCATCGCGCCTGCCGAGACGAGTGGGAATAGACTAACTACCTAGGTAGCGGCCTGGACCCTTTCTGTAGTTTTCGTCTCCTCCAACCCGCATCTTCTTTCTTTCGCTAACTTGTCATCGCCAACCCATCTCGCGATGAAGGGGAAGTTTCTCCCAACATCGTGTCACCCTGGCTCGGTTAAAAGGCCAATTGCAGTCAGCATGAAGTATCATGCGCATCAGGCAGCTTGATAGCGAGGCTCCCATCTCGACATCTTCATTTTGTTATTCCCATGGAAGCTTTGTATCGACATTGCTTTTTTGAAATTTGCACAGCATGGAGTCCACCTCCTCGATTGATGAGCCATCCTTTATCGCAGCCTCGGAAGATCGCTGTGAAGTTCTCAGCCGTGACAATCACGACACAGCCTTCTCGGAAGAAGACGACCAACGTGGTTGGTCGGACGATATATCTGCAGCTGATCTCAATGCTCTTTGTGATCGTTGTGCAAAGATTGACTTTGACGCGATATTCGCGAGGAGAATCGACAGCCCGAGTGGAGAATTCGTCATGGAACTAGATGCGTCGCCTCAAGAACTCAGCAATTCGGATTGTCCGGTATGCAAATTATATGGTGCCATTGCCGCGCTTGTAGTATTCGAGAATCCTCAGCTCCGTGCCTTTCCTGCTACAAGAGTATTCCTTGGACAGCCTGCGAATGATCCTTCCTTAGATGCGACGTTACTTGGGGTGGTACCTATGTCATTTTTGAGCTGGTACAAGGGGAGTGAAAGCAAAATGATCGAGACAGCCATGCGAGGTAAACTTTTAGAATCAGGGCATCTATTCTCTCTAGATCTTTCTGATCTTGGCTTTTGTCGAATCTTTCGAGGTACTTTTAACGTTGATTTTGCATTAAGATGTTTGTCATACTGTGAAGGGAATCATAGTTATACCTGCCAGAATCTGAATACGGAGGGACATCCAAACAGTTTCAGAGTCATCGATTGCGAAACAAGACGGGTCATCTCTGCTGCCAAAGGTTGTCGCTACTCTGCCTTGTCGTACGTCTGGGGCTTTCACCGGCTGAGAATCTCTCCCAAACCAGAATTGAAACTGGAGACTATTTACCATCGCTTCCGGAAGTTATCGAGGATAGCATTTTTGTCACGAGCTCACTTGGAATTCAATATCTCTGGGTAGATAGATACTGCATCAATCAACAAGACGCAGCGGACAAACACGAGCAGATCAGCAATATGGACGTTATCTACGCAAATGCTACCATTACCATCATTGCAGCCGCGGGAAGTGACCCTGATTATGGACTGCCTGGAGTGAATGGCAGAATGCGGAAACTTCGACCAAATTTGAAAATGCGCAAACTTAATATCTACGCTTCTCTTCCGCAAGTTTACATTTCCGTCAAGAAGTCAAAATGGGCGACTCGAGGTTGGACATATCAGGAAGGTTTGCTGTCAAAACGTCGCCTCATCTTTACAGATGAGCAAGTGCATTTCGATTGTAACAGTATTTGCTGCGCCGAGGAATCAAGTCTGTTGCTTGATCGTATGTTCACAAGCTCATCTGGAAATTCTATGGCACATACTGAAAAGGGCGCTTTGCCTCTAAAGATGTTAGAACCTTTTGACACCTCGCTAATATCGCGCCTTATCGCCGAGTCTAGCAAGCGAGAACTTGGGTACCCTGAAGACACATTGAATGCTATGCAAGGAATTTTCCGCGTTTTCGACAAGACATCTGAACCGGTCCATAATCTCCTTGGTGTTCCACTTCGCGAACTTGGGGTACTTGACGAAAGTGACAGTCTATTAATGGGACTGTTGGTTGGACTAATATGGTACCACGGCTCTCTAAGCCCTCGTAATCCTCACTTCCCATCATGGTCTTGGGCGGGCTGGGTTGGACAAGTCGGCTCCGGTCGAGTGCCTATTCACCCACTGAAGGAAAACGCAGGTGCGACAATCAAGGTCGAGTTAGAAGGAGAAGAGCCACAAGTTTTGTCAGATCGACAAGATCTGCTTTCACTGAATGCTCACCATAGTCGAGTTTATCTACATATCTCAGCTTTAACAGCACCGTGTTCGATCAGCATCAGGGGCGACCCCACCGGGTCGTACCTGAATGCTACGATCCATAACCTATCTATATCTCTCGTGGTTGATCATGTTGTCGTTGAGTTAGTGAATTTTTACGGAGACGTCATGGACTTTTTATCTAACCAGCTGAGAACGTCACTATTCGCCGTCTTTTTAGTAAGCTGGAACGAGACGTGGTCGAATCGTCAAAAGGGGGTTGCCTTGATTGTAACGGACTTGGGTGATCATTTTGAAAGGGTAGGCATTGCTTTTGGGAATCTCCTTCCAGCGTGGTGGAAGCCGGAGCATGAGGTTCAGAACAATGGCATTGAGAGGCGAACTATACGCCTGGGATAGGATTTGCTATTGTTCTATACTTGTTTCTTCAGGATCCTTGTCAACGCGACGCGGGCGCTCTTGAATTCTTTCACATTGATGGTGTTTCTGCTGAACAGTCTTTCCAGAGCTGGTCCTTTTGTTTTGGGTGTTAGATGCGTTTAGTGCTTGTCCATTCGCAGAAAGTCATGGATAAAAAAGCAATTGATGAGATTGACGCTCCATAGTCAGGGATACGTGGGATAAAACACGAAGCTAAAGCCACTTCATATTTCATGTTCTGCAAAGATGCGAGACCTGGTATCCACGACCGATACCCTATAAGTATCACTATGAAGAGTCTTCTCCTTCACTGTTACCTAGTTTCGTTTCCAACTCTTATCAATCTTTCGATTGCTCTTGTAATGAGCTAGAGGCGTGCAATACATCTTTACTCACATCGTCATATTTTCAACGTAAATTCTATTTCAGTCTTTGGACTTGAGCAAGCTATCGGTATAAGAAAACTTGGAATCACCCTCAAGAGTATGTAATGGGTGCCCGTTGTACCGTCCCATATCCCGAAAATTCAGTATCCAATCCAGCACTAGCTCTTATCAAACCCTAACTTATTGATCGGCCAAGAAGGTGTATTAGCACATTCTGCAATTCCAAAACCTGTGATCTTTCCCACTCTCGCAAGTTCAGACCTAAACCACAACCTCAGCTCCCGCTCCACGCTCCCAATACTTGTGGCAATCGTTAAGGGCCACAATACCAAGCTCGCATTATATGGCTTTATATCCTCATGAATATTCAGCGTGATGGAAACATCATCTGAAGATTCGGGATTCTGGGTCACACTGAATCGTTCAAAACAGAAGGGAATGCTAGATGCGAGACCGTTCCCCATCTTTCTCATGTGGGAGAGAGCTTGCGATTTCTGCTGGTTTGTTGAGTGAATGGGACTTGGTTCAATGAAGGCGAGAATCTGCAAGCGAGTGCTGTTGATGAGCATTCTCGTAGCGAAGTATTTGCACCAGACAGCTCCGTACGCGGGATTTGCATAGCTGTAGACGACCGAGGAATAAAAGTTTTGCGAGGGACAGGGGCGAAGAACTGGTAGAGTATGCCGCTGGTAGTTCCACTCGGTTGGTAGATGCTTTTTCCACTGTTGCAATGATTTGTCCAGCTCTTTTGCTTCTGTGTTGAACTCTTCAGCTATTGAGCAGCTCTCTTGAGATAGCCTTGGCTTCCCACAGAGGAGAGTACCCAGTCGATGACGGAGGTTAGCAATGCGCGTGTGTATGCGATCATACTCGAGCTCTAGGCCATGCTCCCCAAATAGACTACCCTCCATCAACCAATCAGGCACAGGGGCATTTCTCAACAATGCGGATCTGATGAGCCCACGTCTCGTATGCTTAATTACATCTGTTGGCGCGCTCCTGTGACTTTGACATTCTTTCCAATGCTTGAGCACTGAGATTGCTCCTTCATGATGTCGAAAGCTGCGCATTGCGAAGATGATTGGGACCTTGGGATTATCGTCCTCAGGACTAAAAACCGCGCCTTCATACCGGCCCATGAAGAATATGGCAATCAGGCAGGTGTCGATATTCTCCGCATTCAGCGAGAGAATTTCTTGGTGCGTGCTCCTCAGAAGCCGCTCATATTTCAGAGAAGCTTCGACGGCTGCAGGCGGATGACTTTGCGTACGTGAGAATACTGCAAGTGCCATACACGAACCAGCAAGACTGAGGATTTCACAATCTGGTCGAAACTTCCACACGGTCAGGAAGTCATCAGCAACTGTTCTCATGATGTCCAAAGAGTCTTCAATGGCGTGCAGATGGTGATTATAGTAGTATGTTGTGGCCCGGGTTTCCAAGTCAGTGCTTGGCAATTGTGGAATGGATTCTACTGTCCGCGTGGATCGAGGTCCTCTAGGACGCTTGGTGGCTCCGCTTGCGTAGGAATTTTCTAGATGGATTAGGGAGCAACCTGGTTCTGCTCTCGTTCCAGAGCAAGTCCGCTTGGACTTCTGGCACCGCTGGCATCTGGGGAGTTCTCCATCACACTGGGATGAGACGTCAGCCGTATTCTATCATTTCTTAAAGAGGTGGCTTGCTTTGATTCGCCGTTGTCTGCAGGTCTGACAACCAGTACTTGGGAACGGCATCACGCCTTCACTAGGTTTAGTTGGATGAAGAACGAAAAATGGCAATGGATTCTGAGTTCTGCAAGCATTGAACAATGAACATGATATCCTTATATCGCCGGGATTAGGGAGGCTCTTAACTCCGGCCTATAAGCGAAGCGTTTTTGTGCCTCCTCTCGCGGGTATCTCCTGAATGGGAATAGTTCTCCCTCCACATAAGTGGACCCTATTCTTCGTTTATCTTTACCGAACCCCCTGATCTACTTGTGTCGTGGGCCCTCTGAGCAATCCTCGGTTTGGATCAATGTGAATCGTCATTTGGGAAGAGCTGAGTGCGACTCGGCTCCAGCACAGGATCGAGGTCAGGAGTGTCCTCCAATGGGTGCTGGCTTTCAGAGCTCGCGAGTATCACTACAACCAGTTAGCCTTTGAACGCTGCTTGACAGGAGGCACGAGATTTTAACATGTATATGACTTGTACACATGTCGGTGGATTTAAGTCTTATCACCGCTAAACTTGGAGAAGAGAGGTTTCCGGTGGTGGGGGGCAGTCATTGATTTTATATAAATTATCAAGACCCCTCTAAGCATTCCAATTAACTTTCAACTCAATCATAGAATATTACTCTATCGAAAACCATTCGAGACCTTCAACATGAATTCAACCATCATTCTCATTACCGGTCAGACACTCAGCTCTTAAGTTAGATTACAATTGCTAACATGATCACCATAGGTGCCAATTCCGGCGTCGGCTACGCCACAACCAAAGTCCTAGTCTCCGCCTCAAAAGACTTCCACATCATAATGACAAGCCGCTCTCTCACCAAAGTTAAAACCGCAATGGCCGAACTCGAAGCTTCGAAACCAGCAGGCTCTCTATCCGCCCTCGAACTCGACGTCACGGACCAGCAATCCGTCGACACCGCCGTCGCCCACGTCACCTCTCAATACGGGCATCTCGACGTCCTGATCAACAACGCTGCAATCGGCTCCCGAGGCCCAGACGTCATGAAGCGCTTCCAAGACTGCCTAACCACAAACGTCATCGGTCCCGCTGTCGTTGCGGCGGCTTTCAGACCACTGTTGCTCAAGTCCTCCAACCCTTACTCGCTCTTCGTGAGCAGCGGTGCGGCATCCATGGGCAAGGCGTCTGATCCGACGGATGCCGTTTACAAGGTTAATATCCCGAATGGAGGGGCGTATCGGGTGAGCAAGGCGGCGCTTAACATGCTGGTGTTGCAGGAATGGATTAAGTATGCGGAGACGGGGTTGAAGGTTTTTGCTGTGTGTCCGGGGTTTGTGAGATCCAATCTGAGGGGAAAGAGCGAGGAGGAGGTTAGTGGGTGGGGACAGGCGGGGGATCCGGTCGTTGCGGGGGAGATGATTTTGGGGATTGTGAAGGGGGAGAGAAATGCTGATGTTGGAAAGTTTGTTTGGAAGGATGGGGTTTATGCTTGGTGAAGACGATATGCATGTCTACATCTCGGTGAAGCCCTGACATAGCGGATTCTGAACCAGTCTGTTAGCGAGCTGTGGGTTTGATATGAATCTACCATGTAAGCAAATGTATGCATCCTACGGTGCTATTAGCCCGGCGATGTACATGAATTTCTAAGTAACATTGCAAAAGGTTTTGACATCCACTTGACGATACCAGTACAGTATATAAACACCTAGCAGATCTGCATCCTGCAATCCTCCTTCTTTAGATCTACTATCTCTTATGTAGGACGAGGATGATGAGGCTACGGGTAAAAATTGTATAGGGAAAAATGGATTCTGCTGGTCTATTTACGAACACGAAAGGAGACGAAATTGGGATATCTCTAGGCAGATCATCCTTGTTGATAAAGTTGTTCAGTCAGTCACTTCAATTCTTGACTGAGAGGATGCTATGTCAGTCCCGAAAGTCATTGGAAGCCAGTCAGGCTTTGGCTTCCCGAGGTGCGAGTAGAGAAGGCTGATACCACCACGACCGTTGCCTTTTACAAACAGAAACTCGTCCGAGGGGAAGCAGATTTCACTGCACAGTGACTGTTATATGTGTTATTTTCTAATCTGGGCTCTCGTTGCGTAGCGTTGTCATCGGCGTGAGTCAGCATGCACGTGCAATTGCCCCGGAAGGTCCACGGAATGTTCACGTGATTGGCATATCCTCTTTAACCCAAGGAGTATCCTTTCGTGTACATAAAGGACTCAATTACGTTCTCTGCTTGAATTCTCCGATATCCACTATAACATCATCTTCCTCTCATCACTTCAAATAGCAATCTCGAATTCCGAGTTGTCTCTAATGTCACCACCCCGCGTTCTGATCATAGGCTGTGGTGTCGCCGGCCCAGCCATCGCTCTTCTTCTGAAGCGCAAGGGCTACTCACCCATCATACTTGAGAAGGTACGCCAACTCGGCGATGTCGGCGGCTCATTGATGCTGTTTCCAAATGGGCTGAAAGTCCTTTCTCTCCTGGGTCTTTCTTCCCTCGCCACTGAAACAGCGCCAAATCTTACATGTCTGCGAGACATAAGTTCAAATGGGACAGAAATTGGAGACACGAAGCTTCCTGCAACGTGGAGAGCGAAGTATGGGCAACCTGCCTGTGGCGTCAAGCGTACGGCTCTCAATCTGGCTCTCAAGGAAGCTTGTCTCGATGCCGGTATCCCTGTACTTGAAGGATGGAAACTAAAAGACATAATCGAGACCGAAAACAGCGTTACAGCAATCGCAGAAGATGGACGAATGGAAGAAGGAGCTTTCCTCATAGGATGCGATGGCATCAAAAGTGCGACAAGGAACTTGGTTTTGAAGGGACACGGAATGCAGGAAGAAGATACAACGTTCACGAACCTCACTCAAGCAGGAGGCATGAGTCCCACGCCCTCGATCTTGAAGCAAACCCCAGGTATGATGAACTGGTATGGCGAAGGTGCACACTTCATCGCCTATCCCATCTCCAAGACTACCACTTCTTGGGCAATTACGCAAAGATCAAACATCGAAGAAGTAGAAACTTGGCAGCAAATGTCTGTTTCACAGCTTGCAGTCTACAAATCCAACTTACTTGCCGAATCCCAAACTTGGTGTGAACCAATACAGGATCTGATCAAAGGCTCAGAACGTCTGATAAAGTATGGACTGTTCGATCGTCCTCAACTCGAGAAGGAGAAATGGGTCAGTGAGGCTGGAAGATGTGTGTTGATAGGTGATGCGGCGCATCCTACAAGTCCACACTTAGGACAAGGTGCCAATCAGGCGTTAGAAGATTGTTGGCATTTGGCGAGGTTGCTGCCGGATGGAGAAGTCGAGATGGAGAGGAAGACGTTGAAAGAAATGTTTTTGGAATTCTCAGGACTGAGACAGCCGAGGACGGCTGCATTGGTGAGAGGTGCGAGGGCGCAGGGAGAGAGGAGGGTGGTGAGTGGGACAGAGGAGTGTAGGAGGAGAGATGAAGCGCTGCGGAGAGGGTGGATGGATGAGCTTGCGGTCGAGGAAAAGTGGGAAAGTCTGTTGAGGGAGCCTTTTTGAGTGTTGGGGTTTCATGAAAGGCAAAAGTTCTGTACATAGTCTCGGTTTAGAACAAGATGAGGAGTATCTGATAGGAGGAAAGACTGATTTGATGTTACCGCCTCCCGAAATAGATTGAAGCGAAGCGCGGCCCCTTGTCCTACACGTGACAGCTTGAAGGGTAAGCGATGACTAACCATTCAAGACTCTGCAGCTAAAAGTCTCGCATTCCTTTCACTTCCTTTTTCTTTCTCCACATCTACTCAAAAGCTTCAGATGATTCTCTTTCGTGTCATGGTATAACATATATCCTCCTCACGATCTATTTGTAAATTGCCCAACACGTTGCCGCGAAGCCGCGCAATCAATCATCCGTTCCATGCAATTAAGCGCTGAGAGGCCAAAATTTCGAGATCCTAATCCCTTTTGAAACGCGGTTATAGCTCCCTGCAGCTCACTATGCCCCTGTGATTGGGCATGTCCATCAGCGGGGTTCAGCGGCTTCCGCCCGTAAGATGCACTGTCATTGGGCGTGTTGTTAATCCTTGAGCTTGCAGATCGTTCTTAATTTATCCGTCAGCCATCCTCTTATCAAGCTCTCCATCGCTCTGGTTTCCCTGGTCTGGCATCCAACATTATTTATCCAGAAAAGTTCTGTCGGAAATTCGTCCTTCTAGAAGTCGTGCGATATGAAGTTCTTTGCAGTCCCTCTCGTTGCGTTGATCTATAGCACATACTGTGCAGCTGTCGAGAAGTACGATTACCCCACCTTTTTTGAACCCGGTCATTCCAGGCTGACACTTCACTCAGTATCCAAGAACGAAATGTCGAGCACAACGAGAGAGCTAGCACCGGGACATGCTCGATAGGCATCGCGAGGTGGTTCGGAAGCATCAGTTGGGACGCAACAGTGTATAACGTACCGCAAGCCATCCGCCAAGATGACAACATCATCGGGACCCTCACGAACGCCGAAATGGACAAGGGACAATCAATAACGATCCAAAGCCCGGCGAGTGCGATCACGATCACGAACGTTGACAATGCGCCTGTGTTCGACTACGATAGCTCAGAATTGAATGCTTCGATTACGGATCCGGCGACGGGGACGACGAAGGTTAAGCTGGACTTTGTGTTGCAGAGCGGAAATGTTACTTGGACAACGGATGACTGTTATGCGGGGAGTGTGGTATTCTCAGCCGGGTTGGAAAGCTGGAGCTGTGATTTCCCTTGTTCGGTGGAGGCGCCGCAGGTTAAGGAGCTGTGAGGGTTCGATATGATAGTGAGAGTTTGGAGTTTGGTTGGGTATATCATGTTAGTTGCGTGAATCTTTGTCTTGAGACCACAGAATGTATCGCGCTTGGTCTATCTTTCGATACCTTGATATTGTCACCTCTTTCTGTTGCATATTCTCTCAAATTGCGGTATGCATTAAGACAAACTTCCATTTGGTTCTGGCCCATCTGAAGTCGGCGCCAGAGCATCCTGCAACTTTGTGTACTTTAACCTAATGTCAGATATTCGTGACGGTGCCTGCTAGCGAGTCCACTAGCGTGTAATCGACCGCTGATAGAAGAACATTTGTCTCAACTCCGATCTTCTTTCCAGTTCACCGCGATCCACGAACACATCTTTCTTTCATTGACCAGATCTACCCTACAACCATGGACAGCTGTGAAGGTCTCAACATAGCAAACAATACCAACGACATACACATTCCCATTCCTATGAATATGGGACTTCATGCGTCACAGGCAATCGTGGAACAGTCGTCGCAGCCATCACGACTCGACCATCGTGCGCAATGATACTCTCGATCATACATCAACATCAAACCGAGCGCAAACCAGCATGGCTGCAAGCTATCAAGCTACCGCCATTCTTACATCTGCGTTTCCCTGGGAGAAGTTACCTTTCGAGCTCCGGGCGCAAGTCTTTCAAGAGGTGGATCGGCAATACCTTCAATCCAAGCAAGTTTCATACTTCAAATGGCGCCTTTCGATGCCTGCAATCGTTATTGCTTTGAGACAGCGTCCTATTAGTTATTACCATGCATTGCAATGGTTTGCAAAGGAAAACACACCTCTTATCTTCGATCTCGGTATCTCGTGTGCGCTTGGAGACATGAATGACGAAGAAGCTGCTGTGATCACGACAATCTCGATGGAGATGAGGTACGGACATCCTTCCCCCTATGAGAAATCGGCGCTAATTTTCTGCATAGCAAGCCCTTGTGTAAAAACACAGTCCGATACAATAAAACCGTATGGCCGAAGTCCAGACTCCAAAAGCCTGTAGCATTCACACAGCAGTTCCTCAGACTGGAGAATCTGCGGGAAGTCCGCTTAAATGTTGGGGACGAAATGAGCGATTCTGCTGGGTTCCCCACCTCCAACAGGGCATTCATCACGGAATGGCCTTTCTGGCTTGAAGGATGTAAAAAGTTGTCCATAGTGGAAGTCACAGTCACAATCAAAGACCGTAGTCAAGACGAACTAGCTCAACTAGCCTGGCGACAAACTGAGCGAGTCATGGTATCCCTGGTGAAGCAGATTTCGAAGAAACTCGGCATTGAAGGGAAGAAGGTTGACATGGACGTAAGAAATCGCCTCCACTACATCTCTGAATCTGAAGGATCAGTCTGGCGTTGGGAAGCAGAGGAGGGACAGTTCATGGACTGGAGTTGCGAGCTGGGTTGGTGGCAGGACTCGAAGAAGAACGCTCTTGAGGGGAAAGTTGACTTCTAGGGTGATCATCGCTTTGACGATTTCGGCTTCGAAGATGGGCGTTCTTTCCAAACTATGTTCGTTACGAGTCTGTGGTTTATCGAGAGATGCAGGAAGAGAGGGAGCTCTGGGAAATCTGAAAGCTTGATGATGGAGCCTAGGACTTGCTCAACTGTGGTCAGCCGATCAATAGACTCTTCTCACTTTTGCATGTAGGCCAAGACAGCAGAGAAATCATTGGACTATAGACTTGTTTGTTGACCTGCATGCATGATGATTTGTATATACGGCGCTGCTTGTGAATCTATGCTATCTGCCGCAGTCAAAACTCTAACTTCATTGAACACCAGTGTGAAGTTCAGCTCGATGCGCAAACCCAAAGCGGCAAATGTGCTTTTAGCACGCCTTGTTTAGCGCCGGATAGGTTTACTTGCTACTATAAATCCTCCTCCTACTATAGCTCTTCCTTTTGTCGTCAACACCTTCGCCCAGCCACAGTTTTGCACAATATCACCTCCTTGCAACAACTTCTTCCTTCGCAAACACCATCTGAGTCACCAAAACCTGCATGTCTTCCTCAATGGCGCAAGATTTCAATGAAAGCGCAATCTCTCCACGCCTTGATGGCCTCGTCTCTGTCGCCCAATCAAACAATACCAACAACCAGAGTGCATTTCCTTGGGAGAGACTTCCGTACGAGTTGCGCGGCCAAATTTTCAAAGAATTAAACAGCGAACGGAGCGGGAATAACGGTTCACCTTACTTCAAGTGGCAAGGGTCTATGCCTGCCCTGATTGTTGCTCTGCGAACTTCTCAATTGTCCTACAGCCACGTTTTGGAATGGTTTGAGAAGACGAACTCGTTCATTGTAATGGACAGTTCTAGTTCACACGATCTTGGAGATCTTACTACTAGAGAAGTCGGGCTGATTAAAGAGGTGTTTGTGGACATCAGGTATGGTTTCCTTTTCGTTGTTAAGGCTCTGAAACATCACTTATGAATCTAATCTCACTGGCAGTGGCATCTGTTTTCTCACTCGTGACCACAGTATAAACAGTGGGTCTCCTTGCGACTGGAAATGGAGAGAACCACGAGCATTTACGGAGCAGCTCCTTTCATTGAACAACTTACAACACGTTTCTCTGACTATAAATTCGGACCCTACGATAAGATGTGCACATTTTAAAGACATGATCTCATTTATGATCGGATGGCCTCGCTGGCTCCAAGGTTGTAAGCAGCTTTTGACTGTAGAGGTTGCTATGAGTCCAAGCGTGTCAAGGCGAGATCGGAATCTTTGCAACAGATTATTCCAGCAGGTTTCAGAAAAGTTGAAAATCACAGGAGGACAAGTAGTTATAGTCGACCCTCAGTCACACTATAACGAAGGAGTTCAGCTTTGTAGATGGGAATCTAGGAAGGGGATTTTCATGGATTCGTCAGAAGGGCTAGGCTGGGTTTGCCGTTGGAAAAGCCACCTTTGGCCTATTTGGAGCTTCTTTCATGACCGTCATGGCAGGCAACCTTAAGTTCTTGTGTGGCATCTCTGTTTTCATGACTTATGGCGGCGGTTCTGATAAATAACAATAAATGAAAGACTATTTGCATTACTTGAAGGCTGGCTATCACAACAAGTAAAGAGAAATTCTTAAAAAAACAATCGAACTGCCATTACTTTTCATCTTGAACAGCACCTCGAGGCTTCACGAGTTTGAGGTAGTATGGTATCAGACGTTTACCACCTATGCTCAGCATCTCTCTTCTCACGCCAGTGAAAACTATAATCATAATCTTGCCTTGAGTAAGATCTTACATCAAGCATTCACCTTCACTTAAGTGAAGACATTCGATACTAAGCTAATACTTGCTCACTAGCTTCAAGGGACAGGAGTGGTCCAATGACAACGCAGTATTAGATTTTGTTGCGCGTCGCAATTTTTTACTAGCGTACTATTTGAGGCCTAGTAAGTAAACACTTGATGCTAATTTCCACTGGGCTATACCTTAAGTATTGCAGCTTCTACCGAAACCATCTCCCTCCATCACCAACCCTTTTCCACAACTCCTCCCAAAACAGCAAATCACCTTCGAACATGCCTTCGGCACATATACAAAACGACCTTGGTGCGATAGCAATCCAAAAGGATGAAGCGCAGCGAAACCCAATCGCCAAGACCCTACTTGTGCAAGTTGACAGCCAGACTATTATTGAGCGTAACAAAGTCACTTCCGAGCAAGTTTTGGGAACCGCTGAGCAAGGGTTTGTGGCTCATGCATCCCAAGAACCAACGACTACTATATCAGAAATCGCCACTGTAAAGAAGATACCCACCTTCAACTAGGAATTGCTGCCTTTCGAGCTGAGAGAGCAGATTTTCCTGGAAGCCAATATCGAGCCCAGCCCGTCCAGAAACGGATCTCTTTTCAGATGGAAGGGAAGAGCACCGGCCATTGTTCAGGCTCTCAGATCTCTTCCTGTTTCGTATAATCATGCTCTCCAGTGGTATGCTCGCCTTGCAGAAGTCCATCTCGAATTCGGTAACGGATATGACTTGGTGAGATCTATGAAAAAGGCAGAATTGGATGTGATCACAAGCATCAAGATCGATGTTCGGTATGTATATTTTCATTCTAGAGGAATAGCCTCTGGTGGCAAGTACCAACTTCTTGGCTAGGCGCGCGTCTGATTTATTGAATCAACAACTACGAAACTTGCCTAATCTTCGAGAGGTCCATATTGGTTTGTCCAATGAACATATTAACTGGAAGTCAGAGATCTTGAACCGTTCGTTTGCGAATTCCCCTCCTGGCTGCAATACTCGAATAAACTCACCAAAGTCACTGTCGAACTTCCTACTGGCATGATGTATTTGAGGGAGCAAACCATGGTGGATAAGGTAGCAGGACGGGTCTCTAAGAAGCTAAAAGTTCGACATAAGTATATTGAGACACGCATTCGTCCAAAATTCCATGGAGACCTAGGACGACACAAACCCCGGTTTCATGCCTATGTTTGGGAATCTCCCCCCGGAAAAGTCATGGACTGGAGTAAGAGGCTTGGTGCGGAGTACAAGAAGTGAAGGAATTGCCCAGGTAGAGAGTGGGGGTACAAAGGTCTATGGGACAAGTACTTTTCTACGCAGTTGGATTCCCGGGATAGTAACTTTGTCTGCTAGTAGATTTATCAACTTATTACAGTGACACTTGGTACTACCAAGAAGAAAATTTGGTTTTGGATAGAGAGTTCTACACCCGTCGTGAGCATAACGGCTACCACGGATAGTTTGTATCTCGAACAATTAGTAGTGGCGGTGCTATGGCAGCAGAGACTGAAGGTAGAACCTCATTATAAAGAACTTTCTATCATGGTAAATCTTTGAAGTGATGATTTGATCAATACTCTTCTGTACGTTACAACTTGCAAGCTTCACGGCCTCCTTATTATATATCCGTTAAGTTACATAAATGCACTAGCTTTGAAGAACGGGACGTTGTGGAGGAGATTTTGTTCCTCGTCACCTATGATGCAATTCAGAGACGTCACGCCATGACTCCCACTTCCAGAGTTCTACTCGAACATTTTGACATGCGGCAATATTTCAATCTCAATTAGCACGATGTTATCAAGCTAAGACAAATTCAGCCCTAGTGGCTTCCCAGGAGGGAAAGCAACTACTAGCGCTCTAATACATCTATGTATATAAACCTGGAACTCGCAAGCTTTTCCAGAAACTTTCTTCCATTTGACAAACACTTTCTTTTTGCCATTCCTTCTCTAAAAACTTCTCGACACAACCAGATTTTATGTCATCATCAAGCGTCCACGATCCGTGCAGCGACACATCTCCAGTCGATGCCCTAAAGAAGCTGACATTCTCTGAAGAGATGCTCACTGACCGCAAAGAAGACAAGGGTGAATCGACGTCCGACAACGACCCAGACATGACTCTATCCACACGCCCAGTGCAAGCTATCTCTACGTTGCCAGAGCCGAAATGCTATTGGGAGCTTCTGCCCTTCGAATTGCGAGAGTTCATATTTTCTGAACTTCATTGTTCTCCTGACGACTACTCCGCTTCCTCTCACTGGACATCGCCTTTTACTTGGCAAGGATCAACATCCCCGTTTATGAAGGCATTGCGAACCCTGCCAAAGTCCTACGATCACGCGCTTCAATGGTTCGGTCGAGAAGCCACTCTGTCCCTTACCGGTAACCCTTGGTATCCGACGGGGTATCGCTTGTCGGCTCTGGATATCAGCGAGGCTGAGTTGAACGTCGTTCAACAAATCGATATTGACGCTACGTAAGACCACTTTCTGTTATTATATCTGTCTCTCGCTATTCCAGCTTTAGCAACGACTAATTACTAATAGCTTCATTGTCAATTGTACACAAGATCTCTTTGAAGAAGATGGAAAGACCGTTGTCAGGTTTGAGAAGCCCACTTGGTTCACTCGCCAGTTCCTAGATCTCCCAAGTGTGCGCAACGTTAGCATCGCCCTAGACCTCGACAATATTGACCAAGGTTACATGGCTGTTTTCTTGACCGAATGGCCATTGTGGTTACAAGGTTTCACGGCATTGGCCAAAGTCACCGTGAAAATTCCTCTTTGGGTCATGGACGATAGAGGTCGAAAAATGGTCAACGGCATTATTGGAGGTATCAACAGAAAGACAGGAGTCCGAGGCCAATTTGTGGAGGTTGAAAAGGACAAAAGTCTTAGACACGTTCACGAAGACGCTGAGGTTTGGGAATGGGAGGCCGTCGATGGGAAGTTTATGGATTGGACTCAAGAGCTTGGGAGAGAATACAAGTACCGTCAATGCAGAGACTCCAGGAGGGACTTTCAATTCTTCGACGACATCACACATACCGAGCTAGGGTTCGAAGATGGCAGCTTCTTCCTTGAGAATTGGCATTATTGTTGGCCGCCTTATGAAGGAAGATGTGACGAACAGTAATGCCTAGTAGAAAAGAAGGAGAGGCGTCAACTCAAACATGCTTGTACATTCATGATAAGATGCGGTAGATCAAGCATAGCTTTTCAATCATATTATGCTTCTCTTTGACTACTTCATGCCTCCAATGGACAACCGTGAAGCATTTGTTTGAAAGAGCAGATGATGTCATGTCTATCTTACACCATGAGCTTTTATTGCTAACCTGTAGTCTTGTCAATAGTTTTTGGCATTGTAGGACCTTTTGAGCAGCATGCTCCCGATGTCTTGTTGGCTAAGTGATGCCTACTAGCTCGCTTTGCGATAGAATCAGGCATAATGACCCCTCGTAAAGACTCACAAACTTTCAGATTTGATTCTTTGTCTGGATTGGAAGTCCGATCAAAATCTATAGAGAACCGGGAGAAAATATTCACTGTTGCTTAGATCTACGATTCGCTTTCAAGCGAGATCATCTTGCTTAATTAAAACTCTTTCTATAAAGCCTTGCACCTCCCCTCACTGCCACCTTTACAACCCTCCTTCCTACCTATTTTACTGAGCCACAAATCTGCTTGTGCCAGCTTCGAACGATCTGCAGCTGCGTTTACTTAAACTCGCCTGCTGCGACTGAATAGCCTCGTTGACATCGCTTCAATCATTGCACGAGTCCTATCATCCGACTCTCCTGTCCAAATGGATAACGCTTCGGTAGCCGTTAGTGAAGATGCTTTGGATATCTCTTCAGACGAGATATCTTCAAAAAGACCTCTCTCTTTTGACGATCTTCCACCTGAAATTCGAGACCAAATCTTTGCCAATCTCAACGAGTCGACGAAATACTGCAAATTCCTACGCAAGCCGTATTTCCTATGGGATCGAAGGCTGCCACCTTTAGTTGTCGCCCTTCGGAGTCTTCCACGTTCCCACGATCATGCTCTTCAATGGGTGGCAAAAGAGACTCTGCGCAAGTGCTACGAACCGAAGTATCCTTCTCATGGTCGACGTATGCCTGGTTCCAAACTGAACAAAGCAGAGCTGGCTTCAATCATCGGTATAGGAGTTGATATGAGGTAATATTCCCCACCGAGTTCTGATCCAAGCTGACGGATGACAGCCTCATCGTCAACGATCCCGATTACCGCTCGATCGACAAGCCAGCCTTCTTTCATGAATGGCTCCTCAGAATGCCCAATCTGCGATCTGTTCACCTTTATTTCAACTTTGCAAATGAAGTCCACACTTCCGACACAGAAGATTTCCTAACCCAGTTTTCCTTCTGGCTGGAAAGCTGCAACCAACTTTCCGAAGTCAAAATAGAGCTTCCTGTCTATGGTCTCAGCTACCATAAGCGCGAGAGTCTGCTGCAAGGCATATTGAGAAGAGTTTTTAAGCAGACCGGAGTGCAAGCCAAATTCATAGAAATGGTTCACGATGATTACAATGGCGCTTGCGAATACACAGATGCGGAGTTATGGCACTGGACAGCTCCCGAGGGTCAATACATGGACTGGACACAGGAAATTGGCTGGAAGTGCACGAAGAGATGCAGTGCTGCTAAGGATCCAACTTGGAATTTCTTCCTGGAGTTTTGCAGGTTGGACTTCGAGGATGAGAGGTTTGTTATCAAGTGGCAGGATAGCACGGTACCAAATTGGGGCTTTACCTACCATTGGTAATTGAAATCAGAATGCGTGCATCGGACTAAGCAGGAGTCGAGATCAAAAGCTCGTTTTCATGTGATACTGCGTTTATGTTCTAGTACTTCAAAGAAGCTCAAGATAGGAGAAGTGGCACTTCAATAATTCTTTCTCACCTGACTGGCCCACTACCCATTGTGAATCTAAGATTTCTCTGCCATGGGCTCAATATTGTCACTTCCAGAGCCAGTATTCTCCGCATTCTGACCGTAAATTAGATGTTCGACATTGACACGAGGGCCTTTGAACCATTTTCTAGCGTCAATAGCGTAGTAGGCGAGAGCGAATGTCATCTATACTTGTCAGTATTTGCACACAAAAGCATATGAGGTTAAGGAGAGGTTAAGGCATGGTTTCTAGAACCACGTCTGAGGTGTGACTAGTAGAGAGAAAAGAACCTACAGCTCCACCATAAATGAGACATGCTATAAATTGTTAGCAAAGATTTGGACATTGTCGGGGAGACTTGCTATAATTCATGGTCAAATCATTGAGATCTTTCCCCTTTACAGCCGGGACTACCAGTGGTCAGACATGGGGTTTCCCATTAATATATCTCCAGTCGAGACTTACAACAAAGAGCTGGAACGATAAGCAAAAGCCATGCCACAGCCACTGCGCCAACTGGGTTCGACCAACGGCCGAGATTCCAAGGTCCTAGATATCACGTCAATAATCAGCTTTATAATACAAAAGACAAAAGACATCAACCCACCCGGTTTGAATCTATCCCCAGCGAAGAACAGCTTGAGACCAAGCGGGGTGACAAAAGCAATGTACTGTGCAATTGCGCCTATACTGAAAACCGCACCAATCGCAACAGGGCTTGCGAACATCAACAAGCCCAACAAAGCAGCTATCAACAGAACAAACCAAGTACTATTGACAGGAGTGTGAGTCCTCGAGTTGACCTGGCTCCACCACCTGCTGCCAGGAATAGCGCCATCTCTCGAGTATGCAAAGACGACTCGAGAGGATGCAATCGTACAACCTTGACCAACGAAGAATTGAGCAATGATATTGAGAGCGAACATTGCCAGACCAGGATTCTTGCCAAGTACCTGGACGCATAGACTCGCCATTGGCTGGCCATATGCTCCGGCGACGACATCGTTAACATCTTTGACGGTATAGGCGATCACGAGGATGATGGCGAACCCGAGATAGAGACCCAGTTGACCGGTCAAGACAATAGCTCTGGGTCCTGCGATGTTTGCATTGGAGCATTCCTCACTCAAGTGGAATGGTGTGTCTTGCAATTCGAGTTAGTGAATGGTTGGAGCGAATGATGTGAAGCATATACCATAGCCTGACATTGTCCAGATCACTGAGAGGAATCCCATGATAAAGGCCCAGCCTGTTGGCCACTCAGTACCGTTCTGAACATCCACCCAGACAGTGTGATTGTCGTTAAATCTAGCTCCGTCAGCTACCTTTGTTACAATTTTGGATGAACATACCTCGGCTTATTGATGGCACCTGCGGGTAGCCAGATGACAAAGATGACGAGAACAATCACATTCGCAATCGTGCCTACAATATTGACGTAGCCCAAGAACTTAGTGGAGTTCATGGCAAGGCAGCCTTGTATGATAAGCAGGAGAAGAAACGTGAGGTAGAGGTGCCAGGTTTGTGGAACATAGTCTGGATATGATATCTCAGCAGCCGCCAAAATCATTGCTGCCATGGCGTAGTTCACTGAGCATGGTCCTGTTGCGAATCCTGGAATGTACTGTAAGTGTCGCTTCATAATTGCTGGGTAGCCACTGGATCTTACCAAGAAAGTTGGACCATCCAACGCACTGCATACATGTCAGCCCATTCCTTGCTTACTCGATGATTTGTTTCGGGAGCAATTTACCCAGGAAGCGAATGGACCCCAACCCTCAGGAGCGAGGACTGCAGACGCATAGTACAGACCACCAGCTGTTGGCATGCTGGAGCAAAGCTCAGCCATTCCAAAAACCACGCTCTGAATTAGAATACCGGCGACAATCCATCCCCAAATTGATCCTGCTTGACCGGAGTATCCCAGATTATATGTGAGCGTTGATGCGACCGAGGGAAGCAGCCCAAGCACCGAGAACGAGACGGAAAAGGATTCTATCCATGTGAAATCCCTGCTTTTGTCAGCCGATGAAGAACAAAGGAAAAAGTTCAATTGACCGTTTAAACTCTTGTTTGTAGCCGAGAGCGACCAGAACTTCCTCGTCGGCATCTGCGGTATGATCAAGTACAGCATGCTCTCCCTTTTTGGTGAAAATTGAGGTAACATGCAATGCCGTCTCGTCAATGGTATGCTTTCTACCGGCAGCAGTAGGTGCAGTCTGATCAGTCGACATAATTCAATTGTGGAATTTAAAACAAAAATTGCGGTTACGTTGTACCTGAATCAATATTCAAGAATCAAGACATGAACAGGGGAAAAGGGAACAAATCTCCAAAAGATATGACAGAGCTAGCCGATCTCTTATCTTTTACACAATGCTGTCAACATGATAAGCACTAAATAGCTGCCGCGTTCCGTCGATCGATAGCATTTACCCCGCGCACTACCTGGCCTGGATGTAGACACCCACCAATAGCAGGCCCAGGCCTGCATGCCAAGAAAGATAGAATAGATCACGTGCACTCGCTTGACTAGCGAGCTTAATAGGGGAGACTGCAAACGCTATTCACAATGTTGATTATTGAAATGTTGCATTTAGAAAAGGAATAAGATAGATAGCGCCACTAGGCTTCAAGCGTGAAGGCTCTGATGTTTAAGTTACGACTAGGAAAATGATCTTGAAAGACCCAGCTTAGTATGTTAGTGCCTGATATAATTACGGACTTCAGAAACGTACGAAGTAAAGGCCAATAACTCTACGTTCGAGCCTTGCTCGGGCTCCGCTTGTGCACTAATTCTTATATAATATTTGTTTCTGATTTCTCATTAAGAATATTATCTCCTTGACATCACAAGTACTAATAAATACGCTCACAATATATATAATTTTAATATTTTTTACGTTTCGGAAAATAATCGTTATGAATTAAGGGAAAAAATGGGGTTTTTTACTTTAATTAATATTGTTTTTATAATTATTATTATAAATGGCTTTTCATCTAACGAACTGCTTTCTCACATTAATTAGCAAATCGTGAAACAGAACCCGAAGATCTTCTGCAGATATAATGATATCACGCTCTTGCACCATGGGATATTCTCTCAGACCTTGAGGAAATTGTATGGTCCTGCTGCTATTACACAATTTGGAGAAGTGCCTGAGCCTTTGGAGTGCATAATTGTACGTGTCTTTCCACGAAAGCAAGGAAAAAGGCAGACTGGCTTGATTCACATTGCGCAGTCCATCATCACGCTGAGAAAGAGCAAAGGTCGTGAGAAGAATGTAGAGAGACTTTTGATTCGATATGGTATGCACAGCGAATGAATATCGGGCAGAATTTGCCCATTGACTTTCAATTCAAGTCTACATATGCCTGTCTCTGCAATATTCCAGTATGTCAAATCTGAGGCTTCAGAGATCTCTCAGCTCGATCTGAGGTAGCAAGTCCTTATGCGCCCCGCCCTCATTTCTCTATCCCAAGCCCAGCGCTTCACCAATGCAGCATCCAGGGTGCCATCGAGCATTTCAACCACGTACTTGCCAATAGTAGGCATGAATTTCCATCCGTGGAATGACCCTGCCGTTGCAATGAAGAGACGTCTGCAATGAGGATGGGGAGCAATGATGAAGTCTTGGTTTGGCGTCACAGCATTCCAACAAACTCTGCACTCGTCAATCACAACTTTGTCGGCTTTTGGTCCGAGAATTCCCTTCCTGACGATGTCTAACCTTGCTTTTAGACCAGTGCTGGGTGAACGTTGTGCTTCATCGGATTCGTCAGGAGGCATCGAGAATGATTGACAAGAAGCAGGATGGTGGCAAGTGTTTTTGTAACTTTCATCGCGACAGAATTTGACGGTGTATGGTTCATTTGCTTCAAGTGGTGGAGTGAGAGGCATGATTTCTCCTGTTGTAAAAGTCAGGACAAAACGTCAATTTCAGAACACAAGTTGCGCAGAATCCCGTGAGGTTTCGTGGAAAAAGCATACCTTGGGTTGAGTGTATGGCATGCACCGTTACTGGAATCTCTGTGTATTTCTTCCCATCCTGGGCACTCAGATTGACAACCCCAGTGATCACAGCCGCGGCAACGATACGGTCCCCAACTTGGAGCTCAGGTCTCTTCGGTGCACTGTCGGCTATGAGCTTAGCAGTCAGAGCCCCTGCGGATAAGATGAGTCTCTCAGCAGTGAGCGGCTTGCCATCCTTGAACTTGACTCCAGTACAGCCCCCTGCATCATCGAATGTGAGCGTTGAAATTTCACCTTCAACATAATTGACTCCCAACTTAATAGTGGCATCGGTCAAAGCTTTCAAAGCCTTTGTGGCTTCTGCCCACCCACTCTTCTCATTGACAAATATCTCTTCGATACCGGTGAAGTCGGTTGTCTCAAAGAAGCTGCCGTAGCGCTTCTTGAAGGCCTCGACTGTGATAAGCTCGGGAACAACATCTGTATTCAGCTTTTTGTAATTGTCAATCATCTCTCTGCCTAGTCCTGTATTGTCGGTGTTGATCAAACCGCTTTCGTGGTAGAAAGGTTTGTAGAGAGGGTCAGTTCGCCAAAGATGAATGGCTTCGAGAGCCTTTTCCATGTAGAAGAGGTCTCCATAGTCAGCACGAACGACTTTGTTCCAGTCCCATGGGGCAGCCAAAGGGCAGGGATACGGAGTTTGGTCCACGAGGCTTATCGTCGTCCCTGGGTACTTCTTAGCCAGATGGCATGCAGTTGAGACGCCAAAGATGTCAGCACCAATGATGTGGGTGGAGACAAGGACGAGCATTGGTCTGGAAAGCCTCTCCTGAGAAGTTCATGGATTAGACACAGGAATTTGGTCTAAAATAAACCTCTTTCGATCGTATCACCACTCTAATAGGATGTTAGAGCATCATGGATGATAGATGAGCTAGGAAGCTACGAAACGGCATGTTCATCGTCCAGGGCTCAACACCATGACGAGTGGAGATGCTTAGAAAGCTGATATATCACTTGGCTGCATAGACTCCTGATGGGCCATTGTGAGGCGACACAATTTCAAGTTGATTTCGAGCACAATGAATTTTCTAATCTACTTCTACGAGACTATCATAACCACTAGTTCAAATTAGCGTTATCTAATGCGGACTGTGAAGCCGCACCTAGCGTGATCCACTTGTTTGACTTTGTCAACAAAGCCTCATCTCCAGCTCTAGAAAATCTAACTCCCATTCTCATCAGAACAAACACAACGATGAGACCTCTGGGAAAAGGATCAGCCATGGCTTCCGATAAGATGGCCGTCGTGCGACACTCAACTGATCCCTCCTCCGTTTCCACCCTACGAGATCATGTAACCCATGGTTCCATAACCCCGCTTTCCGGCAATGAAGACGATCTCTTGAGCGAAACAGCGACCAAAGTGCTTTCGGAGGATCAAGCAACTTGGGGCAAGGAAGCTTATGATACTTGGGGCGGAACAATTGGCAAGAAGACTTACGATGCCTGGAACGTTCCGATGGGGTTTCCCTGGGAGGCTCTACCCTACGAGCTACGAGAGAAGATGTTCGAAGACGTTACAAGTCCCCACTTCTCATCTTGGAAGAATTTGGACTTCCAAAGAACACACTTAATCGTAGAGCTCCGCGAGCTACATCCACTAGTGGTCGCCATGAGAGGTCTGCCCATCTCCCACGCTCATGCTGTTGAGTTTTTCAACAAGATATCGTGTTACCATATGAATGTCTATACAGGCTTTCAGCTTACAGGCATGAACAAGCTTGAGTTAGCAGGAGTCCGGAAGCTGTACTTAAACATTGGGTAAGCTTTCGGGAAATTTGCCTCCTTAAAGTCTACAATCAGACGTACTAATATGTTGTCAGAGAAATTGAGACGACGCTCCCATATGCCCAATTCCCTCAACCTCATTGGGCTCAATTGTTTACGGGCTTCAGAAAGCCAAAGTGGTTCACAGATTACTTCCTTCTCAATGTAGCCAATGTTCAAGAAGTTACTATCGTGTCCTACAGATATCATCCTTCAGTATCATTCATCTCCGAGTTCCCGTTCTGGTTACAGGGATTCAAGAACCTCAAACTTCTTGAGGTGTGGATTCCAACCAAGACTGGCATAATCTCAGCCAAGCGACGCAAGGGATTGATGCGAGGATTGAAGAAGAGAGTCTTGCGAAAGATGGGAGTCGAAGGGGTTGCAAGCGAGAGTGAGCACGTCGGATTACAACCTTGGACATGGGAGGCTAGTGAAGGTCAAAGTATGGATTGGTCTCAAGAGATTGGTTGGCCCTGGAACCTACCGTATCGTCAAACTCACCGAAACAAGAAGCGCACCTCAAAGGTTTGTTATGAGCTAAGTATGAATGGTGGCGGCTTCATTCTGAAGAGCGTAGAGTCTGATGAATCCCACGAACATTCGAATTGTCCATTTCCGTATTGGGGCTAGGAAAAGAGGAGCGGGAGTTATCGCTTGGTCTCATTGAGATTGCTAAGAACTATCTGGGACGTGGACTTTATCACGTAAGATCTTACGTGTTGATTTCTTTGCCTGATGGTTGCAAAGTCAGATAAAGAGAGGATGAAGGAGTGTTGGAGTTTGTAAGACCATAAAGATGTACGTGGGACAAGATCTTTAGATTGACACCCGGCAATGATGGAGCACTTTTTAGGGGTAATCGACGCTTTGTCAGATTTTGTCGTTACCAAAATTAAACTCTCTTTTTCTACCAATAAAAATGTATTTGAGCACCCGAAGGTAACATTGCCTTACACCACATCTCCCTGTGATAATTCTGACTACTAGTTCTCTTACTCTAGACTCGGTCAGTGGAGAATCTACAATAATATTCAAGCAGCTATCATGGCGGGAAGGCTCACGTGATCGACAAACTTCTTGCTAATAGTTCGTACGATCTGTATCAATTCGCTCTTTATTTCTTTCTCGATAGATTAGATTAATCCTGAGACAGAATTGACTGTCCCTTCCATCGTTGAGAAGATAGATCCATCCATGTCACCTGCTTGCTTAGTAACCTGAACACGGCTCATCGTCTCCACTTTACTGGCTGATAGTGAAGACGACATGCCACCGCTGTCAAATGCCTCAAAGTGGAATTGGCGTTACACAACATCTTTCCCTTGCACCCATTTCGTCCTGAGTATTCCGTGAAGAGCTACTCTTGCCTCCCTGATGGACTCGAAAGAGTCGGGAAATGCCCATGGGCATATCCCGGACAACGCCACTGCCAACGGTTCTGGACCTGCAATACCAAGCTCAGCCATGACTTCGAACTCCGGAATGAGGGAGGTGGAAGAGGATTCTACCCAAGACGTAGGCGCTATAAACAATTATGAATCGTCTGAAAGTATGCACCAAAGCGAGGAGGCTATAAATCCTACAAGCTTTGAAGCCTCACCCGCGGAGGTGTCCGAAAATCGCCAAAACGAGGTAAAAGCTTTAGATGAGGTAAAATCTATGCCAATGGAGGAACACTTGACTACAGAAGCAGATCCTGTCGAGGCGACGCCAGGAAAGGAGGAAGCGCCTGCAAGTTTTGGTGCAGCTCCCGGTGGAGACGTTGCTCAGCAGTCCTCGATGGGAGGAGCTGAAGACATTACCGCTCCGGCAGAAACCCAAGCGCTTGAAAATCCCGTATCCAATGTTGCAGACTCGAGCAATTCTCAGCCTATTGAGTACGAATCACATCCTGACATAGAGGTCGATTCAAATGTAAGTCTCAATTCTTGAAATCAAGACAACATATTGACTCTTGCCGTCAAAGCCACGAGCAGACAATTCAGATGCAGATTCGGCTATAGGATCGATGCCAGGGTAAGTTTTGTATACTGTCGTGGCGAGCATTGGTTTGACTTTACGCAGAAGCTCAACTGTTTCTCTTCGCGAGAGCGTTTTCAATTATATCGAAGGTCAGGATTAGACTCTCATGATAGACAGGCTATATGCTAAAAAGAGAGCAGAGAATGGACGTACTTATCATGCATTTCATGCTGGTAGTAAGTAGAGCTCGCTCCCACTATCTTCCTTGTGCTAATACACGTCAAACAGAATACGTTCTTCCTAATGATGAAGTGGAACAGGAACGGCTCGGTATTGACTCCTGAAATCCAAACTCATCCTTTGCGTTTAACTAAGTCCTGTACAGATCTTCAGCATCACCTTTTCGTCATGACCATGAACAACAAACTTCACTTAGCCCCCCTCAAGAATCCTCAAAATGTACTCGACATCGCGACTGGAACTGGAATATGGGCTATCGAATTTGGTATACATTCCATACTTTGATATCTGTGCCATCACTGACTTATGGTAGCCGAAGAGTATCCCTCAGCTGCAGTACTTGGGACGGATCTCAGTCCTATACAGCCTGCCTAGTTTGTCCATCATTCCACTCTTCGACATCAGAACTAATATTCCCCAGCGTTCCAGCAAACTGTCGATTCGAGATCAACGACGCCGAAGAAGAATGGATTTTCTCCCAACCATTCGACTACATCCACGGCCGAGCGTTAGTCACATGCTTCCGTGATCCACCTTCAGTCATTGCCAGTATCTACGAAAACCTGGTTCCAGGCGGCTGGTTTGAATTCCAGGACCCAATCATGCCTCTTCGGTCCATCGATGGCTCCCTAGAAGGCACAGCCTTTGATGAATACCAAAAACTGTGTATGGAAGCAGGTACGAAATTGGGTAGACCATGGACGAATGGGAAGAATTACGGGAGGTGGATGAGGGAGCAGGGATTTGTGGATGTGACTGAGAGAAGCTATTACTGGGCTACTAATCAATGGGTGAAAGGAAGACAGCAGAAATTGCAAGCGCTGTGGCTGCAAGAGAACTTGAAGGAGCTGATACCTGCTTGGGGGTTGGGCACGTTGTCAAGAACGTTGGGTTGGAGTAGGGAGAGAATCGAGATACTGATTGCGAGGGCAAGAGAGGATTTGAAGGATCCAAACATTCATGCTTATGCTGAATGCTATGTTGCTTATGGAAGGAAACCTCATTCGACGACTGGGTGATGGCATTCATAGCTACGACCAACGTAATAAGAAACTGCTCTATGCTCCTCAACTTTGTGATGTCCGATCACTCGTCTCAATTGCCACGTCCATCCCGTAAAAGAATCTGTGCGACTCCACTCAGCTTTCCATGCCCAAGATTTGTTGTCTCAAAGTACCAAGTCCAATCAATAAGAAGGCCCCAACCAGTGTGACCCCCATCGGGTATCCATGCCCAAAACCTGCTGTCCTCAATTACCAAAAGTCGGATCGTTTGTGGCCGGCACAACCGCCAAGCTTTATTCCAACCAATTATTCTAATGGCCACTTCCATCCCAAGTCTCCTGACCAATCCATAACCTTTCCTTCATCAGCGACCCAGTCCCAGATCTCCTTGTCCCAGTCTCCAATCGGTCCTTGATAATGCTTCACGTATCCGACGCCAGTAACGAAGCACGCAGAACGATTTCCTTTCACTCCGATCTTTTGGTGTATTCTCTTGACTAAGGCGCTAAGGATATTATTCCTCGCGCGCTCCGGAACAGCCCAAGGTGCAAAGGGGATCTCGACTCGAAGGGTGCGCAATGACCGGAAACCACGTAGCCAGAACGGAAATTCGGTAATGAAGCGCAACATGTCTAAGCTCCAGTCGTCGTCGACTGCCAGTCGAATCCTAACGTGCTTGATACCAGAATTGGCTAGGAAAGGCTTAACGAAGGCTTCGGATATGGACATTGGCCGGGTAATAGAGCCTGTCAATGGCGCAAGTCCATGTTTGCCATAGTCGCTAAGACAAGTCAGTAGAGCTCAATGAAAGGCTGAAGAGACACTCACTTGAGGGATATGTGTAAAGAGTCCAATGCGTCCAACTCGCTCGAAACCATATTTGCAAAGGTATAGCCTCCGGCACCACTCATATAGAACGGCTTGTTGGCTTCCTCGAACCATCCGAGGGCGTGGTTGTGTGCTATAGGCAGGGGTCGAAGGGCAATAACAAGCGGAGGCATTCCCGTGTAACTTCCACACCTAAAATACTCCTTTATTTCGGAGCAGTTTTCGTTGACTCTAGCGAAGATCTCTTCTCTGAGCTCTGGCGCTAGCTTTTCCCATGGGAAGGCGATAGGTGTTGTTGGCGTAGCTTTACCCCGCTTTTGGTTGTCCAACCCATTCACGCATAGACTTGGTCGTCCGGCAACAAGACGAGAGGAAGAAGTCGTATCGTGATTCTGATGATCTTCCTCACATACGGTTGCCGGACTGGAAGAGTCCATGGTGAAGAGTTGTTGGTTGTGTCAAGCGGAGATGTTGAGGAATAAAGAGAACAGATAAACTTGAGGCTACATGTCGGATCGGTACCAGAAATATCACGCCATTATTTGCAAATCCCGCTTTGCCTATCTGGGAATGTCTAGGCGGTGTACCTTATCGATAGTCTTGTATACGCTAGAAGAGAGGTGCCTGACAAGATCAAGATTGTTTGTCGGATCGGCATCAGGAATATCCCGTCATATTTTTGTTAGCTCCAGTGTTCCTTGTTTTGGAAATGTCCTAAAGGCTTACCTTATAGATAGTCATGTATAAGCTATGTAAATGAGAAAAACAAGTTGGAGAGTATATGTCGGATGGGAATAATAAGTAAACTGCCATTTTGGTTAGCTGCATAGGTCTTAGTACATTTTATCAATAGTATTTTCTGAAAGACAATAGAGAAGATCGAGGTTGTATGTCGGATCAAATTTCTAAATATTATGCTATTTTTTGTTCGCTCTAGCATACCCAGTTTTCAACCCCATTTTCAAGTAGTATACCTTATCAATCGTTTTGTATAAAGTAGAAAGAAGACAACCGACAAGATCAGTTATATGTCGGATCGCTACAATAAATATTTCGCTATTCTGCGTTCACTGCAGGATCTCTGTTCTGTCCTAGTTACTCAAAGCGGGGTATGAAAGAACTCCTCCACAGCCCAAGATATTTTTGATCGCAAGATTGTAGCGCTAGCATCACTTTATGATGCCCCACAAATGTCAGAGCTACATCCACATGAAGTGAGACCGGTTGAGACTTTTGACTCTGTAAGTGTTGCACTGACATCACGTGGTTCCTCAGGGTAACGACCCATAACTGTGAAGCTGCAAGAAGAATTACATATTTGGTCTCTGGTCTTCCACTAGGCTTCATGACTTTGTGAGTTTGCAAGTCGGCTTATGTCTAGGGTGATTCTGGGATGGATTTACTTGTTTTGTCAAGAGAAGACAGGAAGAAAGCGACAGAGTAGGAATTGACTATCAAATGGAAACAACGTGAGCTACAAGAATACATTAAAATCATACCGATCAAGTGAGAATCAAAGTTTCATCTAAGTGACAGCTTGAAAAGCACTACTAGTTTGTCTCACAGATAAGGCCCAGATCTGTTGTGAAATTGTATCCTAATTGAGGTTCCCAGAGTACTAAGAGCATGGAAATGTTGTGTGCAAAGCTTGAATTGAGAATTGTCTGCAGAGCACAAAGCATGAGAGTTGGTAACCTTCATATAGACTAGAACATAGCACTCGCATTAAATTTATAGCCTGTCCCAAGACACAAAGACTATTACTTACTGTTGATCATTCGAGTGCTCAGGCTGCTGGTGTCTACTGCTGGATTGAGACAGTTCCCACTAGTGAACTTGATTCCACTTGTCAGGATGAAAACAAAAGCTGCTCCAAAATTCCCAGTAAAACACGAGCAAAAACCCAATGAATTTGTAGAAGATAGAGCCATCTTAGGTCTTACTAAAGTCTTCAGTATTGAAGGAATAGAGAGAGAGATCAAAGACATTAATTAACTTTCTACGTTTTACAACAAACGCCATACACGCCAAAGAAATTCATTCTCCTGTTATTGCATATATCAAGGAGCTGCGCTATTCAGTTGCCTTCCAGACCACTCCACATTCGTAATCGTAAACAATGCATACAATCTGATCAAACTGTGGAGATATCCAAAGAGAATTCCCCAAAAAAGCCATACAAGATCCCTCGGATGTTTCCACATGAATTGAATGGGCTTGACACACTTGCTCAGGAAGAGAATTACAACCGCACCCCAGAAATGGCTTGTTTGAGGTCGAGAAAGGTAGAGGAAGACAAGCATGAGCGGATCGTAAATGATGGCCAAGTTGATGAATGACGAAATGAACATAGCATACGTAGTCCAAGGGTATGCACGCCAGCAAGAGCGGTCAACAAACAAGGAAACGAGATTCGAGCGCCATGTAGTACGAGCCCAACGAACGAGCTGTCCCAAGAACTTCGTCTTACGGCTACCAGAAGCATCTTTGTCAACGCCGAGGGTAGTGCCGACACAAGCGTCGGGATGATTATGGAAGACGGTCTTCCATTCATTCTTAACACAGTAGCGAGTCATGAAGTTATCGTCATCTGGCTTCATCAAATCGCTCTTGAAAAGGAGGAACTTGAATTTTTCGTTCAAGAAACCTTTACGGAAATCGCGGGATTCGACAATTTGCTTGCGGATGAGACCTGTGCGACCGGAGATGACAAAGACACCGCCATCAATGTTGTAGGTCGCGGTACATTCGAAGTTGTGGCGCTCAAGATAGATGCAACCAACATAATTCAAGAAAGAAACCCAAGGGTCCGTGCGAACACGCTCAACGGCTTTTACAGTTCCAACCATGCCAACATGAGCGTCTTCAAAAGGAGCAAGCGCACTTTTCAAGAAGGTGGTTGGCCACAAGACGTGGTCGTCTGCGTAGCAAATGATATCGCCGCTAGCTTCACCGACAGCTGAGATGAATTGGGAGCGTTTATTGGGAGCCATTGTCAGGTCGACAGTAATGATAGTGCTTCCGACAAGTGCTCGAGGTAGGTCTTGAATTGCTTCTTGAGCCTTCTTAGCTTTATCGACACCGACCGTTGCAATAATCAATTCTCTTGGTTGATTCAACAGAATCGACTGCACAGTCATTTGAAAGTCTGCCTCAAATGACCCAACAGTGGAAACGATAACTGAAACATCCCTAGGTGTAACTGTTGGAATACGAGGAGACTTCGCTGGCCGCGTATAGAAATAGAATGACATAATGTGAACGAACCCTTTGAAGGCCTTGAAAGACGCCAAGGCCAAGAAGAAAACAAAAAAGCGATTGTGCTGCCATTGAAATTGTAATTGATTAAGTATCCCTCCGAATGGGAAAGGAAATATATATCCTAGAGAGAAGATAATGCCCCAGAAGACTGGTTGATACATAACAAATGTCGAGATAAATCCGAATGGCCCAGGTGCTATTGCTTTCACAAACTGTATGGTGTAATGACCTGAGATCGCGATAGCAAAGATGCTTGCCATGGCCCAAACGCTTACAGCAACCGATTGAAACTCGCCTATCTCCTCGCCATCAGAAGAAGTTCCAGCGCACGCGTCACCAGAAAACAGCGCCAGAAACTTCCCAATGATCAAAGAAGCTAGCTCTGAAAGGCGTTCAAAGATAGTCTTCAATAATCGAGAAGGTTGAGGGAGCTCTGGCCATGGCTTTGGCTCCGAAGTTGCCTCCGGTTCGGGAGATGGCTCGTAAGATACCGTTGGTCTGCAAAATGGATTAGGGAGGTAACATAGCGCTGCTTCCACCGTGCCACAGGGGTGTCCAGGCGGAGGGAAAGGGAAGAAGCATGCCTCTGAGGGCGGTGTTAAAGGAGCATATGTTGCAGCGGAGGAGACGGATTCCGGTTGCTCGCTGAAGAGGACGACGAGGACTGTACACACCACCCCAATGAGAAAGGTGAGAATTTTTGTTGGTACGACTGTTCGGGAAGGCGACTGTCCTCGCCTAGTAACAATCAGATTGATGACGCGAGGATACAACCACGGAATCCAGGCAACGACAGCTAAGAAGGGAGCGTATGCACTCATGCCAGTCCATGTGGCGGATACTGCTGACGGCCCACCCTCCATCCCCATACAGGGTGGAGGATAGACGTGAGGAGGGAAAGGCCAAAAGCACATGATGTTTTTGCTCGATGGACCGGAAGACTCTGTGGTGTTGGAGATGTAAACCAGATAATCGAACATTGCATGGACGCCATCATGTTAATGTATCTATAGACAAAGCAAACAATGCTCTCAAAGAACAAAATATGGCTACGAAAGTCTTTATGTGTATCTGAAAACATCGCCCCAAAATACGAAGAAGTGGGCAGTGGCCGTTTGCACGACTAATGTGCGAGTTCATCTTCTTTGTGCTTCAAGCGAGTTTATCACCCCAATCCACAAAGGGGCCGCCTGCATCAGTGTCTTCGGACAAGGAGATCTCGAAAGCGGTAAATAAATATCAAGCATTGAAATAAGCATGAGTCCGGAGCTATGAGATTCCATAACCCAAGCGCACGGATAGGAAGGTAGGAATGAAAAGCACAGATTGATGAGTGCAGACTTTGCAGGCAATTGAAGACAAATCCTATTCCTTGAAAAGGGGGAGGAGAAACACTAGACAGACTGTAGCTTGCAGCAATTAATGTACCGACGGAGAAGGAAGGCATCGTGAGAGGAGGTGTGCTGTGTCATCATGTAAAATTAATTGATGGATGTTGGAGATGTTAGCCGGAAGCACTTGCGTCGTGTAGAGTTACAGAGTGATTAGTGTAACTTTAAGTAGATCTTCGAGTGAATGACATGAAGCAGCAGGAAGTACAAAGTCAAGGTCGAATTGTCGTTAAGATTAACTTCGGTAGTTCTTCGGTTACGGTAGTGGGGGATCTGAAGCTTCAAGGCAGAAGCCAGAACCATCTCCAAATACTTATTACTCGGCCCATATATGCTTTTCAGAGCAAGATAATTTATGAGACCAGAATTCTTTCTCCATGGGAAGGCTTTATTATTGATGCCTGTGAGTACCAGCGACCCCGGCATCGTTTCCGATTCGTTTCGTCTTTGTAAGTTCAGCCTCGTCATTTCGGACACTCTCGTCCCAGCCTCGTCACCAAGTATTGCGCTTGATGCCTCCCGACATTTGAGCCCGTGAGTCTGTCTTGAGTCTGCAGGAGGCATACGTGTTGGCTTTACATGTCTACATCGAACGGCAACGCCTCTCCTTCATCCTCTCCACACAGGCAGAGGTACAATGTCTTGCTCTTGCTGCACACCAGGTCTATACGCCGATGACTTCGAACCATACATCGACGCAAACAGACTTGCCCAGCTCTGCCGACTTGATAATAGCAAAACACGCTTCAAGAAGCCTATGGTTAGACCCGAACAACAGGACTGTCGTTTGCAGAAGCTCCCTGTCGAAGTCTATCACAACTGTCTCCAGTTTCTCGATGTTGGCACCTTGACTTCGATGCGTGCAGTTTCTCAATACACAAGATCTAGCATCGACTCTCTTCACCACTACAAAGAGCTCTACAAGTACGCACCGCAAGCATTACGGGCATGTCTCAGCACGGCCATGGCACCCCACATTCCTCTCCTACGTCTCCACGAGGCTCTTACAACAATGGAATGCTATTACTGCAAACAATCGTTTGTAACCTTCTTCTCTCTGCATAGCCATGCTGACCAGACCTCGCAGTGAAACCTCCGAATCCGTGTTCGGCGACTATCTTTCCCTCTTCAAATGCCGTCGTATCTGCGCTTTCTGTGCCCGCAACTCCCCCCTCCTCAAGCCCGCCGAATTAACACACCTCATAATGCTCTGTTCGCAGCGCAAAAGCTCCTTATCCGCATTTTCACTGTCCTCCATACCACACCTAAAAACGCTCCCAGGCTCATACTCCCCTACATCCGGCGACCACCGCTCCCGAGTCCCAAGGACAACTCTCATACTCGCCCTTTCCATACCCCTCGATCCCAACAAGCCACTCGCTGGAAGAGAAGCCCGCACCCTGACTAGCGGCTCCCTCTCGGACGATACAAAGATATACCATCACCCATTCTGTCGGGAGGAGGATGAAAGCGACATCTCACCCTCAATCGGCTATACCTCCCCAGAAACAGAGCGTCTTGCAACCCTACGCTACACGACCGCCATATCCCTCCCCTACCTCACATCCACAAAGAAACTAGAAACGGGGGTCCTATGCGCAGAATGTAATCTCCGCATGCGATACATGGAGCGGCTCTGGTTCGCTGAACAAAGACACAGACGGATGACGGGAGGAAATTTTATTGCGAGCGCCCAACGCAGAGATCGGATAAATGAGCTAAGGAAAACCGCTTCTAGGTCCTATGTCGTGGATACAGATGGGAGGGATGGCAAGGATTTGAGTATTCGCGAGCATTATAGGATTGAACATGGGAAGGAGTGGCAGGTGAGTCAACAGGAAGCGGAGTGGAGAGAACGGCATAAGGGTCCGGCGTTACCTCTGTTGACGCATGGGCACTTTTGGCAGCCTCCAAAACCTGCAAAGAAAGTGGTGGAGGCAATGGCTGTCTCTGAGGAGATGGAGACATAGTTGCCCGTCCGTGCCGGAGTTAGGGGTGTCTTTTGATTAGGTTAGCTTAGCATGGTGTTCTGGGTATACCAAGAATACTCCTTTGGAATTTGAGCGGATGCAGGGACGACATCTGCCAGGCGTTTCTATGTCTGCGAAAGGCCTTATTTCATCATTTTGATAGTCGGAATACGCACATAAGCTAAATTCGGGTGACCAATTTCAGCATCAAAGACATTCTCTATTGCACACCAGACGATAAAATACAACGTGCAACAATACCATAGATACCCTCTTCCCCATGTACCAGCAGCGTCACCAACGCCAGCCTTCATACAATGCACCTCCTACCATTTTCCCCACCAGCCTATGCGCAAACACCGCATGATCCCCATACACATTAATTACCATTACCCCGTTCTGTCTCATCACAAGAACCCTTTACTCATACTAGGCGCCCTAGAAATACTGCTCTTCCGCTTAGGGATCTCGATCCCGTTATCCTCGGCTGCACTCCCACTCCTCTCTCTGCTAGCACCATTCGCAATACTCCACATCCCCGAACCAGCTCTCCTCACGCTACCTGCTTGACCAGGCTTCTCCAGTCTTAGACCTTTCCAGCCTTCGAGCTCACGTTCGAGTCGAAGAGCTTTCTCTTTCTCTTCTTTCAAGGCTCGCTCTGCTCTACGTGCTGCTAGTTGGTTGTCGCTTTCGGAGCTTTGAAGTTCGTCGATCGTCTTGAGAAGTTTCTCGACCTTGTCTCGAGAACGGGAGATGTCTTCTTGAAGCTGGGTGTTGGCTTTGTCACGTCGGTCAATCTGAAGTTGCAGATCTTTGACAGTGCGATCAACGTTTCGAACCGATCGTTGAGATTTGTTACGTTCAGTTTCTTGGGCTTCCAATTGTGATTCGAGCTGCGAGGATATGTTAGTAAGCTTGAGATGATTTTTTGATGAAAGTGTATCTAGTACCTCCTGAACCCGACCATGCAAGAATCGGACGTCTTGGCTTGCGCTGGAATAGCCCTTAGTCTCAAGGTCGACAAGTCTAACCTGAACCTCTTTGAGAGCTTTCTCAAGTGCTGCCTTCTCAGTGTTGAGCTGGACAGTCATTTCGCGTTCAGCGACAATATCTTTCTGCATCTCAGCAGCTAAAGCCTCAGCACGCCGCATCTTACCAACGGCTGCGGCTGCGATGTCTTCCTGTTGAGCTAGATTAGACTTTAGCTCCAGAAGTTCTCTGTCGAGGCTGGCAGCATCACGCAATGATGCACTGTCTCCCCGAGCTAGGTCATCAAGTCCAGCCTTCGCTTCCACAAGGCGACTTTCCAGGCCACGCTTCTCTCGCAAAAGCAAGTCACGCTCGGCAGTAACGTCGTCCATAGATGTTCTTAGATTGCGCAGCTGAGACATCATGCTCACAATCTTGTCCTGAGCATCGGTATGAGCTTTGATAGCCTCGTCTCTAGAAGCAGAGAGATCAGCCAGGGTTGACTCCAGACGGGATTTCTCTTTGGACCAAGTAGAGCTATTGAGGACTTCATCATCCCACTTAGATCGCAATTCTTCGAGCTCTTCCCGAAGACGGGTGTTTTCTGATTGCTTGAAGAGCTTCTCCTCACGGGCAATATCCAATTCGTTGGTGAGCGTAGCGAATTCTGCTTGGTACTTCTTGCGGGTCTGCTCCATGCTAGTCTCTTTGTCCTCAATGTCCATGGCTCTCTGACTTCGGTAGTCTTCGAGCTCGTGTTGAAGTCGCTTTCTAGCCTGCAACGCAGCTTCAAGATCGGCTGAGATGTCTTCAAGCTTCTCCTCGTAGCTCTGATTTATTCGTTGGAGGTCTTCGATGGTGGCATCAACGTGCTTACGCTCCGACATGATCTCTGCGCAAGTGTCTTCGGCTTCTTTTGCTTGGGACTTGGCAAATTGTTCAGCTCGGTTGGCTTTCATGACAGCAATCTCAGCCTGCTCAAGCTTGCTGAAGTATTCATCTGCTCTGCTCTTGTACAATGATAGGCTAGAAGAGACGTCTGTAAGCTTCGAGGACTCTGCATCAAGTCTGATTTGAAGGTCCGCGTATTCTTGCAAAAGCTGGCTTCGACTGGCCGCATCTTGATCCTTCTGCAGAAGTGTCTCTTCAAGTTCAGAAGTTGCGTCTCTCAACTCGACCTCTAGGGTAGCGCGAGCATGCTTGACTGCTTCAATTTGCCTCTTCGTGTCGTTCAATTCCGCAACCGTGTCGTTATGGACGTGAAGCAGGGAGCGTCTAGAATCTTCTTGGTTGTTGATGAGGTCGAAAAGTTCTTCGTGGGACTTTGTCTGAATGTCACGAAGCGAGAGCTCACCAGACTGGATACTCTTCTCGAGTGCAGAAACTTTCCTTGCAGAGTCATCCAGCATCTCGTGCAATCGGTTATTAGCTTGTTCAAGCTTCTGAACCCGACGTTGGGATGGGCTGTCCTCGGCCCAGAGCTCACGCGCAGGTGTTGCTCGTTCAAGTTGGCTTTGTAGATGGCGATTTTGCATCTGGGACAGCTGAAGCTGGTTTTGCAGCTCCTCTAAATCGGCCTTCAAGTCCATCCGGTTGTTGAAGCTAAGGATGTCGGCTGTCCTATCAGATCGAGCAGAGTCTTGAGCATCAGTACCATTGCTGGGGAAGCGGCGAGTTGGGGTGGACACATTTGATCGTGGCCTAGCATTGAGCTTGTTGCGGAGGTGACTAGGAGAGTGGTTGAACGATGCCTGGTTGGGATTGATCTCCTCGAGCTTGGGCCGACTCGGTGAGTGCCTATCTGGAGATTCTCCGAATTCCTCTTCTAATCTCCTGCGTAGCTCTGACAGTTGAGCTTCAGCATTCGCCCGACCGGCTGTTTGCACTCTGAGGTTTTGGTGTAATTCCTCTACTTTCTGGACCAGGCCCGGGACGAGGTTGGGAGTCTTTGTTGAGCTTCTCTCGCTACCTCCATCTAGTTGAGACACAGGAGCTGCCATCTCTGGGTCAATGCGACGCATGAGTTGGAGTAATTCCTTCTCACGATTTTCAATGATCGTTTGTAGCTGGCGGTTCTTCGCTTGCACTTGAGAATGTAATTGACGTTCATCTTCTAGCTTGCGATTTGCTTCTGCCAATTGAGAAGTGAATGTAGAAGATGCCTTTTCAGCGTTGCGGCTCGTCTTATGCTCACGAGCCACTTCGTGGGACAAGTCTTCTAAGCTCAATTGAAGCTTCTCTTTCTGTTTCTCCATCGATGCTAAAGCGAGCTGGGCATCTCCCAATTGCTTGTTGAGTTTCTGGTTCTGTTCGTCTACCTTCGCTTTCTCACGTTGCAAAGTGAGAAGCTGTCCACGGGAAGTTTCACTAGCTTTGGAACTGGAGCGTGCAATTTCGAGACCTTTCTGCTGGAGCTTGTTCAGGAGTGCTCGGTTGTCATTTTCTGATGCCATCAGGCGGCTCTTGGCTGTGTTAAGATCTCGTTCGAGTCTTTCTTTTTCTTTGTCGACTCTGATACCAAAATCTCCCGACTCGAGAATAGTTCGCTCCAAGTCTTTCACCTGTTGCGTTAAGCGCTCGCACTCCTCTTCGAAATACTTTGCTCGGCTTTGTTCGGCATCGAGGTCCTTTCGCAGACTAGACTCTCGTTCCTGTGCAAGGCGTGAAGCACTACGATCGTTGGACAATTCTGCTTGAATCCGTGCTTCTTCAGCAGCTGCTTTAGCCTCGCGAAGTCTGCGGATCTCATTTCTCGCTTCGTTGCGCTCGTTTTGTGCTGTGACTTTGGCTTCCATCGCTCGTCTCAGGGTATCTTGCTGTACGTAAAGCTCCTTTTCAATGATGATTTTGGCTTCGTTCAGTTCTTGATACTTCTCATTCAGTTCCTGATATTTGTGATCTGATAGAAGCTGCACGTCGTCACGGGATTGTCGTTCCTTGCTGAGATCTCTCTGCACATCAGCGAGTTGCTGCTTGAGATCTTTGATTTGTCCTTCGAGCATTCTACGATTCTGACCCGCCTGGGCATCCTCGGTAAGCCTGGCATCAAGCAACTTCTTCGCATCAGCAGCCTCTCGCTCCAAGTGCTCCTTTTGTGACTTCATAGTAAACATTTCGGCCTGAACTTCGCGAAGTCTGCTCAGTACGTTGTCTTTCTCGCTGCTTAACGAGCGCTTCTCCTCGTCAAATTTCTTTCGCTCTTCTTCGAACTTTCGATTGTCTGAGCGAAGGATTGCCAACTCGCTTTCTTTTCGACGCACAAGATCCTCATATCCGGTAGAGGTTGCCGTGAGTTCTGAGAGTTGCTGCTGGACTCTGCGGTTTTCTGCCGTCAAATCTCGTTCCTTGGCCCGGGTGGACTGGAGTTCTTTCGTGGTGTTGGCGAGTTTGACATCGAGATCCTGATCCACCTTGAGAAGCTTGCTTTCAAGATCTTGTACCTTTCTGTCTTTGAGGCCCAGTTGGCTCTGCAGCATGTTTACCTCTCTTGACAGTCGTGACTCTTCGGCACTTCGTTGAGATTGAGCGTGAGACAGATCGTTTAGTTGAGCGTTTAAATCGTCAAGTTGGTCGGCCAGCTGTTTCTTTTCATTTTCCAATTGTGCAATTATCTGCCCAGCCTGCTCCAATTGAGACCGCCACATTTCCGCCTGTTGTTCGGCTTTCTTCTTTGCTTCCAACAGGCCATCCAGCTGATCTTCGAGATTTTCTTGGTCCTCAAGAGCCCCAGCAAGCTTATCATTAAGCTCAGCTTCACGGATCTGCAGCCTTTTGAAGATTTCCTCCTTGTCCAGCGCCAGAGCTCGCTCGCTCTCGAGTGTTTGTTGGATTCTTTGCATTTCCAGATGAGCGTTCCGACGTTCCTCGTCAAGTCGTTGGCGGTCCGAAGCTTCTTGCTTCATCTTTTCATTGAGCTTTTGTATCATCTCATCTCTTTTTTTGACTTCGCCAGAAGTCCGAGTGGCGCCCAAAAGAGGCTTCATCTTGACTAAGAGTCTCCACCAAGGATTTTCGCAGAGATCAAGATAGACTTGGAAGTTGCGTTGTATTATGCGAGTGGCTTCGGCCCGGTATAGCCTCTTGTTGGCAATACGACGCTGAGTGAACCCTCGAGCAAGTGATTGGAATCGTGACATGATCTCTCTAATCAAAGCATCGCGCTGTTCTTCAAGCTCGGCCAACACACCGGCTCGGAAGAAAACTTTGGTGAGTCCTACGCGGAATAAAGACTTATCGAGGCCAAGCTTCTCTAGCATGATGGTCGCAGCTGCTTGTCCCTCAAGATACCCTTTCGGCATGTTTCGACAAAGAACTTCATATCGTTGCCTGAACTCAGAGAAAGGCAAACGATTAGGAAATCCAGTTCTAGCGATTCTGATACCTTCAAGTACACCATTACAGCGTAATTGGTCAAGTACGAGTGGAGCACTCAACTGCTTGGGCCGCTTTTTGTGATTTGGAATAATGCATCGGACAAAGTGAGGATGTGTCGAATGCAACTGAGCCATCAAACTAGACAGTTGCTCTTTGTGTCTCTGAGCAACTGTTCGGAACAATCCTTTCTTGACCCGACTTCTGGTGGCGCCAGAATCGTCATCAGTATCAGCACAATCCGCAAAAAGCGACGCAACATGTTTGTCTGTTGAAGCTGCGAGTAGTCGTGTAATGTTGTCGTTCAGAGGATCTTTGTTCTTCTCTAACCACCCCTCCGTCGAATACTCGACTTCAGCGGCATAGTGAGTAAGCATGAAACCCTGGCCAAGTCTCGATGGTCGGTATTTGGGTGTTTTCCGGTCCCAGAGTGAGTGAAGTTTTTCTGTGAAAGACTTATCGGTGGCCTTTGGCATCACACAATCTTCGTCTAAGCAGGAGAAGATACCAATTGGGTTCGGCAACTCAATCAGATCAATGGTAGGTTGAAGATCGTGGCCGAAATCGATGAACTTCCACTCAATTTGTTCTCTGGCATACTCCTCTTGTTCCAACACAAACATGTGGTGGTTGAAGAATTGCTGAAGCTTCTCATTCGTGTAATTAATGCAAAGCTGCTCGAAGCTGTTCTCCTCGAAAATTTCAAAACCGGCGATATCGAGAACACCAATGAAGTGAGAGTCATCCATTCCCATACCAGTCCTATCGAGCTGCCTGTTGACACGGCTGACCAGATCGCCAAACCCACGTTCATAGATACCCTTTGCTAGAGCGTCAATGGCAAGTCGGACTTGCTCTGGCGTTTGAACCTTCTCAACCCACTCGCGCCCAGCTTTCACTCGTGGATGAAGAAGACCTTGGAGAAACGGATCAAGAGGCATGCCAAGAAGTTTGCAGACTTTCTCAGCGTGTGTGCGAGCGTCTGTAGCCAGTCGCGCCTGGTCTGCAGCCCTACTCTCCTTGACGACTGTAATGTTTCCAAGGTGGAGTACTGCTGCAATTGTGCGCAGGATCGAGACCTGTTCGTTGTCCGAGAACCCCATGATGTTAAATGCTTCGATCAACGAGTTCCACTCATCTCGATCAGAAACGCCAACTATAGTATCATGTCCGTCTCTTGTATATGCAAAATCCTCAACATCTAGGTCATCGAGAAGGAAATCCTGTTTCATCTTCCGATCCCCTCCTTTCAAAAGCTGGTAGAATACATGGTAATTTCGTTCGTGGGCATTTAGTCGAACAACTCGAGACTTTTCCAGGAGGTACCAGTCGATAAAAGCACCCGCAATGGTTCCTGTGCGAGAGAATTCAATTCGGATGAATTTACCGAAACGTGAAGAGTTGTTGTTCCTCACTGTCTGAGCATTTCCGAAGGCTTCAAGGATGGGATTTGCTCGAAGAATCTGCTGCGAGAGATTGGAGTGCTGACTTCCCTTTTTGACTGGAGACTCTGAATGTGCAACAGCTGCAAGATACTGAATAACCTTCTTGGTATTTTCGGTCTTGCCTGCACCGGATTCTCCTGTAACAAGAATGCTTTGATTTTCGCCTTCATCTACGAGATTCCGGAATGCCTCATCTGCCATGGCGTAGATGTGAGGTTTCGTTTCCTCTCTTCCTTGCCCCTTGTACATATTGATATATTCATTGGTATAAATTGGGAGGGGACAATAGGGATTGATTGCAACCAAGAACAGGCCAGAATAGGTGTATATGAGGTCTGTTTGGTACCGCATGTGAAGGTTGTGTACGACAGAAGCTTCATTGAGATGGGTAAGCTCTGCCATGTCGTCTGCTTTGTCAAACTTGGCGGGATTGACTTTATCAACATTATCTATACTGACTTCTCGTTGCTAGCGAAATATTAGCTTCAGCCTCAGATGCCATTTTTTTGTACACGTACGCTGCCATCATCGCATTGGACGAGTATTTGGTTACTACCCAGTTCTTCTACTATCCAGCCTTTGACAAAAGCCGTTTGTGGATCTTTCAACCAAACGTATCTCTTGCCTGAGAAGTCATTTTCCCCCTCAATCCCATTCACCACTTCATGATCTCGCCGCGTCTCTTCTGTCTTGATAAATGAAGGTGCAAATGTATTGGAGCTAGGCGTGGCGCTTTTCGAGTTCGCACGATGTCGAGTCGTTCTCGTAGGATTCGGCGAGATGACATCTGCGAGCGAGGAGTAAGACCGGTTGTGAGCTGGAGTTTGGCTGTGTGGTGGGCTATTATTTCCAGATAACGGAGAAGACATCATCGTGGACTTGGGTCTACCATTGGGGAGCCCTGGAGCAGGAGACGGGGAACCTGTCCTTGAAAAGGGATTGTTGCGCTTCTGCGCTGCATTCGATGCCATGGTGATGTGTGCTCAATGAATAGCTACACATGCAATGTACAATGTCCGTTATGAAGCACAACAAGCTCGAGCCATCGGAGGAACAGCAGAATTTCGTGATAAGTCGATGCCCCAGAGATTCAGAAGAATGAGAAAGACTCAGATTAATTCGAGTTCAGCAAATACATATGGGAAAGTTGTCGTTGTTCTGCAGCTGTCGCAGAGTCGTTGTTGTCTCGGTCTTGATGTTGTGTTGATTCGAGACATGAGTGGTGGACGGACTCCCATGTAAACAAAAACGCGAAGTGACGCTCAGGCCACTTTTTCCAGCGCACGAAACTGAGTTTAGAACTCGTGACCGGTGACTGCCAGAATAGTCTAGCGTCCAATCTAGCGCGGCTGAACTTCAAAGTCGTTTGACTTGAGAAAAGCTTCATCATAATTTCCTATTTGCATCACCACAAATTCAGTCATCCGCGAGTGAATCCCATCCGTCTTCAATATAAGACTTCTCGCACGCGCTCTCTCATCTCCACTCTTTCTACTTCTCGATACTTCCGCATCAGCGTCGCGTCTTTAGTAAAGCGTTTCTTTTGTTGGAAGATGATCTTCGAGTAGCTCTTGATCGCGCCTCAGAGGTTTTCTTACCCTTTTCACTGACGTCAAGCAACCCGGACAATAATGCAAGTTTGTCTTCATAAGTGCAACCATGTCAGACTATCCTTCAACGCCATCTTACGGCGCAAACTATGGATCTCGAGATCAAACAAATCCTCCTTACATCCCTGCCTCCTATCCAAATCAATACATGCAACCAGACGATGGTCGCACAGCGCAAGGAAATATGGCATCGCATTATGACACGTCCATGTCGGCGTATGCATACAATAGAGCTCTGCCAAGCTTTAGTGCTGCTGCTGTGGCCTCTAGCGTGCCTCCTTTGCCTATATACCAAGGTTGGAATCAGGACTCAATCCCTTTGCCTCCATTTAATCCGCCACACAATACCGCACAGTACCCAAGCTATGGCAATAATGCCCAGAACGGCTCGCAGTTCTACTCTTCTATGGGCCATACAAACTATCTTCCCAATGCGCAACCTGCAAAGGCCTACGAGCAAGGTGAGCTGAGTGAAGGAGAGTTTGAAGATGGCGGTCTTGCCACCAATACCCCTCCTGCTGGTTACAGCACATCTCAGTATGGTAATGGTGGCACAAACTACAACGACAATTCGTCGCATGCTGGATACGCACAAGTACAAGACTTTACACCTCAGCAAACTTTTCCAGGTAAGTCGAATTCTACGTCTCATGTTCTCTGCTTGTACGATTTTACCAACTCCTCGTTTATAGTAAATAACTACCAATATCCTACGAACCCTCCTACTACTCAACTCAAGCGTCAACAATCGGGCTCGTACTCCCCATATGTCTCTCCCGCAGTAGGCGACCGCGATGATCAGTACAGCAACGATAAGAATATCAATGCAGTTGCAAGTAATTTTGCTCAACGTCCGAAGAATTCGACAACACCGAGTCAATATAAAACCCCGAGCAAAGCGGTGAATGGTCCTGTCAAGTCAAGTTTTCAGAGCAATGGGTACCACACTCCTCAAGAAGGACAGCACAATACCCAGCCAAAACCTTCTCCTCGCCACTCAACGCCGAGTCTGGCCCCAAGTGTAGGCAACGTGAAGACAGTTGCAGAATCGCGGAAAAAAGCTGAAAACGCGATACTCAATCTCCTACCATGCGACGTGCGCTACCAAACGTATATCGATGAAGGCTTCCGAGAAGAAATTATCGGTCCTCTATTTGATGGTCTTAAGCTCCCGCGGCACTCTGCCAAACCATCGAATTCAACGCCTACACAATCTGCCATACAACAGTCACTCCATACTAGTAAGAGCAAGACAGCGGTTGAACAACATGCCGCGGCAGGTGGGAATATTTCCAAAGCTCAGTCTGTGCCTGGAGCTCGCAAAGAAGCCTTGGAGCTATCAATCCCATCTAGTTCGGTGACTACTCAACAATCTCAATCTACTGCTGCCCCCAAATCGGCTGCACAGACTGAAAAAGAGGAAGAAAGGAAGCGGACTCTGCAGTTGAAAATGGAAGCATTAAGAAAATCACGAGAAGAGCGTGCACAAAAGCAAGCAGCAGCAGCAAAGGACGTTGCAAAGCCAGTGGATAAGCCAACCGAAAAGCCTCCAGCCATTGAGACTCCTATCGCTGAACCAGAACTACCAGAAACTAAGCCAGCCGCCTCTATAACAGCTTCAAGTTTACCCTTAGACACTCCTTCAGCTTCAAAAGTTCAAGCACCGATCGCGGGCGACGCAATTCCCTCAAAGTCCCCCGCACCTCCAATTGTACCTGAAATTCGACAGCAACCCTCTATACCCGGCTTGTTTCTCGCGTCGAATGGAATTCCTGGTCTTCAATTGAGCGGTTCGAGCACACCTGTACCCTCGATCTCCACGGCACAACGAAAGCGTCCCGTAGCTGCCGACTTCGATGATAATCTCCCAGCAATGGCACCATTCAAGCGACCCTTCGGTCACCATCGCAACGATCGGCCACTTGTGATTAACGTCAGCGAGGATGAAGCCGATTCAGACGATGAAGATGTTGCTATGGATCTGGATTCTGCGGGCGATTCACCCATGCAGCCCGAAAGAAAGATGTCTGGCAATCAAGCAGCTCTGCTTCAAAATTCTAGCCAACTCTTCGATAAAGTCAACAAGACTTTCACTCCTCCACCATTCCCCTCTGCGACCAATACCCCGCCTCTTCTTTCTAGTAACTCCAGACCTGTTCACAGCAGTCCTGCAGAGTTGGAGCGAAAGGACCGTGAAATCAGAGACCTCAAGAGGAGAATCGCCGAGGCAGAAGCAAAGAAGCGGGCCAAGCAGACTCCTAGCAGAACTCGGACACCTCGGATTCCTGAGCTGAACGCATCCGAAATTACAGATGGCCAAGCTACCAATGGAAGTGTACCTAAGAAGCTCGACTCGCCGACGAAAATGCAGCAGCTGGTCACAGTCGCCCAGAGCCAAGTCGATGCGGATCAACAAAAGCTAGCTGAGGCTCAAGCTGCTGAAGCTGAGAAGGCTGCTGAGCTGGTGAAAAATGAGTTGGAGCAAAAGCGTCTTCTACGTGAGAAGAATGCGACGAATCAATCTTTAGTCGATGCCGAGGTGCAGCAGACTCGAACAAAACTTGAAGAATTAAAGGCAGCAATGGCGGAAGCTGAAGCTGCATATCAGAAGAGTCTTGAAGAGAAACAGAGATTGAAAGAGGAAGCGGAGCGACTTGAGCAAGAAGCAGAACTCCAAACCAAGAAGGATAGGCTACAAGATCTTACTGGCCAGAAGGTTCAGGCCACCATCGGTATGTTTGTTGTTTTGATAATACCACGTTTGCAACTTTTATTTTGCTATTTCCATTATACCGTCAGATTCCCAAAAGATACAAACTCACTTATTAGACATTGCTTCACGTTCGTCTGCAGACGAAGCATCACAGCAGTCGGCAGCACCCATAACCCCAGATCTGTCTTCTACGTCGACCTCGGAAGAACCTGGCCAAATCGTTGATATGGCACCTACAACCAGAACAGACTCCGAACCACTTCCTACAGAATCTGGCCTTGCCCATGATGTTTCCAACGTAACTCAAAGTCCTACAGAGCCGGAGGAGCAAGTCGACAACACACAAGACAAAGAAGAGGTAGTGGATTGTACTTCAACTGATCAAGCTATGGAAGCTGCACTACAGGAAGCTGTGAGAGCCGATGTTGACTTGCAGACGGCGGAGGATGACGATGACGTGGAAATGGACATGGATATGGAAGATTCGTATGCCCCTGATCCGAACCACCTTGCCCCAGAATCCGTACCCGGTGTTGTCTTGGAGGACGAGGGTAACTCAGAATACTCACCGGTGCTTGACCGAACTGTCCCTGAAATCCAAACCCTTAACGAGATCGAAGATCAGGACGAGATCCAAGATGACTACGAGCCACCAGAAGCAATAGCCCCTGTCGAAGATTCCATCCCCTACTCTCCACCATTTAGTCCGGCGCCACCCGAGCAAAATCCTGAGCCTGTCATGGATGAGCCCATGGACATTCAACCTCCCAACCCCGCATCACCAGCATTCGTTCCCGAGACCAACATGGATGAAGTCAATGACGTTAACACGACACAGGCAAGAAGTGAGAAAGGACAAAATTACTCAGGGGAGCTACTGCCTTCCGTAATTGGTAGTTCTCCGAACCTGGTTGAAGTAACAAAGCATCTTTACCACCGGTCGGTCTTTGGATTCTGCTAACACAAAGTAGCCTGGTTCCGAGGACGATTTTAAGACTCCCTTGTACACTCCCTACGAAAGCCCTCTCAAACGTTTTCGAGCATATCGATTTCATCCCGAGTTCAGTCGCGACGTTGCTGGCGGGTTGAAATCCAGGACCTACAGTCACAAGATCGACCCTAATAAAGAGTTCTGCCGTTACGAATTGGCTGGAGGCACTTGTAACGATTCGACATGCGCCTCGCAACACTTTGATAGAATTGGACTTCAGGGTGCGTGGGTTATCTAAAGCCTACAAACAGGCGCCATCTTGGTATCCCCTTCTCGTCCTACCGGCTGACTTGTATTGTTCTTACAGATGACGCCGTCCTCACTGCCCTCGGCTCTCCTGAAGAGTTCAAAGACGAGCAGCGCGATAAGTTCTGCGAAGGTCTGAAGGGGGTTCTTATGGACCTGCGAGTGCGGAAGATAAGAGACTTCGACGTTATTGCTTCTGAAATCGTTGCTCATCGCGCCAGATTCTTGGGCGACCCTTCCAAAGTGTTGGCCCTCGACGGCACGACTATCTGACCGACTTACAAACAGCCTCCCCCACCTTGTAACGCCTTGTAAAATCACCTTTTCCCATACGTATGTCGGATTACATATTTCTGGGCCCCTTTTAATGACCCTATCCCCTCTATTGATCGATGCCATCTTCGTGGCTCTCATCGTCGACAACAATAGGGACTTCTTGATTTCTTTGTCTTTTTCCAACATTGCTGCACTCTTGCACGGGACGGTGTTGCATTGGATCACGGTGTTAGTGGCTTTGCTACGATACCCCGTCGCCTGGCCTGGCTTCTGGCTTTGAGACAGAGCTTCTGGCTCTGAGAAAGATAGGAGAATAGTGAGCGATGCTGGAGATGAAATCTCCATAAAAGTTGCTCGGTTAAGCTGCGTAGTCGGCACTCATAGTCCGTAATGAAATTCAATTTTGCACCACAATCTATCCTCTCCAGAATGTGACTTGATCCAAACGTCCACATACAGGGACATCATATTGCCACAAGCATATCTACAAACAAGAACCTCAAGTCTCCAAACAATTCACTTAGCAGTCACGTGTACGACCCCCACCAAGATCTGCATCAAGATTGCCGAGCTTGCTAGCTCTCAATCACGACATCTGAGCCTTGAGTCTCATCATCTTGGTGATCCACTAACCTCCGCAATGAGGCAACCATCACCGCACGATGCATGGATTTACGAATGCCCGTCCCAGGACCTTCTTTTAAGCAAGTGCTATCATAGGTCCCGATGTGTGGGTGGAATCGCGGATGGCATATGCGCCGGCTTCGTAATTTGGAGACGGGATTTCGCGTCTAACAGTAGTTGAGCTTCGCATTTTGGTGTCTTCTTTCTTTTTCCTCTGAAACTCAATGTTGCATCTTTTTACCTGCTTCTTCCTCCGTTAAGATGAAGACATAAAGTAGCTCTTCCTTTCGTCAGCTTACCCATTCTTCAAGTCCAAATCTAAGTCGAGTGATACCAAATGGCGACTGTACCAGCGCAGAACGACCAGGAGAAGATTGCTCTCGAAAGAGGCAATGGGGGAAGTGGAGCTCCGTCGTTGTCTTCTGAAGAGGCATTCGAGAATCCTACTGGCATTGACGAGAAGGCTTTGGTGCGACGATTGGATTTGAAGCTCCTCCCTCCATTGACATTACTCTATCTTCTTTCCTTCTTGGATCGAAGCAACAGTATGTTTCCCTCCGAATAGTTAGCTTGATAATAGCTGATTTTTTGGCAGTTGGCAATGCTAAGTTGGACGGGTTGGATACGGATTTGCATATCACGGGCAATCAGTACTTGCTTACTTTGACTATGTATTTTGTTGGATATGTATGTTCTCGGTCTTTGAGTTTGATAACCAAGATGCTAATTCGAGAAGGTCTTGTTCGAGATTCCCTGTAACATTATCCTCAAGCGGACTACACCGAAAATATGGCTGCCAACACTCATGCTCGTTTGGGGTATTGTCGCTACGCTGATGGGCGTATCCCAAAGCTTTGCTGGGATCGTAGTCGCACGCTTTTTCTTGGGCGTCACTGAAAGCGGACTGTTTCCTGGAGTGGTGTTCTACCTGTCGATGTGGTACAAGAGAACAGAGACCCATTACCGAGTGGCACTATTCTTCTCAGCTGCCTCTCTCGCTGGGGCGTTTGGTGGGATCCTAGCATATGGAATTGGCTTCATGAAAGGAGTTGGAGGATATAACGGCTGGCGATGGATCTTCATCATCGTAATCCTACCCTATTTCCTCCCTCAGCACAAATACTAACTAGAAAAGGAAGGACTTTTCACCGTAGTAGTCTCCGGCCTCTCTTATCTCTTTATCCACAGTATGTCAAATCCCTATACTAATTTACTGTTTTCTTGTATGAGGGCTCTGGGAGCTGGGAGCTGGGAGCCGGGCGGAGCCGAGACATATTGCAAACGAGAGCTCCTGAGACAGCTCCCGGCTCCCAGAGCCCCTCCCTTTCGTTTCGATGTTTTACTATGCTAATTCATTTGGCAGATTACCCCTCCACCGCCCCCTTCCTAACCGAGCCCGAACGAGCCTTCATCCACGCCCGCCTCAAGACGTCCTCAGACGCAACCCTCAACGAACCCTTCTCCTGGACCGGCGTCCGCTCCGCCCTCAAAGACTACAAATGCTGGCTCTACGGCCTCATGTTCCACACCATGTCTTTGCCCCTCTACACACTCTCCCTCTTCCTCCCCACCATTATCAAAACGCTCGGCTACACCGCCGCGGACGCTCAACTCCTTACCGTCCCGCCCTATTTCGTCGCCACGGTCTTCACAGTCATCGTCGCTGTCCTCTCCGAGAAAACACACAAGCGCTCTCCTTTCGTCCTAGCATCCACCTCCCTCGCCATCGTCGGCTATATCTTCCTCCTCTCCGCGCCCGTGGATAAACCCGGGCTGTCATACGCAGGAACCATCCTCGCAGCCTCAGGGATCTACCCTTCATGTGCGATCGTGCTCTCGTGGGCAGCGGCAAACGTGTCAGGGCAGACGAAGAGAGCTACAGCGACAGCGATGACGATCACGATTGGGAATCTGGGCGCGGTGCTGGGGACGCAGCTTTATCGGCCCTCGACGAGCCCGAGGTGGTTTTTGGGACATGGATTTGCGATTGGATATTTGGGGATGAATATCGTTGGTACGTTGGTGCTGTGGTGGTGTTTGAATAGGGAGAATAGGAAGAAGGAGGAGAGGAGGGCGGGTGGTGAGGGGGTGGGTGATGAGGAGCCGGTTAGGAGTGATGAGGATATGAGGTGGATTTTCCAGACTTAGGGCGAGGGGGAAAGAAAGTCTTGCTATACGATATCTGGCACATCATCGAATATAATGTATCTTTTGTGGAAAATCCTGTCTTCAACAAGGAGGGTCCAAGATTCCGAAAGCAGCACGATGAGACTCCTGTGATCCATAATCAGAAATAGGTTGGACCCATGAGATTGTCCCTCTTGACTCTTAAAACTATCCATACCAAAGTAGTCACAGCGTAACCACGATTAATTCACAAGACCTTCGACTCAGACTCGCGATGTGCAACACAAAACTCCCATTGTCCGTCCCTAAAAGCAGACTGTAAAGCAAGTCAAGTACCCGCTAAACGACTATCTACTTGTTCCTTTTCTCGACATAGTACCGCGATGTGCAACAAATTCCCCAACATATATTTCCTACCTGAAACCCAACTTTAGAGTTGCTACAGCGCGAATAGCGCGAATCGCGCTGACTGCGCAAGTAGCGCAAATCGCACGAAATACGGGAACAGTTAACGAAAAGTTTATGCTGCTTGGATCGGAATTGCAACGTGCAAAAGAGAGCTATTATTCCTCACGTTATTTACTGGTGTCTTAACTTCAAAGCTGCTTGAGTACTTGCCAAGAAGCTATGCTGAGAATTAAAAGATGAGATGTGCAATAAAGGAAGCTCATTGTTCATTGTCAGTCCCTGAAGACTGACTTCAGAGGTGTTTCAGCAGGGAGTTCTCACATCGATTTCGAATATGTGAACTGCTGGAAAAGTTTCATTGTGAGAATACGCCTAGCTAACTCCCCTCCATTGCAAAACTACCCCCCGCGCAAAACCCGCTTGCAAAATCCAAAGTGGACTAAACATAACTCCTCTTCCCAAAGTAACCTAAAAAGGGGACAAAATTCAGAGACGATCTCTGGCCAAGAATCGAATACAGCACCAAATCAATCATTCACACCTACTCACACTCAATTCTTCTTGTTGTAACCTCCACGTCCATCTGTCCCCGGCTCAGCGCGGCGATTGTATCCTCCTCTTCCATCTGTATCTTGCTCTCCTCGGCGATTGTACCCACCTCTTCCATCCGTATCTTGTTCTCCTCGGCGGTTATATCCTCCTCTTCCATCAGTTCCATCTTCGCCGCGTTTGTTATATCCACCCCTACCATCGGTCCCATCTTCGCCTCGACGGTTGTAGCCGCCTCGTCCATCTGTGTCCTCTCCAGCCCTTCTAGCATATGGCAAGTATCTCGCAGGAGTAACGCCTGCTGGTTGGATTGCGTTGGGAGTAGGTGCTGGGATTGCGACGCCTAGTGTGGTGGCTAGGAGGGCGGCTAGGACGGTGAAGGTTGGGAGATGCATTGTTAATAGTCGTTGGTGGTCTGGTTAAGAGATGGTGGGTAGTTTGGAGGATGACTGATCGTGCAATTTGAGTTGGAGAGAGTATAGAGAGTATGTTCGACTTTGCTAAGGAGGAAGTCGTTGAATAGAGAAACGAGGTATTTTAGCAGGACACCTCGTCCATCTTATACCTTTCAGCCTACATCGACGCACACTTTCGCAGCTTTCTGAATGTTGCTCTCTTGTTGCGGGATCCAAGTTATTCCTGTCATGCAATAGCAATCCATTTCGCTCCAACATACAGTGACCCTGTCGCATAATAACAATCCATCTTATATCCAACGTTGAAACATCTGAACGCCATAAAATCCCATTTGGCGTCCAACGCTCAAAGATCTGGCGACTCAATAGCTGACAATACTCCCAGAGGAGTACACGACAGCTCAGGAGATAAGACCTGTGATCCTAGTGCCTATAGGAAGTGCTGGACGAATCATGAACGATGGTAGGCGAGAGTTGCAGGAAGCCGAGCCATGGGACTAATTGACCGAAATGCGCCGCTTGACCACAATCGTCATCCCAAAATATGAAACGAAACGCCAGATTCGAGACTTCAAGCCAATTGAAACATTACCTTCGTAACTAACGAACATGAGGCTGCGAGATGTTGGGTGGTTACGCGCTTAGGTTGTGAAATGCTCGCATATGTGTGTCCCACACAATAGCCTGATGTGGGTGAAGCGGAGCTAACAACCCCACAACCCGAACGCTGAAGAAAACCCGACAGCCTGGGAATCTTGCAGCTGGTAACACATGTGGCCAGTAATTATCCAGAGCTATCATCCGTTACAGGAGAGGCATGCGTGCATAAGGATACTTCCATGCCATAATGGGGACCCTATTTGCTCCCAGAACGATGCAATTTCTAAAATCAGAACGAATAAACAATATCCAACAACTACAAACCGGATGTGCATCAAGACCCATCCTCTACTGTTATCCCACTTGGGATACGTGGCTTTGCAGGAGCTTATAAAAGGAAGTGGAATCGCCGAAATCCAACACCCGAATCGATGAAGAAGTAGAGGCTCTGCGAATTAAATATATTCTCCAACACCAATGGAGCGAAGTACCACAACAATACCTATCCAGTCGCTAACAATAGTCCTCCGATTTCCTCTTGCCTACCAAAGCCACATCTGAACATGTGGTGGGTTGGTCCAATGTGTCTCCATTCCTTGCTTCAAATCCCACCTCAAGCTCTCAACTTGAAAATGAACATGGCGGATCTCTCCTCCAATGGTATTCGTATCCGTATCCACGAACATATTCTGATGCCCATCGACGTCCACGCTCTGTTGATGCAACCCTCTCTCCTGATCCTTCGCCATAACCAACGCAACAGTCTTCAGATTCGGCATTAACCGAACCTCACTCAATGAGTCATATCTGAACACTCTGAGAACTTCCCACAATTGTGAATCGATCGCACAGTACAGTATCCGATCGCGATGAGGACTCAAGGCTAGGTCCAAGGACAAATCGCCGTCGGGGGAGCAGTCTAGTGTGTCGAAGAAGAGGGTATCGCGAGCGAAGTCGATGAATACCGCAGAATCATATTTCGGGGAGAGGATTAGTCTTTTGTAGGTCTCGAGGAAGAGGGAGCGCGATTCGGAGCAGGCGTGAACCAGAGCTGGTGGTGGTGTATCGGAAGTATACTGTGAGACGGCGCGGTTGAAGCGCACGGCCAAGACGCGGGGTTCTGGGAATGTATGCTTCCAAATTTTGATTCTGAGTTCAGAGGGAAGCTGTGTAAAGAGCTCGAACGTATTGTACGCGTCCATGTTGATCTGCCGGTGCAGGGTCCTAGGCAGATGTTCTCAGGGTTGGTCTTTAAGTGGTGTTGTTGTAAAGTATAAGGAGAGGTTGGAAGCGACGGATACAAGGCGAGGCGATTCAGCCTTGCTCACTAAACGAGACTAGTACGGATCTTGAATGCTCCGAATGTTTTGCCTGAGTAGCACCATCTTCAACGCCAACCAATGTATTTCTTCATCATCCTGTATTATTTATGATCTTAATCTTCACGGAAAGTTTCCAAATGATCTTCGTTGCCAGCCTTGGCACTAATTTACAAGTTCATGTTGAAACTCCAACTCCGGCCTTCCAGAAACGCCTCCACTGGCTAGTGACCTCTACACTCCAGCCATCGAAGCTGCACCTCTCCCTCGACGCTCTGCGTGAGCAGCAAATCGTCGCTTGGTACTCGTCCTTAACCAGACCCACCATGCAAGCAGTGTGATAGCGGTCACGGAACCTGTCAAGACCCATAACAGCCAAAAATCCGAAGACACTTTCATATGCCCCATTCCTGAATCCGAGAAGTCCGCGTTGAAGAATTGGCTCCCGAAGACGCTCTTCATGATGTTAATTAAGGCTCTGAACTTGATGAAGCTGTACTTACTGCAACGGCAGTGCCTGGAAGGAAGACAAGTGTCATTATTGCGACTGTCTTCATAGATTGACTATCTTCTTGTAGCAAAGTACTGTCTCTCTGAATCACGAGGTTGAATGCCTTGTTCATGTGAGTATGTACTCGGAGTTTGTCAACCTGTGCTACGTACTAGATTGATTACATTGCTAGCTCTTGTTTCGACGGATCTGATACGAAGACCCAAGCCATGGAAGCTACTCAGGAGATACTCCAGATCTTTCGTCGTTGCCGGAATTGCAGGATGAGGTTTCTGATCTCTAAAGTGCGAAGCGTTGAATAATTCATTATGTGCTGTTTGCGTTGACTTGGTGGTCTCGATGATCGCTTCGCACGCTTCTTTGAGGTGGATCACGAGCTTCATCAAGTGATGGAGACGGACGAAATCCACGTCATACCCTCTGCTGGATAGTTTCTGCTGAGCACTAGCAAACTCAAAGATTTGCTGCTCATGTTAGTTCAATTATTAGGTAGAGCTCTGTACTTACCGACTCCGTCCGGTTGTATATTGAGACCAGTTCCCACACGATACTGTCCATTTTGAGATGTAGCTCGTCCAAAATTATGGCATACAAGGTATAGGGGTCGTATAGAGCTGTCTGCACATTATCTGTGTTTTCGATGAATCGTTGAAGTCGTTCTTCGAGCTTGGGGAATGATCCAAAACAGATCAGAGTTATGTTTCCACCAGTTTTCTTCCATTTCATGAAAAAGCCTCCCTGAATCCAGCTTGGATGAATCTGGCCTGAAGTTGGATGGTGGACATCGAATGTGGAACGAAGAGCATCGAAAATGCTATCGTCATTGTCTCGTACAACAATGTTCTTGCACAAGAAGTGTAACCATGAGTCTATCAACATCAGCCCATTGATTACGCCTGTGTGAGGGTAATGATACCCTGAGTAAGATCCGTGTCTCTTCTTCCAAAGGAGTTCGTCACGCCTTGGACCCTCTCTTTCAGGAAAGCTGTTGGAAAGGAGAAACCTTCGAAAATGTCCCTGAGTCCATGGAGGTTTGTCGGATTCGGCTCATCGATACCTGTGAAGCTATTGTATTCAGCTTCAATAGCTTCGTGTACACTGTACTGATTCTTACATTATTCTGATCGCACACGATTGCCTCTGTATCGCCGTTTAGCTAGATCTTCAACTGCAAAATTGCAACCGACATACCTTGTGGAGTTCTCTGACTTCAATCGTCGGAATGCAATGAGAGGAAAGTCTCGAGCCTCCATTTCTCCATCTCAGAGTTGGTTCGGTACTGCCTAGCAAATAGGTTAGGGAGCTGTATTTATATTGTTGAATAATGACCAACCTGTTGCTGGGCTTTCGAGAAGTTTGATTCTGTAACTCACGTTCCGATATTCATTCACATCTTCTTTGTTAACAAGACCAAAAAAGTCATCTATGTGCGACTGAGCTTCTAATGGATCACACATGGTAGTTTCGATGATCTCTTCTCTCCTCAGATTGGTGATAGTGATGGCGAAGCCTGTATAGGGTTACAAGCTACAATTTTGGGTGGCCGTCATCCCTTGTTGGCAGACCGTCAACACATAGCCCACCATCATTCCCACCATTCTACCCCTCAAGATAGGGGCTTATCGAAATATTCAGCTTCAGTTAATTGTGGCATATTTCCAAATTGCAAATGCCGGAGTTTTCAGGGTCACGAAACATTTCGTGATTCGGCAGCGCTTCGAGAGTTCGGTAACTGAACGCCACACAGGTACCACACCTTGTTCCCTCTGGCCAGGGCGCGTAGCCTGGCATTTTGACCTCATTGGGGGGCTATCATCGCAAGCATTGCTAGTTTCGATATCAGGAAATACCCACATATGTTGCGCTACGATGCTACAATGTTCCTTGCCGAATAAATTGCACCTATATGAGCCCCAGCCCGAAGGAATTCTCAAAGTTTGGATCAAATAACTCAATTCCCTAGACCAACTGCCGGATATATTTCTTGTTCTCAAACGAAACCCAGAATCATCACCCTAAATTACGGCGATGGCTTCATCCCTTGAAACTCTATCTCAAATGCAGATGTGATCAGACATGCATCCGAGCCACATTTCTTCAAATTTCCCCTTTACATTCAAATCGGATGACTCGTCTTGAATTTCTGGCGCCAAGTTGCAAACTGCCCACGATATTTGCTTTTTTCCTCCACGTTTGAGCCCGCCCTCAATGCAGGCACACAGCCTCGTTGCGGTTTGGCCTATGATAATGCGGGGTGGATTGCTATCAAAAGCCTCCAATCATGCGAGATATGGACTGGGAAATTTGCGGGTGGCAGTTGGACGCCCTCTTCATGCCAAGACGTTTTGTCCGAACGCCTCAATATTGTTTTTCAATTGATCGTTACAAGTTCAGCTGTGTGGCTCTTGGCGAGAAAATAGGGGAACAATGCTGGGAGTTGAAAACATGTCGATACTATGATGGGATATAAAGAGAAGTGGATCCGTGAGAGAAAGTGGCCTTTTCAGCGACTAGACCTCAGGACAGCAATCAAACTCGCCCAAATTGTCTCCGCAAGCTTCGCCAAAAATGGTACGTTGGCCATAGCCAAAATGACTATTCAACTAACATTGCAGTCTTCTCGAAACCATAGACCTCATGGTGGAGGGTACGTTCGTGGCCAAGGCCGACACGCCCAAGTCAGTCCCTTGTCTCCACCACATGGGCAGGACTTGAACGAGTTGCACGCCGTTCCCGTCAGTATGACAACCGGTCAGGCTTGACTTGAGCTAACAAAACCCTAGAGCCAATATGAGATGCCTGCTGGAGGGTCTTACGAGGTGGTCGAGATGCCAAATGATTACATTACTCGACCGGTCGAACTCAACGACATGCAGAAGCAAAATGTCCAGCAGCACCCTGCTCAACAGAACCCCACTCAGCCGTATCCTATTCACCAGCATCCTCCTCAACAGACACAGGTAAGAATATATCCTCCATTGTTAACGGTTTTTGACCATTTATCTAGCCACTTCATCAGAATCCTTTCGTACAGCACGAGATCGTGCCAGACGCAGATCATCAGGAAGAAAAGATTTACGCAAATCGCAATCCATATCCTGAATCCAAGATCTATTCCGAATCAAAGATCTCATATATGCACAGAAATGATTCTCTGTCTAAAGTGGTATGCAGGTCTGGAAGAGTACTAGATGATTTGACTGATGCTTTGAGATAGAACAGCCAATGGGGTGAAAGCTCGTATTCAATCAAAGGGAAGCAAGAAGTTGCTATAACCATTGATCAACCTCCAAACTATTCCAACGTGCGTCTTCCCTAGCCGACTTAAACACAAACTGACTTGTCAACAGTTTCTGACCAGCGCACCCAATACTCGTCTCCGAAAGCCCCAAAAAGGACGATGGAACACTTTCAGCCCTGGGTCAAGCTGGCGATGGATGAAGAAGCCTCATGTCTTTAAGCATCCCACCATCAAGTCCGCTTCGACACAGCGCTATCGTCATCGAGATAGCATGGCAAGAGTCTATCGTCGTCCAGCAGCAGAGCGTTATCTCAACTCCCTTGACGGGAAGCTTTCGAAACTTCTTGTCCAAACAGTCGACGAAATATACAATGGACACACTACCCAGCACTCTTGGAGGCGAACCTACATCCGCAAAGTTGGACCTGTTATGCTTCGAGCTGCTTATTGGCCGTTCAAGCGCGCTCCCAGCGACTCCGACGATATGACGGGCGATGACAAGTTGGCGATTGCGATCAGATGGCTTCCAGCTTGTTTCGCTCTCTTCTTTGTTCTGCCTTGGCCTAAACCGCATGGACCCTATACTGATGGCTACAAGTACCATCCCTTTCCGTATAAGTATTGGGGAACATGCAAGGTTGCCCGTAACCCCAAGGAAGATACGAAGATGTCGCGGGCGCTGCATTGGAGCGTTTCAAGCGATGATCCTCAAGGTGAGAGGATCTTGCGTCCGAGATATCTCATGTTCTTGAACAGTCCTGGCAAAGAAGGTATACACGGATCGTCTTGCATGAAAGACGAAGAATGGAATGCAGTCCAGGTTGATGAGAGCAAGAAGAACTTGCCTTATGTCTTCATCGCTTACACCGTTGCACATTTTAACGATAAAGACCTCGATACTCTGCATGACATCGCCGAGTTCGCTACTCGCCGTGCTGGCTTGTCTGCTTACTGGGTCGGGTGCAGCTGTATGCCCGAAGACGACAACATCGAGGAAGATGTCTATCGAATCAACGATGTTATTCGCGGCGCTCACTCCTTAGTCATTGCCGTCGGCAATAGAAAGGGCGACTCCAGACCGACGGACACAAGCACGCTTCTTCACGAGTGGGGAAGCCGTATGTGGACATTCCCAGAAGCACTTCTGAGTCCAAATGACAAGAACGTTGAAGTTTACACTCGGGGACATGATCTCAATCGACCACTGATCATTGCCAAGAAGGATCTTCCCGGGTGGGCATGGGATGACGCCGATACATCGAGACAGATCATGGATCACTTCACCGGATCATTGATGCTAAGTCGAATCGAGCTTGTCAAGCTCGGTATCAAGTGCCTGCATGCTCGCAAGACGACGGCCTATCTCCAAGGTGATATGGTGTATGCGTTGATGGGTCTTCTACGTCGTCGTCCTATGGTTGACAGGACCGACTCTGAGTTCCAGGCTTTCGCTAGATTGAGTCTTGCAAATGACAGTGATTGTCTTTTGGAGAGACTCATTTGCGTTGCTCCGAAGAAGTATGATGAGAAGTGGTTGGCGGCAAAAGATGCATGGGACGTGAACTTGTGGGATAGTAAGTTGAGTATTCTAGGGTATCGTGTACTTGCTAATTTCCTCCAGTCTATCCTTCATGCCAAGTTGCTGGTGTGGGAGAGACCGATACCGTTATCTTAGACGGTTGCCGCTCAGCCGCGATCCACTGGGACGGCTTTCAACCTGTCGAGGCTGATCGAAATCTTTCGTGGAAGAGGCTCTTCGCGCGAACGATTGTTCGTTCTTCATCTATCCTGAGTAAGTCATCCACGGACGCCTACGTAAAGCATCGTATCAAGAAGCACTGCTAATCGATACAGTCGTCGTTGGCGCCTACCTCCTCTTACCAGGCTCAAGCGTCGGCTATCCGCTTCGCAAACGTGGCTCCGACCCTTACTCCGATGACCCATACTCTTCCAATTCCTACGACTATTCCTCCGGACCTACTGGCCCCTCACCCACCGCCGTCGCAGGTGGATTCCTCCTCCTCATCGGCCTCATAACCTGGCTCGCATCCCCCTATCTCGTGAAAATCATGTACGGCGGCAAATTCTGGGACCAACAAGCTTGGCTCTTCGGCTTCGAAGGCCACCTCGACATCGGCACCATCGAATCCCTGATCTTCGGCTACAACATGGGTCGTCTATCTTGGTCGCCATCTGGTTCTCCTCTATCCCGCCATTCTACGAATAAATACAATGAATGGGTAGGAAGGGATCCTACCGAGGATCCTGATGTGGAGAGGATGGTGGAGAGGGCGAGGACGGCGAAGTTGGGGGAGATGAGGGTTTTTACTATTGTGGATACTTTTACGATGACGGTTACGTTGATTGAGGCTGTTAGACCTCCGGTTATGGTGCTGCTTTGTGCGAGTGAGGGCGGTATGCAGAGAGCGGTTGCGTGTAGTTATGAGTGGAGGACTGGGACGCTTTATAAGGAGGCTGTGATGAGGATGGAGACGCAGGTCATTGGTAGGATGGAGAGGATTGGGAGGGTCAGCTTTGGGTTCTTTAGGCCGAAGACTAGTGGGCTTGATTATGAGGTTTGAAGGGATTTATTGCCGTGTGTTTTGGAGACTGGCGTTTCATTATCTGTTATCCTCCCGGCCGAGGAGTTTAAGTTGTGGGAATATTTTGTATCATTAATAGTTTTGACAAATCCTGTGGAAATTACTTATTGTATTCGTGGGCACCTTGAGAAAGTGTATTAGATATATCCTTACATTTCCTTTGCACAATACGTGGAAGTGGATTTCTGAGGGAGCAGTCGGTGTGACGAAAGATATCGAATGGCTTTCCAAGCAAAGTGATGAAGGACTTGTTCCCTTGATCGGAACTCAGAGCCAAGGAGAGGCTGCAAACAGGCGAGCCGAGCCGAGCGTCAATTTCCCCAAAGAAACTAGAGACGAATGCATTTGAGAGGAGAAGCCGGGAATAAGCAAGGGGAAGTGGCCATGATAAAGAACCGTTGATGCGGATGAAGTTCGTCTATAGCATTTCATTTATTTACGATATGATTACTTACCCAATCGAGCAACAGATAGTTACCACTTCCTCGAGCAGTTATCACGTATCCCTGAGTGAATAAAGTCAATACTCATACTGAAATAGAGAGCTCGATCATCAGTCAGGGGTGTATCTAAATGGATAAACCTCGGCATCGTCGTCTCGATCCGCCCACCAATCAATAATTATTAAGCGGGCGTTTCGAGAAATCTCACATCATACTTTCGCTCAGCCCTACTACAAGCTTTAATTTCATGGAATGTCAAACATTCGCGAGCAACCCGTGTTCGAGGTGATAGAACGTCAGTGGTGGCTCTTTCACGACTTGTCATTTTGCGCCTCTTGGTGGGCCGGGTGTGTTTGTCATCTTCCAACCTCTGAATTACATTACGGCACTAGCATTGAGAATGGGCCCTCAAGCGCCGATTGTTGCGGCACAGAAAAGGACCAGAGCAAGTAGTTCTCGTTCGAAATATGGATGTATCACATGCAAGTACGTCGAAATGTTTCTTTCGTTGGTTTAGTAAACACTGTGGGGATACAGTGGACGGGAAGCAATTTCTTGCAGAGGTGACTTCCATGCAGAATTGTTCCGGCGGCTTTCACTTTATTTTACTATAGCTCATACGATCGGTCTAATATTCCAAATACAGGATTCGTCACGTGAAATGAGATGAGGGACGGTATGTTTCCTACTCCTACGAGATTAGCAACTAGATAATGACTTGCCGTTTGCTAGTCCAGGTTGTTTACGCTGCCAAGACACTGGAAGAAAGTGCGATGGCTACGGACCTAGGAATCCTCTTCCAAGTCTAAAATCACAATCAAAGCCAAAGCCAACCTCGAATCCGCTGGTAATAGAGCGCAAATTGCTACCGATCACTTTGGGAACGACAGTACTTCAGTCACGAGTGCCAATCACTGTCCAATGCAAAGACGTCCAAGAGGAGCAGTATCTACAATTCTTCTTTGCAGAGACTGCGGGAGACCTCTCAGGAGGGTTTGATAACCCACTTTGGAGCGATATAGTATTACGGGCATGCAACGAAGAGCCCTGCATTCTTCATTGTGCAGTTGCTCTTTCGGCTCTTGACAAATCCTGCAGAGCCAAGATGACAAAACCTCCTGAGCCTACTTCCGAAGAACATCATCGGTACGCTCTACGAAGATACGACACAGCTATACATGAAGTCAGGGAGTTGCTGCAACGTAGACAGGATTCCTTGAGGACGGTTCTGATTGCATCGCTTCTAATCTTCTGCTTTGAAAGCTTTCATGGCGATATAAGACTAGCATTAAACAACGTCAAAGGTGCCGTGGAACTTATGTATGCTTGGCTTTCGGAACAGGATGGGACTATAGCGCCAGGTCATTTCTCCCCCGCACCGGATGTTATCGAGGACGAAATTGTTTCTGCATATACACGGTTGGATATTCATCTCCTAAGTTGGATCGATGCCCCACTACCTTCTCGCGGAAAGATTCTTAGATTCGCAACCACGGAGACTTTTCATATCCCTGAAGCTTTCAAGAGTATGATTGATGGCAAAGTCGCCTTCGACCACGTTACCAACCACATTTTCCAATACCTAGGCTCAATCCAGCGCAGCAAGGCGCAGGCTTCAGAAGAATCGACACCTAAAAGCCATATATCTGAGAACTCGATTTCAGAAGAGCCAATAGCGGCGACCGAGTTGCGACAATGGATGAAAGCTTTCGAGCCTGTGCTTGTAAGCGCTCGCACTCACGGTGGTGTCAATGATTTCGTTGGCTTTACAATACTTCGAATACACGCTATAACGGTCGAAATCTGTGTTCGTTCGGCTCTTTTCGAAACCACAACAACTCAAGCATATGACGTCTTTCTCCCAGAATTTCGCGAGATGGTTGCCCTCAGCAGCGCCATCGTCAATCACCCTCGCTTCCTCAAATCGTTTGTTTTCAACATGGGGTTCGTGCCGAGCCTGTTCATTATTGTCACAAAGTGCAGGGACAAGACGGTAAGGCAGGAGGCGATTGATGTGCTGAAAGCTGCACATCCAAGAAGAGAAGGTGTTTGGGATTGCTTGATGGTAGCCAGGATTGGTGAAGAATTGATCAGATCAGAAGAGGAGGAGCTACGTTCTGGGCGAATGGAAGAAAAGATCGAAATTCACCTTGCTTGTCTGAATATGTATTTCGAATTACCCAGGCCGCCTAGGACATTGGAGGATATCGAAATGAAGAGAAATAGGCAAGGAGGCCGTGGATATCTACTGGATTGGGTAGAGCGTTGTGTCGATATGAATGTCGTCGCTGGACCATGAAGATGCCTCGACCGTTTTTGCAAATGGTCCATTGCTCGACCGGTCGAACTCAATAATATGGAGAAGCAAAATGTTCAGCAGCACCCTGGTCAACAGCAGATCTTGTTGAAGCACAGCCACGCAGGATTGGTGACTCTGGGAAGATGGGCTTCGTCGAATTCAGCAGGCGAGAGCTCCAGTATGTCGCGGTTGTCCGGAACCTTTAGCTGATGGCGAAACTTGTAATAGGTGGCTAAGGCACCTGCAAGCGCGAAAGAAACATGAGCATCTTCGCCAAGGGAATTCTGCATCGTTATCTCCAAGCCAGATCAATGTCCGTATTGCATTCGCATATATGTGCCGCATGACTCCAACTTGATGATTTCTTTTATCGACATCGTCCTGATTGATGCTGATTTGATCTGCCCAGACAAATCTTGACACATCTGCTTTTCGAATGCGGCTGAGCGCAGAGTAAAGATTTCGGGTGAACAAGCATCTGGCATTATTACAGAAGACCTTGTGGGTCGGTGTTGAATCTCCCCATCGATACGATATGATTTCGTAGGGTAGTCTGTGTGGCGTGGATAAGACGGCACCGAAGTGGGCGAGTAATTCCGGGCAATAGCTCAAGCAAGCGGAAAAACGTTATAAGCTGAGCTGTGAGGAAGTGCTTGATGCTTAAAGTCTTCCATAAGAAAAAAAAAAATATGCAATTCAGGTTCGAAAGCGCCTTCAAGCCGCGCTGAAGCGCCGCATTTTATGACACGCTAACCATTTGTTGTTAGTCTGGTCACATACAGATCCCTTGCCTTGGAAGCTCCTCCTCCTAGCTATATATACATGTTACTCACGTCCTTTATCGTCATCATACCTCTCGATATACAGTACATGGCAAGTATGTAGTGCTGCTATCTTCTCCATTCCAACCTCAAAACGCATCAGTGTGCGGCATGGAAATTTTGCAAACGGCTTGAATGCAGCCGCTCTACTCAGATGATACGAATGGTATGCCTCCCAGCTTGAGCATCCCAAATACAGTCCATCGAATTCTCATCTCCAGACAACTTCATAATCTCCTCCTGATCCTCCTTATGATATCTCGAAATCTTCGTCAATCCAACTCTCTTGAAGGTATTAGGCATGCCTCCCACAGCCTGCAGCAAAAGACATATCAGCTCTTTTGGTTCAGCTGCTCTTTCGAAGCATACTGGCAAACAGTATATTCCACGATTGGGACCGATGATATGCCTTCGATCGCTAGAAGGCGCATCAAGATATATCATCTTATATGGCTCGTCCACCACCCGACCATTTTTCACGAGCTGCCAGTGGTATCTCGTGTATCCCCTTCGTGGCGAAGTCGTCATTGTGGAATCTATGATGTTGATTCTCTTGAGGACGCCTTTGAGTTCGAGAAAGCCGCCAGTAGTCAACATTCCGAAACGATCGTCAGTCTTGTATTTCAAGATGACGGTCTCGATCTTGATGCAGAGATCCGTTTCCGCCTCTCTACCGAAGTCGGTAACATCAGCATAGTTGATGCCTCGTTCAGAGTCGATGGCTGCCCAGGAGAAACTCGGAGCACGATATTCATCCATGCCTGGACGTTCCGAGTGGAAGTCATACGTTCCATCTTTCCGGACTGCTGGGTCCACCCGCCACAAGAGCTGGCTTTCGAGGTTGTCCCGCCACATTCCTGCTACATAATCTTCGTCTCTCCCGTTAAGTATGCGCCTCGACATGATCTTTGCGATCCCAGCCAAAGCAATGAGCTTGTCAGTAGCCTTGGTCAAACGTGTCTTGGAATAAGTTTCCACAACTCGCTTCCAGACTTCGAAGCAGTAGATGGAAGGAACAGAGAGCCCCATATGTGCGTCGATGTCTGTATATTTACCACTCGTGAGTCTACCACGGACGAGTCTTGCATGGCGCAACGCTTTTCCATCCACGCTTGGAACCATTCCTTTCAGTCTACTCCCAGATACGATCGATCCTGCTTTGAGTTGAAGTAGTGGCATCCCGTCTGCAAGGCTTTCGACGGCGTCCTTTTCCCAACACTCCCAAGCGATTTGATCGTGGCAGAAATGAAGAACTCGTGGAGCTATCAATCTCTCTTGCAGAACCCAACCTCTTCTGTTCACAGGAGCCTGATCCACTGTTGCTTCCCAAAATCCAAGGTTCAGGATTGTGTACTTCGGTTTTGCTTTGGCAGCGTCTGCAGCTTTCTTCGCATTTCCGTTAACTTGTCTTGCTTGTTTGACATGATGACCATTCGTCAGATTGGCGTTCTGCAACTGCTGCACAATATTCTGAAGAGACACTTTCTTGCTCGGCTCGCGATCAGGTGGTCGTCCTGGAATACCGTCCGTATTCAAAGCCACTTCGTCGATCCAATGCTGTTTGCTGTCTCTGTCCACATAAAGACCTTTGGAGCTATTGCTAGCTGCAGTAGCTGAGATGTTGCAAAGCGAATTGTTGTAAACCTGGTCCATTTGCGCTGATTGGTATAACCAGTCCTTTTGCGAATCTTGGAGGATGCATAATGAATCTATCCAGATATATCTGACACCGAGCCTGCAAGCGAAATCCATTGCGTGCTGGAAGGTTTTTGGAAGTTCGTCGAGTGCGATTCCATCTTCGAATCGTGCAAGTGTATCTTTTGTCAAGTGATAGAAGTCTATGTCTCCCCAACAATGGCTGAGGGTAACATATTTTCCCGTAATCTGTTGATCGTGTTGTCTGGGCTCCACTACCTTAACACGACCCAGGGAAATATGGCCCATATCAACGAGGCGTGTTGGATACCAGGTCGTGGCAGGACTCACGTGCCTGCACATTCGATGAGTGTTTATGCATTCGTTCAGCCATTTCCGTGCCAGTTGCACGTTTCCATAAGAGGATGTATTGTTTGGCTGCAGATAAGTCAATTTTCCGACTTCAAGTACGATTGAAGAGAGAAAGGCATCCAGAGCACAGAGGAGCATTTACAAAACCAGAATTGGGTACTGCGCTCCTGCTAGAGACTCATAATAATGGTAGAAGAGTTCGGGGAATACCTACTATAGGGCGGGCGAGGTCTTGCGCAGCTATCATCTTCTCTCAGCACATTCCCAACCAATCTATAAGTGAACAAACTTACGAAGTTGCTTCAGCAAAAAACTTCCTACACGCTCCAGATTGTATTGTTGATTCAATCTGAAATCAAGTCGATAAGCCTCCCATTGACGATTATATGTCAGCGAAGCCTGTGTGAAAAATGCTTCCTTCTTCTTTCCCGCTATGGAAGTATGCGATTCATGATCCGCATCGTCCCGGCTTTTGAACATCGAAAGAAGAACCCGACAGATGCAACAATTCTCTTTTGCTGAGTCCTTGAGACTCTGGTGAGTGCGGTGGTGATCAAATGCTAGGTCGTATGTTCCTTTCCATCGATAATTGATGTGCTTCTCTAGCATGTCTTTGCAAATAGTGCAAACCATCCTGTTGCGCTAATTGGGACTGCTTGGGAGCACTTGCGACAATATTTGTGTTGGATGTTCATCCCAAGGACCCGAATAATGTGAGACTTTTCCGGGGAATCATTTATTCGGTGGCTGACCGGAGGCTTGCAACCATGATGTGGGGTCATCCGGACCGACATCGAGTCTCCCACCATTCAGAGGAAGCCCTCTGAGCCTCCGAGGCCTCGCCCCCAAAGTACAGGGATTGCTGGACCTTTCGGGTAGTTCGTCCGCTGGCCGTGCATTTTCAAGCGAGGTTGCATTAGGTGTGAGATTGGCTGTGTTTTGCGTGTACATTTGATCACAAACTAGTACTGGAGTACTGCAGGGTGCATCTCGAAGGCTTCGCCCTGAAGAAGGCAGCCATGACAGCCTTGGCAACTTTGGCAGCCTTCAGCCTTTCAATTTCAAACCTCCTTCAACTATAGAGAGGAGAGTACTCAACAATCTTTATTTTCAACGAATGTTGAGTTTCATCACTTCCTTCAGGTGAGTCCTGCTCCCTTCTCCGCGATAGTCATCTAACTTGTCTTTAGCCCTCATATCAGATGGCCACCTCCAACAATATAGATCTCAAGGATGCAAAGCCTCACTCTGAGAACGGCAGCTCTGAAGGGCAATTCGAATCATTCATCCTCCCAGACTTCAGTCCTCCAGTCACAGTCACGCTAGCAGGAGATCTCGATGAAAAATTCAACAAGCAGATGCTAGGGACCTACGAACCATTCGTCGAATGGGTCCAACAACTCAAGAAATCCCTAGATTTGCAAAGAAAAGAAGAAGATGACCCCGAAAAGAGACATCCATTTCACGACGATCCATATGAGCTCAAAAGCATCCACATCCAAGCAGTTGATTTCTTCGGATCCCGCATCGGCTTCCTGAAATACAAAGCCATCATCCAAAACAAAAAAGGCAACAAAGGAAAGCCGATGCAACTTCCTGGGTCGATATTCATGCGTGGTGGGAGCGTGGGTATGCTTATGATTCTTCGACCGAAGGATACCAGCGACGAGAAATGGGTCATCATGACAGAACAAGCCCGCATCCCGGCCGGCAGTCTTTCATTCCTCGAAATTCCAGCTGGGATGATTGATGATCGAACGAAAGACTTCAAGGGGGCTGCGGCGAATGAGATTGAAGAAGAAACAGGCTTGAAGATCAATCGCGACCACTTGCTGGACATGACGGAATTGGCACTTCGAGGCTCGCCGAATCCAGAAGGTTTGAAGGCCGCTATGTATCCTAGCCCAGGCGGCTCGGATGAATATATTGCGCTGTTTTTGTGGGAGCAGGAGATGGAACGGTTGGAGATTGAGAGCCTAAGGGAAAAGTTGACTGGGAACAAGAAGCAGGGAGAGATGATCACGCTGAAGTTGATACCTTATGGGGATCTGTGGAAGGTGGCTACCAGGGATGCAAAGATGATGGTTGCGTGGGCTCTTTATGAGAGTTTGAAAAGGGCGGGTATCTTGGATGATCTCGGCAATCTCGTTGATGATGGTGCTGGAGGTATGGCGTCCTGATCACGATATGGTGGACTGCGTTGACTGGTCAGTGCCCAGCAAGCCAGCAGGTATGACGCTAAGGAATAAAAGATATACGAATCATGATCCGACGGACTCCAAGGAAAGAAGTAGCAGCAAGTCGAGGAAGAAGCAGAGAGTGTGAAAGAGTGAGAATGACCCTTCGATTTTCTGTTTGCCTAGATGTTATCCTTTCTGTCGATCAAATTGTCAGGTTTATAGAAAGTCTTGGAGTTGTGGAACGTTCAGCAGCGTTGTCTTGGAAAGCTTGGTATCAAAAATGCTTCACTCTCAAGGTTTGCGACGTTTCGCAGCTTTCAAAAATCCATTTCAGATAAATTCTATGCTCCGTCGCCGGGTCATGAACAAGTTTCGATACCATTTTCGAAAATGCTTCACAGCAAGAAGTCTCAGTCTCGTTCGTACAAGCAGCACTGCACAAACTCGACGGGTTGGCTACTGTCTATTTTAAGCTTCCTCAAAGTGGCTTAGCTTCATACGGATCACACCGTTCCTGCAGCTGAACCCCTCGAAGTCGGACTCCACAGTCGTTCGTCTCCAACAATACCCCAGAAGTGCCAGTATAAACGTTTGAAACAGCTACATAATCATTTTCTTGGATAGATTCGATACCGATCTTTCGCTTATTGCATTTGTTTTGGACTGATCAAGTCACAAACTTGAAGTTCGCTCCATTTTCATCAAGGGCGCTTAAGATGGGGAAACAACTCAAGTATCATGCAAACATAATGCTGGACCTCGAATGCGTAGCAGTTGAGGCCCACAACCCGGCTCTAATTGAGCTGGGTGCTGTGCATTTTGATATCGTCACTGGCGCTGAGCTAAGAAGCCTCAAGACCCCGATCAGTTTACAATCCTGCCTGGACCACGGGCTTCTCTCAGACGACGACACAATTTCGTGGGTTGAACGAAACATCCCACAAACCCTAGCTACTAGCAAGACGACTGCCATTACGTTGGAGTATGCACTCTTCAAATTCTCCAATTTCGTTCGAAGTTGTGTCGCTGCCACGAAGAAGACTTTGCGAGAACTCGGCCGGGATCCAGAGTTCTGCCAAGCTAAGATCTGGGGTAATGGCGTTATTGCGGACAATGTTTGGATCAAGAGTGCGTACCGGGCTTGTAATATAGAGAGGCCGTGGAAGTTCACTGGCGATATGTGTGTGAGAACGATGGTCAACTCTACTTCGTCGATCACAGGACGTGATTATACGAGAGAGGTTGTGAGGCAAGGGAGGCATCACGATGCGTTGGACGACTGCAGACATCAAGTCAAATATTTGGTTCTTGCGATGAATTCATTGGCTCCGAAAGAGACGCCCAAGAAGACTGTTGAGCCTGGGAAGCCCATCACCCGTAATCTGGTGGGGGAAAATCCGTTATTGGAGAGTCCATCTCCTCACACACCACCAAGCGAAAGACCAAATTCGCTTCTTAGCAGAATTCCGGGCAACGTCACCATCGAAAGTCTCGTCGCTGCTGCCAAAGAATTATTAGAAGAAAGTGCTTCAGCCGTCAGCAATCCACAGCCTGCTCCCGCCAAGCCAGCTCTTCCTACTCCAGTGACGTCATTCTCCGAAGGAGATATAAGTGCAAAAGAAGTCCCAAATCTCGGAGACTCACCAAGTACGCCACCCAAGCGAAGACGTGGGCCGTCAAGCAATCCGGCAGTTCAACGTCCTGGCATGCTTCCTACGCCGGATACATCCTTCTCGAGCGTCAATGGAGAAGTCGAGGACATTCCTGGTCTTGTATCCAAATCAGCCACAGATATACAAGAGAAGGACTTCTCCGAGAAAATTGGACAAGCCATGAAGAGTCAAGGTTTATTGAGTGCGGAGACTTCGTTTTGTGTGCCAAACGAGAATGATGAAGTTGCTGATCCGCCATCTCCGACTCCGACAGCAAAACATATCAAAGTGTAGGACAATGGCCACAATCACGACTTCGCTAGGAATGACTGCCGATCCGTGGAAGTCTCATTCTCTGTTCCCATGATATCCACGGAACATGGAGAGAATCCCTCGAGATGGCCGAACTACTCGATTAGCAAGAGATATCCCTGGATGACTGCCAACTAAGCACCATATGCCACCATATGCCATGCACAGATACATATGGATGAACAGGAAGCCCAGACATGATACCATGGGCTTGGATGGACGTGGACTTCAACATATACAATGTCACGTGCATATGCCAGAACAACACCCCGGGCAGAGTCCCAGTCCTTTCGGGATATACCTATATATGCGCAATATCACTACCTATCTCCTTATATATACTACTATCTTATATTGTTCCGCACTTCATGACTGCAGTATCTTATCACGTGCAACATCATATCCACTTTCCTCCGCTCTACCCGCGGTTCCATCCCCACCAACCTCGTCACTCAAACCTTAATCCAAACTCAACTCAACTCAACTCAACTCAACTCAACTCAACTCAACTCAACTCAACTCAACTCAACTCAACTCAACTCAACTCAACTCAACTCAACTCAAC